TGGGATTGCTATTGGAATTCTGCAGAGGCTAAATCCTTAAGGAAAGTTTACAAAGGTGATGCTTGAACTTTTGATAGCATAGATATACAATAGAGTTTCATGGTCAGCCTCTTTAATGTGGGAGAAAAGATGGAAAAATATGATTGCTAAAGTGTAATTCTCAGGTTTCTGTTTATCTTTAATCATTTAATCAGTAAGACAATTTGTATTGAAATTAAACCCATCACGAGATGTAACTAAGTAGTGCCCAGTATGTACCTTTTGATTCTGTAAAACATTCTTTGGTTGTATTGAGGGCAATTTTAATGTTCACTGCAAACAAATGTATATTTCCATGCTTTCCTTACTGTACACTATTTACCCAGACTGAGGCCTAAGGCATATTTACTCATTTCCTACCAGTTCAAGTTTNAAAAAAATTGCCATTTTCTGTTAAATTTTTGTTTGATCTGCAACCCAGCATAGATGGTTTATTTAATCCTAAATATATTTGTGTTAATAAGAGGGTTAATGGTGTAAAATAGTTTCACTCCTATTTTAAGTTAGTAAACAAGACTGAGCAATTGGAGAGGAACTATTTATTAACATTAACAACAAATTGCATTTATGTAGCACCTTTTGTATCGGGAGGATGTCCCGAGGTGCTGTTATTGTATTGGTTTTCATTACTGTCATATTCAGTTCATCATGTGAACCAAAATATCAGTTTTTATTTTGTTCAGTAAAGTGTTTGTGTTAACACAAGGCTGTAAAATACATTTGCAGTCTATTTAGGTTGCTTTTTGTCTTAAAAGCAAGAGTTCTTTGGTCCTACTAAAAACAGCCTGTTTTCTTTCAAAATACATTGCATTCACTCTGTGACTTTTTCATCTTTCATTTTGCAAGCATTAACCTTTAAGAAATGAAAACCTACTCCAATTTGTTGTTCTGGAAAACAAGTGACTTAATGGAACTTATAACCTAGAAAAAGATCATAATTAGAGTGTCATTTAGAACTCCACTTTGCCGTGCCATGAGGCAGTAAGTTTTTGGCTTGTGGCCACAATTCCCTACATGGTTTGTTCCCATTCTTGATCATGCTGTTTAGCACAAAACGCTTGGAGGAAGGGAAAATTGGCCCCAAAAAAACATTTAATGCAACTCTTGGCTCAGACTGCACACTGAATCCAGCATCAAAAAAGAAATATCTGGAAAAATTCTGCTCTTTTAAAATGTCGCGTAATTGTTGACCTTAATCTTCCCAATAAATTGTTGCAGTGCCCAAACATTTAAATAACTGATCTGTTTAAGAAGATTTACTGTCTCTGCTTTCATTCCAATCAACAAATACAATATACTTTTTAAAAAAATTTGGGTATTATAATCTATACTGAAACTGCAGATTCCTCATTGCCATCGGGATTCTATATGTCTGAGTATTAATTTTGAAATCTCAACCTTAGGAGACCGTAATGTACTAAAGCAGGATTATCATTTCTGAAAATGTAAGCATTTGTTTAAATCCTGACTTTTTAAAAAAAAGTAAGCTTAATGTAGCCTTACTTGTTTACTAGAATTAATTGTCCCCTTTCCTTTTAATCACACACGCACACACACACGCACACACTTTCCAACAGGGATCGAGGATTGGCTATCCACAGGCAGAGCACGTCTGAGATTCTTTGCAGTCTGTGGTACATTCTTTCGTTGCAAAAATTGGAGTACAGCCTGAAGTTTAGAGAGAAAAAAACAAATTTGATTCAACACTAATTGAAATGTAGTAGAGCATTGCTGCCAAAAAATTGGGCTGCTTTGTGTAGCATCTAGGACGCGTAGAATTTAATTAGGACAAATCTCTCCCAAGGGTAGCTATGTTTTTTCTAGTTTCTGTTCCTGAGAAGTTGTTCAACTTGGGCTGCAATTGAAATACACACATGTTGAATGTTTCAGCTTCTCTTCCCATGAAGTCTGTACTATTATGTGTTCTGGCAAAGAAGTTGAATCCATTGTTTTGTGTTCAAGTCATGCTTGGTGACTACACTGGAAACGCAGATGGTGGCATTTTTTGTTTTAAGTGTTTTGATTGGATCCAGGCGTCTGTTTTGCTGTAAACATTCTTACAGAATGGTGGAGAAGATTGGGGAAATTAATCAAATTCCATCCAAATAAGATGCAAGACTTTTTTTTAAAAAAAATTTTGGTGGGGAGAGAACAGGTTTGTATTTCTCCAATGTCTAAGAAACCTGTATGTACAATATACATTGCTGCATGAATTGAATTCTGTGAGCTAGTATCCAAAGGACTGCAGGGGTATCCTACTTGTGAAAGATTTGTGATGCAAACCTAGTAGCTCTATACTAATTTAGATTGTGTTGGCAGGGCTGAGTAATGCTGGCAGAGTTCAGTGGTAAACTGATGGGCCAGTGACAACAATGACTTGTGCAGCGCTGTCAAGCTGACACTTGAAATCCATATATGGTGCCAGTTTCCAAGTATCATAAATGACCTCCAACAGTGTTTGATTAACAATGTTGGAGGGATGGGGGCAAGAAAGGAGAGAGGGGGAGAGAGTTTTGTTCCCCTCCCTCTTCCCTCCCACCCAAAAAAGGCAAAAATCTTAATTTTATTACCCTGAATGCTTGTTGGTCCTGAAATTTGGCACAATTCTGAGAGGTCTTTATATGGATCGAACGTGTGTGAACTTGAAATATCAGCATGTTGGTTATTTACATTTAGGCTGTGATTAAGTGGTTGATGTTGAGGTACGTTCACAGTCAGGTTAGCGAAGTCGTGATCAGCATTGTAATAAATTTGTTTTTGATGTGCTTTAATTATTTAATGCTAAGATTTTAAACTAGCCACTAACTGAAAGCTCACACATTCTGTTCTTGGCCCGTTGTCAAGCACAGGGCAGAGTATAGACAATGTGTTAAAGCAGGAAGACTTAACTGTTGTACTTCACCCCCTACTGACTGGACGCTAGCCATGGTTTGTCTATCAACATCTGCTTACAATTGGTCAAATTCAAGAGATGATAAGGGAGAGGAAATGTATAATAAAATTCAAAAAAAAGATTTCTTAGTAATTACATGTGCATTGAATTGGGAGTGGCATGCTGATACACTGCAACAATAACAGGCACTTAAATAGTGCTTTTCATGAAGGAGAATGTCTCAGAACACAGTATGTAGAATGTAAATGTTGTTGCACACTGAGCAAGGTCAGAGGATGGAGAGGGGAATTTGTGGAGCTAAGGAATGCTACTTGTATATTACTGCCTGTTTGGGTGAGTTACAGTTAAAATGTACAGTTAATGTAGGCTACATAACAGTTAAACAGGTTAAACAGTTGCTAATTAGTACAGTAGAACACTGGAGTCTCATTATTGCATGGTACTTGTGGCCACTGGAATTTGGCCCTTTTTTAGAGTTCGAAAGGCATCTAGCATTTTGAGGAGAGCTACCTTCCTGCGTGTATACTCATTAAATGCAAACGGCTGATCAGTGACCACACTTCATTATAGCGCTGATTGGAATCTTATAGGCCGCAAGTACCGTGCTATAATGAGACTCTGTTGTAGTAATAGTAATAATCCTTGCATTTGATATAGCATTATGGTAATTGCAAGGAATGATAAATTGCAAAGTTAGACAATCTGCATCTGTGGATTTGTGAGGAAGTTTCCATTCCAGGAACCAATTTCATATTTGCTATATGGTGACTGTTGGCCAGTGGTAGGAACTGAGAGGAAAATGATTTATTTTAGTATTCTAAATCACTGAGAATATACTGTAGAAACCTTTAATTACTGACACATTAATGATCACATTCAGAATTTACTGTACATACTCCATATGCCCTGGGCTGTCTGGAATTCCTTTGCGAGTTGCATAATGCTTTAAAGAATTCTGTTATTTCTTACAGTTAATATGGTCTTTAATAATTCATGATTTTTAGCTGCAGTATCAGGTAGTATATAACAGCAAAATGTAATAAAGGTTCCTAGGAATAGTAATCAATGTAGAACGTTGTGGGGAAAGCGCAGGGTATTGGGATTAGAGTAGTTAGCTCAAGTGGGGGTATTAAGTACCAACTAGTAGGCTCGATTGTTGAATCGTCTCCTTCTGTAATTTCTATGATTGTGTTTCGCAGATAGTTGATTTTTAGTCTCAAGCCATCAGATGATTACATGACCTCCCTCAGATGAAGCAAGAAAGAAAAAATCAGAGGCTCTACTGTCCATTAGATGGTGTACAAGAAAGACTGATACTATCTCAGTAGCATAAACTGAGCCTGGAGCAGATTGTTTCCTATGTTTGTTGGATTTGTTCTATCATTCCCTATCTTTCCCTCTGTTCCCTCTTTCCTAATTTAATTTTTTTAACTCCGATTTTATTTACTTAATGTTACAAGATTGGAAGTGGCTTCCAACAGAGGATTAAGCAGTGCCAACATGAGGTGCATAGTTTTACTGAAATAGCAGATGTAAAATGAGGAATTATTCATACATTGGTTCAAACATGTAAAGTGGATTTTACAGCATATAGAATTTTTTTAAAAAAAGACGTATCAATTAATCAGTGTTGCATTATTATAGACCTGAAGTTAGCTCAGCCTATTTCTGCTATCAGAAACACATTTGAAAAATGATCAAAGCAGTGCGTCATCTGTGTCCTGTAGTGATTTCCATGGTTAACCATCAGCCTCAGTGCTGCTCTGATTGCTTGGTAAATACATGTTGTCAACTGCAATTACTGCGGAACCCATACGTTTGACCTCATTGCACACGTGATGATAATGTCAGTAAATAACTTATGCTGACATATTACCGTATGCAAGGTATCATGTTCTGCACAATGGCTCGAGGCACGAAACTGACACAATTGTAAACTAAATGTAGTTGAGGCAGGAGAGTTGCATCCTGATTATTAATGATCGCACTTTATAAAATGCAGGCAAATTTGTAACTGAATAAGTTGTGATTTTAACGCATCTCCTTTTATTCTTTATGTTTTCTTTAGTCTGTGGCACTTGCGTAAGACTGCAATGACAAGTCAGAACAGTAACCATGAAGAACGAGCAGTTTCTATGTCGTCGACACCAAAAGTTCAGGTTCAGCGCTCGGTTTCAAGAGAGACCCTCACTATACACTTCTCTGCCTTTGGTAAGGAAGAGGAGGAAGAGGAAGAAGAAGAATTTGAAGATTCCTCCATAACTTTTCATGAGAAGGTGAAAGACCAAAGTTTTGTACCAGAACTTGAAGCAAAAGAAGGTACTTTTGAACATGGTGGCCAACTTTTAGCAGAGTCAGCTACCTCATCAGGTATACCATTAGATTCAGTTGTAATTTCAGTCCCATCTTCAGCAACAGCAATGACCTCTTCTAAGCCATTGAGCACATCAGTTGCATTGCCTTCTGCATCACTCGTAGTTACTGCAGTGCCATTGTTCTCATTACCAGCCCAGCCATCAGACTCTGCCATTTTGACTTCAGAAACAAGACCTGCAACTGCTGTCTCCATATCTAGTTCTCCATCTAAATCTACTGTGCCCTCCAATGTCTCATCGTCTGCCGTGCCAAGCACAAGGCCATTCATGAGCTTAGTGAGATCCATGTCTACAGAAGTAGAACCTAAAGAATCCACAACACCACTAAGACACAGGCAATTGATGAAAACATTAGTTAAATCTTTATCAACAGACACTTCAAAACAGGATTCTGAATCTGTCCCATTCAGGCCTTCTGATTCACGAATAAACTTACATCTGTTCAAACAGTTTACTCAACCCCGTGTGACTGGAGGGGATTCGAAGACCGCACCTTCTTCCCCGCTCACATCTCCGTCGGATGCCCGGTCATTTTTTAAAGTACCTGAAGTGGAGGCTAGAATTGAAGACACTAAAAGGCGGCTTTCGGAAGTTATTTATGAACCTTTTCAGCTCCTAAGCAAGATGATTGGTGATGATAGCAGTAGTGTTAGGCATAAAGCCTTATCATCCAGTGCAACAGAACTTTCAAGTCTTTCCAGCTTAAACGGACATTTGGAAAGCAACAGCTATAGCATTAAAGAAGAAGAATGTGATTCTGATGGGGAGTGTTCAGCAAAAGATTCCATCTCAAGTAAAAGCACCTCCAAATCTACTGATGGCCTTTCAAAAGAAGGAGACACTAAAAGCTCACTTTTGGGGACCACAAAGGAAATGCCATTGAAGGCTTCTTCTCTGGTGCTGGAGAAATGCTCACTTTCTGCGCTTGTCAGCAAAGATGAAGACGACTTTTGCCATTTATACAGTGAAGGTATTGAGTTGGAGCCCGGGGAAGAGAATGTTGGGGATAAAACTCTAGAACCTGTTACTGCAGAAGAAGCATTTGAAGATGAAAGTAAAGTATTAGAGGAAGATGAGACTGAGACTGAAGTACCGCTACCTGAAGTTCCTTTAAAAACTTTATTACTCTTTACCATGCTCGTCTATTCCTATATAGTGCTCCCTCTCCCCAGTTATCTCAGTGGGCTTTTCCTAGGTATTGGCTGTGGATTTATGACAGCAATTGGTATAATCTGGCTGCTTGTACCAAGAAAATCCAGTGATTATCAACAGGCACAAAAAAGATTTCACCGTGAACAACAAAATACCGAACCGCTGGATATAAAGGAACCAGAAATATTTAAGGTGGGAATACTTTAGTTTGTTCTTTGCATGACTTTATGTTCAAACTTCAAGTCTGCTTGCTCGATCTTGTGTAAAATATGACCGTTAATGGAGTCCAACTCTTCATATGTTTCGAGAACTTTTAGATGAGCAATTGAGAATCTTTCAGTGTGCATTTAAATTATTTGGAAATTGGATTACATTAATATATGCCTGTCCACTGTTGTACTTTTATTTGTATACAGGTTCTTTGATATATGGCTTTCTGAAAATCAGTGAATAGTCATACAGTACCAAGAATTTTTTAGATTAATCAAGTTGATGGGTGTAACTGATATGAAAGGCACTATATAAATATAAACTTCTTGTTGGGGTATAGTGAAACCATTGGGTTGATACAATGGGCCGAATGGCCTCCTTTTGTGAATTTCTAAATTTCTTTGCAGTTTAAAACAGATATTTAAATCTAAAAATGAAAGCTGTTTCTAGGACACAAGTTCTACTTGTTTTTGTATCCTCATTTGAGGCTGCACAAGGTCTCATCTAGTATTGAAGTGAACGGTCTTGTTGTAAATTGTTGAGTAGCATTCAGAGAGCCAGTCTCACTGAGCTGGAGTGGCCCCTTACAGGACAGAATGGTAGCTATGCAGAAAGTAAGAAGATACTGTACATCACCAGCAGCACCAAGTACATAGCACTCTAAGTGGAACAAGTACGAGTCATTGATGTTTTCTGCAGTTCTTCAAAAGTCCTATTGAAAACTTAGTTACAATTGATCACTCTAGTTCTGAGTTGTGGATGATGGGTCTGTGTAAACCATGACTTATTAGGGTTCAGGATTTAAGCTGGTGTGAATATATGCACAACAAATGCTAAATGACAGATTACAGGGAATCTTTGCTTGTAGTGTTAAGGATATCAAAGGGGTTCTTTTGTGCAACAAAAGACTTTCAGCTGGAGAAGTGCCAAATCTGTATACTCAACATACTGACCCGCAGTGTGGTCCAATGTTCCTAATCAATTCAGAGCCAGATATCCATGGAGATGAACTATGTCCAGTAATGTACACACACACAATGTATTGTTGATACTGAGCCCTACGGCAAAATCATAATTGTCATCCAAATAAAAGGAAACTCAAATTTCTCTCATCTTCCTAAATCTAAACTATTTAAATTCCAGCTGTAGTTGAGTGACTTTTAACAAAGAGAGTCTGTTTCCACACACATACATACACTCATACACACAAACACATACATACACACAGTACAGGATAAGTCACAGTTGGTCAGCAAAATATTTTCTTCTTTGAAAAGGACATTCCTGATCAAATTACACAGCACAATGTCTGTATTTGACACAGATACATGTGTAATTTTGACAATTTATTGTGGTAAATAGTTGCATTTGGTACTGATAACTCTTCTATTTACTGGTGGGAATTCTCTAGAAGTTACAATAGTAGGATAGCTTCTGTTCCTATATTTCTGACATGTGAGGCAGTATGTGTAAGGGAATGATTTTTCAAGTTAAACACAGCTAGGAAATGGTGGTTAGTTTCCCAGTAATTTGATAATTCAATGTACAACTTGATTTGCATTCCTGACTTGTGCAATCAGTATGTCCTAAATTCTATTGATGAGTGGATCTATTATCTTCTACTCTCAATCGTTTTATACAATTTAAGCAATCCAGAATCTGAACCTTAAAGTGTTGGGAGTGCTTGCCTAAACATGGGACTTGAGTGAAGGGATTAGGTTTGGAAGTACCCAGATATTTCAAATACCGTTCTTTTTGTGGATGTTTTTGTATGGTGGATTAAGAAAAGAATAAAACAGTATGTGTAAAAATGCAGCTGTCATCTCCTCTTCATTGGTAATTTCTCTTAGTGATTGGTTGGAGTTGAGGAAAAGATTGAACTCAATATTGACACTGGTCCACCAGACCATGACACTTTAGCAGCAGGCTGATACTGAAAGTGTGATGATTTAATAGTCTTGTCTACCGGTTCTGCATTCTGAATTTTAAGCCTTATAGAGAGGCACTCCACATTGTCAGTGAATATGTCATATGGTAAAATCTCAATCTCTTCTACAAAAAAGCTTTATCTCATTGCATTTAATGAGAATTTTTGGCAAGTAAAGTTTCTTGGTGGCTTTTTAAGCCATAACCCCATAATATCCTACAATTTGATGTTTATGTTTGCAGTTTAGTTTGTAAATGAGAGTGGAATATCAGTCCATTCTATGGCATAGTGAAAATTATAAAATATTTAACCACAATGGAGAAAATAGCACTGGTCATACTTGCAGAACAGATCTTAAGTACTGTAATATGAAAATGCAAGAAGACAAACTGGTTGGTTGATTCATTTCATGCTCAGTTATGGGGAATTAAAAGATAAATTGATCTTATATGTAAATTGGGATCGTTTGCATGAATTTAAAGGAGGTATGACCGTTAAATCACTACTTTTAAGCAGTCATACTTAATATTAAACAAAATCTTTACTAGCTTTACTAGCAATTGTAACAGGGACAACCCATAGTTAAAAATGTCAGGGCTGTTTGATTGTTACAGCTGAGCCTTATACACCAGGAGCATCTTGTCGTTTCCCCCAGTTTGTGCTGAATCAATTGATCTCGGTCAAGTTAGTGCTGGAGCTTCACTGGTTGACTTAAACATTTAGGTAAGAGAGAGGGAAATCAGCCCGGGTTTCTGCCCCTGATGACTTACCAGGGAGCCCTGCTGGAGTGTGAATGTATCACTGAGAAGAGATTCTGGCTTCAATCCCGCATGAGTGAGTAGTCTTCCTGTGATGCACATGAATATTGGGTCCTTGGGTGATGTCGAACTTCACCCGATTGGAAGGAAAAAATTAGTCAAATCACTTTCTGGAGGGGAGAATATTGAAGGACAAAATCAAAAAGTGGTAAAACAAATTAGGCAGTGTTGCTTGAACAGTTTATAGTTGCAATAGTGTTGCAGTGAGAAACGTACTCCAGACTTACAGATCAACAGAAAATAAACTCTCACCAGGAACTAATTGAGTAGGCTTGCCCTTGAATAATGCATATTATAGAGGAGAGGATTTCTGATAGATTCGTTAGCAAGCTGTCATGAATGATCAAAATCTGCATTTCTTTATTCATTCCATGTGCACACTACAGAATGTGCTTTACACACGTTTAGAAGAATAATCAAAGGATTCTATCATAAACCAACCTTTGCCAGAATCTTTCTTTTAAATTTTCCACTGGAATGTTTTGTTCTGAATAACAGACATCATTTTATAATATTTCAAAATCATCAATGGTTGTTGATTAATTAAAGTATTTTCGTGTTCAGAGAATGGATTTGAAGCATTAACAATGCTTACCTCTTAATTGTTTTCATTCTGTGAGTTCCTAATGATATTTATACCCTGTTTTGTATTATTTCAACAACTAGTGATTTTTTTAAATAGCTTTTAAGTATATTTAAATCTAAAATACATTTTGTGTTCACTCTTAGTGGAGGAGAAGCTTTTAGTATACAGGGCATGGGGAAAAAGCAATGAGCAAGTAGTATAAAAACATCAAATTATGTTCTGTCTTTGTCTTTCTGTTATAGTATGTGAACCTTTGTGACTGACTCCTGAATTGTAGTGTATAGGTTCTCCAAACTTGTTTTGGTAAATTGATTTAAATTAACTAATAGGACTTAATTGATGCTTTGAAATTTTTTTGGCTGGCTTCTCAAAGCAATTTAGTGAAATAGATATTTTTGCATTAAATTTGATTTAATCCCCACTGTACAAAATGTGGTTCTAGATTGTTTCTCTCTTGTGCAAAATAAGGTCATGATCTTCTTAGTAACTTGTGAAACGGCTTAATCTTCAAAGACTTTGGATTTTTCTTTGAAAAATTATAACTAATGGAACTAATTTAATGTTCTTCACACCTATGACCTTCGCAATAATTACTTTTAACCTGTAAAGGATAGAAGTGGAAGCATTGTCCTTTCTGATTAGGCGCACATTTTTATGTCTGTTGCTGGGTAACAGATTACCCACACATGCTATATTTTAGTTTGGATCTCTAAACTTTTTTTTCAACAGAACTATTTTAATCATGTAAATGGGTGATATATTAATGTAAATAAGCATGCTGATGATTCTTGTTAGACTTCAGACCACTTAGTAGCACAGATTACTTACTCTGCTCTTGTATTCCGGTTTGCATAAAATGTTAGGTACTGTTGTATCGCTAAGACATAGTAAAGGTTCCAGTCTCCACTGGATACTCTAGAATTCAAGTTCCTTCCAATCCAAAGAAATATGTCCGATTCATTTATTTAATATGTTGATGCTTTAAAGTAATATTCCAGGAGTCTCAACGTTGCATTTATTTCTCATCGCCAGACAACTGTCAGCTCCAATGTTTTTTTTAAAAAATTAAGTGTCAGGCTATTAATGTAGCTGTCCAGTATATATTTAGACAGAACTCCCAACCAAATACAACGTAATCTAGTCTGGGTGAATAAAATGAGCAGGCAATGATTTCAGTTGCCTGCAATTAAGATTAGCTTGTTATTGTCAGATAAATGTTCTATTCAACCTGAGCCTAAATCTGTACGTCTAATGTCTCTTACAAGAAATTTATAAAGCAACAAGTGGGGATTAATAAGAATTGGATACTTTATCTTAAAAATTTAGGAGAATTCACCTGTTATTTTCAGTTTGCCTAGATAACTAATTAGTAATGCTCTTTGTTTTCTTACTACCGTACTTTAAATGATTGGCAGTAAGAAATTGGTCAATGTTAATATATTTAGAAGCCTATAACTATAATTAAATTCGACAGGGGGCCAGAACCTGAATTATTCATGCAGATGAAAACAAAACTTAATTTATTTCATGGCTAAAATAATGACACTGTCAACAATGCTGCCTGAATAGAAAATATATCAGCACCATTGAATTTATGTCTGGAAAATTCAAACTAAGTGCATTATTTTTCTTAATATTCAGTAATGGGAACTCAGTTGTTTCAAGAAAGTAAACTACTTCATGGGATTATTAATCGTAGCGGTAACTTGAAGGCCTTCGCAGTTGTAATTTAATACAGTTTGAAAGGAACTACTCCGTTCAGTCTCGAGTATGAAATCGCATAAATTGTCAATTTTTCTAAAATAACAACAACAAAATTTTATTTGTATAGGACAGACAGTTTCGGACCCGAGCTGGGGATCGTGATTGGGAAGGGTGGAGGGCAGTGGGGGGGGAGGCAGGGTGACCGAAAGTACCGTCGAAGAGGAGGGTCTTGAGATTGGTCTTAAAGGAGGCAAGAGAGGGGGCAAGGCGGAGGGACTGTGGATAGAGTTCCAGAGGGTGGGGGTAGAGTGGTAGAAGGCCCACCTGCCAATGGTGGGGTAGACGAGACGGGGACGTGAAGCAGACCAGAGTGGAGCCCGTTGAGCAGAGGGAGCAGGCAGGATGCTAGGGCTTTAGGAGGTCACAGAGGTAGGGAGAGCAATTTTATTTATTATAAAATAATAATATTTATTACAAGAACCTGTTCCCTGAAGCATGAAGTAAGATTATAAACCAGTTGATATGTCACCAACTTCATAGTTGGCATTTAACATCAGCCTTGCCTCTTCTAGACAAATATTAATATAACGAGGACAGCCAGCTCCATCTGTTATTTGTTCTTTTATGTTAAATTGTTGCTGCAGATGGCAGCCCTGACTTGTGACAGAGGTGGTTTCAGGCCATGTCTGTCGGAGTTATCATGCGATGTTTCTTGCCTGGGGGGATATTATTCTTGTGGATACGTACGTTTCCATTATAGTTGTAATAATGCCAAGAGGATTTGCCATTCATTGTTACCACTATATGCTTATAGTATGTCAAACAGCATAGATACGTATGTAAATTTTCTTATAACCGTGGTAATTTTATTTTGACTGAGGCGCTGATAATTTAACAGATGCTTTTGCTGAAGGTGCTGACTCTGGTGGGTTACAGTTCTTTGCATTGCTGCAATATCTCTACAGGTGCCTGCCTGCCTGTTCTTTGTGTATGAGCATGGACAGTCACTGTTGACTGGCTGCCAGGCTAATGACTGTAGGGTCAACACAGCCAAAGTTGGATCCCATTTTAACTCGTGTCTGCATGATTTTGTTGTACATGTCATGGGCAGTGATCTGGAAGGGGGAATATTGTCTAGTTTGTTCCTCCTCCTTCCTAACCAAACAGCCTTTTGGCCAATCTTACGTGTCCCATTTGTTGCATCAGTTGAGATCACATAATTCAGTCTGGGAAACTAATCTGCAATTAGGATGTATTATTATACTAAGTAGTGCTCTTCCCCAATAGACTATTGTATGTAATCTTTTAAAGTTATTTTTTGGTTGATACAGAAGTATTTTGATGAGTTGTAGCTGCTATCAGTTATTATTAAATTATTTGTAGAAAGTGTACTAGTTTGTTTTTCATTCTGTGAGAAAGCCCATTTTTCTCAATTTTGCACAGTCCCAATTATACTCCAGCCTACTCAGAGTTAAAAGAAAGCTTGCCTAATTGAGAAAATATTGCAATAAGTTTTGACTTTTTAAAATGGCTAAGTATTTTTCCACTGAATAATCCAACCAGTGTCAATTTGACAGGAAACCAAACCCAAAAACATTATTAATAATTATTACTCTGAAAGTACTTCTTAGCAATTATTTTTAAATGGCATTATTATTACGTGAATCACATCACCTCGGTGCCCTCAAAATGTACATTTAAAATACAGTACTATAAGATTATTTAAAAAACTGCTTTTTTATGGGATTGACATCTGTAACTTGCAGAATTTCATGTTTTTTGCTGTTAACTTTTGATTCAAGGTATCGAATTTTGTAACTTTGTCATAAAATTCACTTAGAATTAAAATATGATAGTTTGCACTTCTACTTCCAAGACCTCTTACAGAGGTGTTGGTGATTAGTGAACGTATTTTTGCTTCCAGCATAATTGAGGCCAGGCCTATAATTGGATTTGTGTAGACAACAATGGGTACCTAGCACACATTACACAGTAGTAATCTCATTGATGGGTTCAGATGATGTTATAAAGCACGAGAACTGTTGTTGTGAGATCCCATTAATGTCTGCAGCTGCTCGTGCTTCAACAATACTCTTTCACACACAATTAAAATGTTCCTCAATTATTGATAATTAAAAAGCACAGAGTAAATGTCATGAATGTCCAGTGCTTTGAGTATTGTTATCCACTTAAAAACTGCTTGAGGGAGAGATGAAAGCTTTAAAAACTATCTGCAGTATTTTGACGTAGTATTTTACAGTAATATCTGAATATTAATTTACTCACAGTTTTAATAGATAACCATTTCAACTTGTTGTTAAATGTAAACATACTTTGAAAGGTTATTGTTCGTACAATTTTTTTTATTCTACTTTTCTTCTCCCCCCAACCCCGTGCAGGGCTGGATGAATGAAATTTGCAATTATGATCCTGAAACTTACCATGCTACACTCACGCATTCTGTCTTCATTCGTCTTGAGGGGAGTGTACTAAGGCTTTCAAAACCTAATAAGAATATTTCCCGAAGGGCTTCTTTTAACGAGGCTAAGCCAGAAGTCATGTATATAAGTCAGAAGATTTATGACCTATCTGACAGTAAGGTAGGTACCAAACGTCTGGTCTTAAGCTATTTAAATATGCTGTTAATGCTAAATATGCACATTTGTAAGAGTATAACCCCCAAAAATTGTATAGTTATGCATATTCCTTTGGGTCTGGGGTCACCATAACCTGGACAGCTGACTTGAACCGGATTACCTGGAGATGCACGGGAGTAAGATGAGGACTACTTTCTTGGTTCTTCTCTTTGCATGGGCACGTTTCTGCCCTATGCTGGGTGCCTTCTTTGTGTTACAGTCAATATAGGTATTCCATTACCTGAGGTAATTGCTGGTAGAAATCGTCATAGTGCAGTGTATATTGGTGGCCCACCGCCCTGTGCCCCCAATAGTCCCTTTCATCTCCAATGCCCTTGCCTTTCAAGAGCTGTCTGCTAACATCTGTGAGTGTACTTTGGCGAGATTGCCAAAGATTTCGGTCTATATTGAGTATTTAGGCCTCACCCTCTGTGTGATCTGGATTAGTTTCTACTGAAGGAGGTGGAGTTTGAGATTAAATTAGTTGGGAAACTGAGGGCAATCAGCACCTTTGACTCTTTCATGTTTACCCATTCCTACCAGATGTGCCTCCTTTCCATTCTAGTGACACAAAGAGTGCCTTGCCCACGCTACTGTATTTGTGTGCCAACATTGCTGCTGGCCCAAGGTTTATTTTGATTTACACTTCTGAAAGTAGAGCTGGACTCATAAATTACAGTCTGTGTTTTTCCCCTATGGTCATTATCAAAATATAATTTCTAGCTAAATCAATCTATCCTTCCCCATTACCACTCAAGGTGGATCCATCACTGCTCTAAAATACAGAGAATCTCGTTAGTGCTGCCATTCTACTCATTTTAAAGGTTGTGAGGAAGATAAATAGGAAAGGCCTAAGCTCTTCCCTCTATCAGTGCTTTCTTCTATTCTTGTCAAATTCTTGATTTGACAAGTGATATTTGGGGCATGGGAAGAAAAATGAGCTTGACTGAAGCTACTTATTTTTGCTACTCCCCCGGTTTAATCTGTCTTCCAACCAGATCATTGGGTAATTGTTTGAATGTTCGTGACATGGCTGACTTGTTTCTTCACAGTGGATTGTTAATGCAATATGGTCCCATAGGTAGAATTCCACATGCTGTGCCTATATTTTGGTGTTCTTAGGGTTATTTTTTAGTGAATAAATACTCTTGATTGTGCCCTGTTATAAGGTGGCTTGGAATGTTATAGAGTCCAACTGTATGTAGCTTTGTGAGAGTGTTCTACTGTACTTGTGTAATACTTGACTTTTAGATTTTCATCCTCTTATAACCATTGTGCAAATAATGTATCTGTTACAATAGAAATCCACATATTATAAATCCTGAAAATTAAACTATAATGTTTTAAGGTTTCTCTTCTCCTTTTTGGCATTAATTTTTCCAGGTACATTTAGTTCCAAAGAGTCTGGCCAGAAAGAGAGTATGGAATAAGAAATATCCAATTTGCATTGAACTTGCCAGACAGGATGACTTTATATCAAAGACCCAGACAGAGAAAGAAAATGCAGAAGAAAAGCCCCCTCTGGAGAAAGCAGAAGTTGCGCTTGAGGAAAGAAAAGTGGTCCCTTCACAAGATGTTGTGAAGCCAACTTCTCTGAAGGATCAAGTTCTATATCTTTTTGGAAGGACTGGCAGAGAAAAAGAGGAATGGTTCAGGAGATTCCTTCTAGTTTCAAAGGGAAAAACTGATGTTAAACGACTAATCAGTCTAGGGGGAGGCATAACAGGTAACCCTATGTTTTCTATCCATCATTCCTTTGCAACTTGAACTACTGAGGTTTTTTAACAGGAAGGTGGAAACGTAGGGCATTTCATTGAAACACTATCTTGGACATTAAAACAGTGTTGACTGAATATAAATGCTTTGCAAGGTAAGCTTTAACAGTGTAACGGGCATCAATCAGTTTGGTTAATTGTAAGTTGTTTCTTAAATTTGGTCTCTTAGTGGAATAAATACTGATGTAAATTTTACAGATTTTAAAAATTTGACAGATTATGCTGTATTGTACTAATTAAGTATCTACCCTATTCCAGGAATCTAGCTCAGGATTGCACTTGTTTAATTAAGACTGTGAAGTGCTTTGCGACTTCCTGACCCCATGATAAGACACGAGGTCAAAAGCAAGGATTATTATATGTTCAACTTATAAGTAAAGTACATGACCTATTGTCAAGTTAAATTATCAAAGGCAAACTCAAATTCTGACTTTAATGTTGTAATTACAAGCTTTTCAAGGCTTACCATTTCACTTCATTTTTACTGGTGTTGCTCCACTGCTGTCATTGCATTTGTTCCATTAATGTGACGGCTTAAATCTCCGCTTGGCTGAGCTTCCAGTGAGTTCAACTCATTAAATGATTCAATGGTAAAAGAGGAATAGTGCAATTTTGTTCCCCCCAAAAACCTGAAAATTCACAATTTTGAGCTCTGAAGTGCAGGGGTTTCACACTGGGTATGTTTTGCTTTAGTTCAGGGATTTACCTAATGGGTTCCTCTTTGCATAGTTTGTCTTGGTCTTGAGATTAGGTATAAAGTGTGTGAATAGTATTTCAGAATAAGCAACGCTGCTTTGGTACCTAATTGGTTATGTTTTCATTTACAATGGGGACTTCAGGATTCATCCCATCACACAGTAGGAACAACAGTCAGTCAGGAAAACTCACCCACAGCCGCAACAGCAGCAAGGGAAGTGTTGAAGAAATCGTGACACAATCTAAACCGAAAGATCTAACAGCTGCAGTCCGCCAGAAAATGCTTCTGGACTATAATGTGTACATGGCAAAATATATTCCTCAAGAAAGCTGCAGCCCTATCTTAAGTCCTGTCCAAAGTGCAGAAAGTAGTCCCACTAGTTGTAAAAAGGTAAGTGAAAATCAATTGGTTTTACTTTATGTCTTTGCTTTCCCAACCCAATCACAGTGGCCAGGTGAATCATAGAATTATACAGCAAAGAAGGAGGCCATTCGGCCCATCGTGTCTGTGCCAGCTCTTTGAAAAGAGCTATCCAATTCAATCCCACTCCCCCACGCTCTCCCCATAGCCCTGCAAGCAGTTGTAACAGGTATAAAGAACAGTTACAGTAGGGATCTGAACTTCTACTTCCAGACTCTTTTTGGTCAGCTGGGTGTTTTAACACATGCCATTACTGTGCTTAAGAACATTGAAACCAGACAAAGTTCCACTTAATTATGCCACCCACACATAGAAATAACCCATTTGTCTGCAAAGGAGCGCGCACACTCTCCTCAGAGGAACGAACCCTTCTTACCTAATTCAGAAAAGTAGGCAGAAGTTGGCAAGAACCAAGGCTTGCATTGCCAGGCATGTCACTTTAGAGTAGTTTAGCCCCAAAGATATCCTAGCAATCTACTTGTAAAGTGGAAATTTGATACAGTGAAATATTACAAAGATTACTTTAGAAAAACTAAAATTATTAAATCTGTAGTTGTCATTTGCTTTATCCCTACTATTTCACTGTTCCATGGTTGCTATATTTATGAATACTGATCGCCCATTTTTTTCTAAATCAGTTGTCAATAGGTCAGAAGGATGACACAGACCAGCAAGTGGCTTGGGTCAATGCACTGCTTGGGAGGATATTCTGGGACTTTCTAGGCGAGAAGTATTGGTCTAACTTGGTGTCTCGAAAGATCCAGATGAAACTCAGCAAGATTAGGGTATTTACTCTGTGTTAATAACTTTTTTCTGTTATCTATGTAACAAATTAATTTACAGATTGCATGAGAACATTCCACTATACCAACATTTAGCTGAATTTTGTTTAAGCCCAGTAAAAGCGTGGTATGTCAGGGAATAGTGGAGGTCAGTAGAGTTTTAGGTTTTTCATTGAGTTAAATCAGCCAAGAACTTCAATTCATTACCAATAAAAGCCAGCACTTTGAAATTGTAGTGGGAATATGCTAATTCTTCTTCGTGACCAGTGTTCTGGGTTGGATGTGGGTATTTGTGCACTTACAATGAAGTGAAGTGTATACAGATTTGTCACATCCTATGGCACCCTTGATAAATTTACCAAGATTAAAAAGAATGAGGCGCGTTTCCATTTCGAAGCACCAAGGATTGCTTTTTGTAGATTGCAGCAGGAAAATTGAAGATCTTTTACAAAAGGAAATTTGGTGGGTGAATGCTTATTTATATTTTGTGGCCCAGAATTCCTAGAGGTATTACATTTGCTTTCGGTTCCTTTCATTTTGGATAAAGAGGGAAGAAAAGATTATTCAGGAGAGATTTCAATCATTTATTTCTAACTGTGGGTGGAAGAGCAAGTGGAGAAAAAATGAGTCTTGATGATGTTTTCATATTCTGCTTAATACAAATATTTATTCCATTTCAGCTGCCATATTTTATGAATGAGCTGACTTTGACGGAACTCGATATGGGAGTTGCTGTGCCCAGAATCTGTCAAGCTTCAAAACCTTCAGTTAATCACCAAGGTAAGCACAATTAAAATTCATCTGTGGTGTTCGTGGGCTTTTTGATGTTATCAAAGATTTCAGACTCAAAGGTAAGCTAAGATACTGCACTGATGTAAATCCAGAAACCTGTAAGATTAATCAAAGTGTTTCCACAATACTAATGATGAGCTTCATCATCAGAATTGACTTTTCCCTCTGTCTTGTAGGCAGTAGTCTTCGTGAAGAGACAAAATGTTAACTGCATCTTGCACCTCGTCTGAAAACAATTACATAACTACGTGTTGTGCTGAACTGTTTCTTGTTTAGTATCTCAGTACGCTGAGACATTCTCTGATACCTTCTGCTGAAAGTCCAAACTTTAGAAATCACGAGTCTTAACTGGTTTGTTTAGAGTACATTTCAAAGGACATGAATCTTAGTCAACTTATCAGACATGTTTTACTTTCAGAGTCTGCTCATTCTGTTTGATGTACAAGTATTGAATGGTCATGATGGTATTTTGAAGCATTGAGTGAGAAGTGCAAATCCTTTTACANTTTTTTTCATCCATTTGAAGAGTGACATTTATTGATGCCTGGAAGTGGGTCACTTGCCTGTATTCTCAGCTTGGAAATAATGTGTCTCGGAGGGATTTAAAAGGAAGACAGAAACCATTTACCTTAAATTTGATCTTTTCAAAAGAAAATATTCCAAGAATAAACGTGATTGAATAGCACGCAATTGGTACCTTGGGGGTTTCAGTAATGTTTGCATTAATGTTCATTTTGAATTTGTAAAGTGGAAAAATCATTGAAATTACCAAGTGATATTTCTGCACAATTATGCATAGCAACCGTGGAAATGAAAAATATTCCAATTGCAAGGGTGACTGAAAGTTAATTGACTAAATTGCGATGCAGAAATATTTTCTGCAGCTATGAAATCTGTACTATATTAGTGTTTGAAGTATTTAAGGAAGATTTATGTGCAGTGTTATATTTTTGTCTGTAACATTTGACATAGCTGTGCTAAATGTTGGAGTAGGTTAGCTTCCAGAGAAACATTCGCTCTAAATGAGATTTCACAGCTGCTTATCCAAAGCTCAGATGATCTTTCTCTGCCTGCCTTTGCAGAATACTGATATGTTGCAACTTGAGACCTTCATTTCAACATCAAAGAGCAATTGGTTGTTTTTGCACTGCTTGATTATCTGTAGGAGGCACACATCAATTGTTGAGATGTTACAGCTTCACTTGTGTTAGAATAAATTCATAACCAGTTCATACATTTAACATGCTCAGAACTATTACACCAACCTTCCTAAATTTAAATGCAAAACTTCCCTTTCCTTCACTTAACTGTCCATCAAAGGTGCTCCATGGCTCATCAGTAGATGGTACAAAAATATAAACCGAGATGGAGCCCGAAATTTATTTTTATGTCTTCTGAGTTCCTCCTGCCACCTTGACAACAATTCAGTTTTTCACTGCATCGGATAACTTTGCCAAGATTTTCAGCTTTAAGTCCACAAGTAATTGGCAATGTTTCCAATGTTGTGAAATAGTCTCCAGGCACTCATTGCCAAAGCTCATTTTTTTTCATTGCAGCTGCTTAACCTTTAACTCTGGAACAACAAACGGCACAAGGATGATCACCATCTTCAGCTTAGTTTTTTTTCTCAATTGACCAGGAAGATGGATGTAGAAATTCAAAGTAGTTTTGCAATAACTGGTTTGATTGCGGCAGAATTCTGGCAAAGACCGAAACCCTCGAGCCACTCATACTTCCAACACTCACTGGTTTCTTTTTAATTTCTAGTCCCTGACATGTATTTGATTGTTAACATTTGGAAAAATATTTTGAATTTTTAATCTTCCTGTGCAATAAATACTTGCAATTTCATTTATCTAAATAATTACATTTCGTTGGTGCTGAGCTCACTAGAGATGTTAGAACTCAATTGCACACAGGATTGAGAATTCTTTGATTGTTCAAATGGTTTGTTTTCTACAGGTTTATGGATTGATCTGGAGATTTCCTACAATGGGTCGTTTCTAATGACCCTGGAAACTAAAATGAACCTGACCAGACTAGGAAAGGAGCCATTGGGTGAGGGATATAAAGTGGGCGACGTTGGCAAAGAAGGGTAAGGTTTTTTTTCACAATTGCCCTAACCGCAGCTCTTTTAACACTTGTGTAGCAAATGTGTAATTTAACACTTTCTTTTTGCACATCAATGCTTTTTACAAACCAAAGTAAAACGAATTTATGAATTGACAGGCAGAATGATTGATCAAGCTAAAATCTCAAACAAACGGTCTTTTGGTTTACTCCCTAATTTTATTTTTTAAAAGTCATTTCTGGATACTAAACTTTAAAATATAATGTCAACAAGCACTTAAGTTGCTGAATAACTTGAACCTTTTACTTGGAAAGATACCACTTCCCAACTCTTCTCCCGCCCTCTCCGAAGAAGATTTTGTTTTCCACGCATGTTGACCTGCTATTCGAAACTCTTGACATTTTTTAAAAAAGTTAGTGACATCTAAAATTTCAGTGGTATTGACCCTCTGCCCATTAACTATGTACGTGGAGTGCTGATCTGATAATCTGATTCAACTAGCATCAGTTTTAATGACTAATTCTGAAATAAATTGAAAAGCAGTGTAGTTTTAGATTTTGAATTGAATAATTCTAGCTCGCATTTACCTGGTGTTCAGTCTACACCATTAGACTGAACTTCATTATAATTCTGCAAGATTGCATTCGCAGCAAGATCTATCATTTCCACATCAGCCAAAGCAATGCAAGAAGCACCACTAATTTTAATTGATTTTTGAGAGTGCACAGTGCCCTCTACCCCATGTCAGTTCAGTCACTTAGAAAATGGCACCGCAATGGAGCTGCACTACCATTCTTGCTTGAAACAAAAGATATACTCAAATCATGGACTAGTACTCTGATGGGTTTTTAGCATATCTTTTATAGTAAGCAACGCTGAATATTGGAAAGGGATTCATATGAATATGAGCTCTTTTTCCTAAATAATTTTTTTTCTTAAGTATGCTCCTTTTACCATGGGTAGGATCACCTATGTACCTGGAAGATGTTGTCATTGCAGCTTTGTTACTATCCTTTCCTCACTCCCCCACCACTACCATCACCTTGTTGCTTCCTAACAGTTGTAACTTGTCCCATTACTTTTGCTCTCATCTGCTTTTAGGAAGACTTTTTTTAACCAAAGGGACTGTTTCCTTCTTAGTGGGGGGAAAAACCTTGAGGCTCTGTCCCTGAGTTTTCTAGTTTATCAATACCTCTCTCTCCTTCCCGACTCCTCGCGTAGCTATAACAAAGGTTACATTCTCCCCGACGTTGTGTCCAGCTTTGTTCAGTGCAGTTGTGTTAATGTGTTTGAAGTTTAGTATCTGTGCAAAATTGGATTATGCCTGAAATGCCATCAGTGGGTTGAAATAGAAATTTGAATGATCTTTGATTACGACTGAGGGGAAATCACAGTTTGTGGGAATAGAGTGATTCTTGCGCATTCCGTCCGAGTCCCAGATCTATTTTTGTTTGATTCATTATCATGCATCCCTTGCATTAGTCTGTTCAGATTTAATTGGTTTGGCAGGGATCAAGTTGGTGAATTTAACTGCTTTGAGTAATTGATCATGGTGTCAGATCACATTAGCACCTTGTTCTGTTGAAAGCAATGGGAACACATGTGAGTCAAAGCCATTGTGTTGGAGGTGAATCACTTCTGCTCTTGTTCACCCCCATTGTTATTCCCTGAGGCATGTGTTAGAAACCGACATATAAACCTGTTTCTATAAAAGTATAAATGTCTTTGGGCACTGCACAGACCCCTTGCAGCAGACGGATCTTATCTTTCTTCCTGATGTTTGTTCAAAGACTAAACATTTTACATAAGATGCTATGTCTTGGGGCTTAATTTAAATTGATTTGAGCATGTTAAATTACACCCAATTTTGTATTCCTTTGCTAACTTTAAAAAAGGTTTCTGCTATAAAATATGTTTAAATTTGTGTTTTAGCCAGATTAGTCAATGTATATGGAACCTTCCACAGTGATTTCAAAGATGTGTGATATGTAAAGCTTGCTTTGTGTTAACATTAATCAATTTAAAGTATGTGCTTCAGTCCAATCTAGTAGCCCTCTGCCCACTTGCGGTATGTTTCAAATAAAAGATGGTCCGTTTTCACTAACTTGTGTTTATACGTTTTTTTTCATTCCTCCATTTATAATGTGTTTGATCGGAATCATCTGTGGATTTGTGTGATTCTGGTGAGTGGTAATCGTAATCTTCTGTAGCCAATGGGAATGTCTGTTCTGTCAGCATTACATACATTTCATTTAGATACTAAAGATTAGAGCCAAAGGGAAAATATTACCTTCTTGCTTTGTTCTTGCCTGCGCATGGGAATTCTGTCAAACTATGTGATGATTCATTAAAGGGGCTCCATGGTAACAAAAAAAACTAAACCTTAGTTGCATAATTGGCATTGGAGGATGTTGCTTGCACATAATAATAATAATAATCCTTGCATTTGATATAGCGCCATATTATGCCTTTGAGATGTCTTGATGTGCTTCATAGAATATATTGTAAAGTGAATTGACCAAATGCGCCATTAAATTCTGCAATTATGCCATTAATTTTGTTCTGGTGATGGTGCCCCTTTAATTGGCATTTTGTAAGCATGTATTTTTTTCACATGTGTGCACTGACTGACCCGACCTCCAGTGGGACTCTGCTTTGGTTTCCAGTTAAGTAGTAGACTTGCAGGTAAACTATGTTGATTGGTAGCTAAGCAACTGAACCTCCTCAGATGGATTTGTGGATCTGCACGTTGTTTTATTCCTCTTAGCTGTTGCATGTAGGTGTGTGTCAGTGGCCTCAATGCAGGTACAATTAATCTAACCCACAAAGGGTGCCATATATTATACATCATCTTTTCACAAGGCAACAACTCAATTCTTGTGAGTAGATCACGTGCAATATACACCACCTTTATTAAAAATTAATGTCTTGAGAACTAGAGGGAATAATGCAATACCAGAGATCTTAGTCTCAATATATTTAATAATAACTGGATTCAGTGTGAAGTAATAAGTAATAGCAATTGTGCAGCTTTTTCTTTAATCCTTTTAGGGCTGTAAATAAAATTGAAATCAGAACAAAACATTGTGATCTGCTGACCTAATATTTGAATTGGATGGGTGTTTCCTTTGCATGACCTGAATGGCTGTATTTATATGAAATGTTAGATTTGGAATAGGAAGCTTGTTTGATAACCTATTTCTCTCTCTGCTGCTCCTGATGTAGGAGTAGACCCAAAGCCTACTGTCTGGCTGACAGTGACGAGGAGTCCTCCAGTGCTGGATCCTCAGATGAAGAAGATGCACAGGATCTGATGAGTGGGGACAAAGCACTTGCAGCAATGGCAGAAGGGTAAGGTTACTGCAGTTTGCCACCGCTATTATAAGATAAAATTCTTGATGGAAATGCAGATTGAATAATATGCAGAAAACGTCGGTCTTTAATGTCTCATACGCTCACCTTGACACTGGTTTCAGAAACGTGGCAGTGAGGTGGTTCCCATTTCTATTTAATGGAATACATACTAAAATGTTGCCATGAAAATAAAACTGTAAACGACCTGCTAGAATTAATTTCAAATACGACGACAGCAATAACCACAAAATTGTCAGAAAGGTAAAACTTTTCCATGTAAAAAAAAACTTGTTCATGTATGCAGATATGTGGGAGGACATCGAACCAGCAAGATAATGAGATTTGTGGATAAAATTACAAAGTCAAAGTATTTTCAGAAAGCTACAGAGACTGAATTTATTAAGAAGAAGATTGAAGAGGTCTCAAATACACCACTTTTACTTACTGTGGAAGTTCAAGAGTGCAAAGGAACTCTCGCGGTGAATGTTCCACCACCACCTACTGACAGAATATGGTAAGAACAGGTCCAATTCTGCTAGTTACTGTACAATGCTTGGGCTCTCAAGTAACACTGAAATTGCTGGTCGGAACACTTTGTTAGCCTTCGAATATATCTGATTACAAAGTCTTAAGTTTATTTTGTACATCTTTATAAGTGGTGTGAACCAGGGGTGGGTGGACAACAAATCTGCCTGAAATCCAATGTCTAGTTGCAATGTTTTGTGTGAGGACTAAACTTCCTGACCCTTAACTTTGAGATACTCGCGTACGCAAAGCAAATGTTTCACAAGCTGAAGTGTGGATAAAGTTTGTGCTAAAATGTTTAGTTGCTGCCATTTTGAAGTGTTTGTGTGAATCCTGAAAACGTTGTCTTATCAGATTGTGAAAATTGATTACTGCACCTGTTTGCTAATATTTCTAATCCTTGTTGAAGGTACGGCTTCCGAAGACCACCCCACATTGAGCTTAAAGCTCGTCCCAAACTGGGTGAGCGTGAAGTGACTATAGCACATGTAACTGACTGGATTGAGAAGAAACTTGAACAAGAGTTCCAGGTAAAGGGGTTCTTTAGCTTACAAGATAATATTGTATAAATCCACACTTTAAGAATAATCCCCCTCGTTTTTCTCATTATTAATGACTAAGTACTTGTCAAAGTGCCTTATTGTCCATTGAAGAGCTTTATATTCCTCTCCTACAAAAGATCTTTGTTAAACAGAATTTTACAGCATTGATATTTTTACCTCAGTAATTGGGGAGGGTGAGCCGTCTTTACTTTGATTTGGTCTCGTTGGTTGATTTGGTGCCTATATCCACCTTTTCTGCTTTATTCTCCTTGACTTATGTATACCGGGGAGTTTGACTGAATGCCAATAGCCTATTTGAGTACACTGGTCGGTCAGTAACAATCTGACTGTTTGGGAATAATTTATTTGCAAAAGAAAGCATCAGAAATATTTGGAAAAACTTTTTTTTAAAAAAAGCATTAAACGTTTGAAATCCATTGATATTTCTTATGTTGTTTGCAATGTAAACGAAACATCATGTGAACTTAGTGTAACCAAATAATTAATGTTGAGACTCAAGTGGAACATTTGAAAAGGGTGTTTTATTTTCAAACTATGAGGGCATTACACAGGGTGACGAAAAAGTCTTGATAACTACCCTATTATCTGAAAAAATATATATAATTTCTTGTTAGACTTATTAGACATTGAAATGGTATCTCGACTTTTTGGTCACCCTGTACATGTACTTGTTGGTATCCATAAACAGATCCTAATACATTTTCTTAACCGTTTTTTCAGAAAATCTTTGTTATGCCAAATATGGATGATGTGTATCTTCCGATAATGCATTCAGCCATGGACCCACGGTCACCCTCAGTGTGGCCTGCAAGGGAGTCCCCAACAGAACTAGCTGATCGACTGTGATGTATGACCGTTTATGTTTACAGTATAATGAAGTTGCCATTCATGTGCTTTTAAACTGTGCCGTCATCTGTCTTTGGAACCATTTGTGCCACTATACTTTTCGAGAATACTGTTTGTTGTATGTGCAGTTTGCTGAATCTCTTTCACAAAATGTATTGTTAATTGATAATATTGTCATCCATTCCAAGNAAAAAAAGCCCAAACATCTATATATAGATCATATGTAACTGTACTTGTAAATGACTTGTTTGACCTGAAATGCTTTGGTTAAAGTGGGCCCTTGTTGGCCTGGTGAGATTTACAGAAACCTAAATGATGGTATGGTTGCTTGAAAAGACCTTGATGAAGGTGTAAAGAAATGCATGATTTGCCTGTAGGTTTGAAGTACATATCAATTACAGTATAAAACACCATTGACATGACCTAGAATTGCTAATTCTATACAAGCTGCCCTTGCGATATATGTTTCGTAGTTATTTGTCATTCAAAATTGTGTTTGCAACTGCAGCCTGTTTCGCTGAAGTCACTTGTTCTATTGCTCCTCTGTTCATGCTGTCTGGTAAGCACTGTATACCTCTGCTAGCAACTCAAATATTTTCCCCAGGTCAATTTTATAAACTGTGGGAAATAATTTTGTACAGCTAAACATCCTTAAAATTTTGAAAACTTATTCAGGTCCCAGTTTAATAACTACATGACTCCTGGCCAATTTGGTAACAATTTACTTGCATGAAAAACCCTGCAACTCCCGCTAGCTTACAATTAGCAGATGAGTCTTGGGAAAATTCACTTTGAGGTGGTTGGGGGCGGTGGGGCGGGAACGCATGAGAACTGTTTTGAAGGACACAAATTAAAATGCATTCTATTTTTCAATAGATTTGCCCTCGTACCTCGATGAGTCATTAAGGATGTCATTAGATTTGAATCATATAATTCTGTACAAACTTGGTCTGCAAATGTGATCAATAACACTGCTTTATAAAAGCTTAGAGTGACTGGTACAGAATAGGAAGGAGTATGTATTCTCACTGAATCATTAGGGCATGGGAGAAAGCCTTAAAACAACTCAAACCAGAGGTAGGTCTCCTTACCTAAAAAGCAGTTGTAAAGGTAAGCAGAATATTGAAATATACAATGGTTTAAGTAATATCCCACCTTTTGTGCCAACATGTAAGGAATTGCAGCCATCTTTCACAAGCTACATATTTACTTACACGTTGTTACTTAATACCACCTTGTGTGGAAGTTGTAAATGTGAAGTGGAAAGCCAATCAAAGCTTTCGCCAAATCAGCTATTTAAAGACCTACCGATCATAAACACAAGAGTGGCCAAACCATGAAGTTAGCCTCTTCTGGTGACAAAGACCCTCCACATACTGCTGTGGCTTTCCATTCCAAATTGGTCAACACTTCAAAGTAAAGGCTAGTTAGATGCATAAAGATCTATTGAACTAACAGGAAAAGATGAAAGCTGTTGTGGAAGTAAACGTAATATCAGACTGATTTAATGAGTTTCTATCTGGGGAGGTGGGGGAAAGGGTTGCCTAAAATGTGGGTTTACCTTCCCTAGACATTTATTTTATTATTTGTTCTACATAAGGGTCTGCAGAAGTGTTCATTGTGCTTCAATTCCATTGTGTTATTTGTTTTATGCAATCATATTATGATTTCTGTGCCTTAGGTCCATTTCCCCGGCATTCCTTGTTGCCCCAACCCATCGCATTCAACCTAAGTGTAAATTGATGCTAATCACTACATGAATCGTAGATGCCTAATTAAGGGCTCTAGTGTGAAGAATTTATAATTCCAGCAAGTCATCTTTCAAGAGCAGTTTGCTGAAGGAAAGATGAATATTTGCAAAATGTTAAATTAAAATAAGTAATATATTTTAAGATGTGTATAAGTTGAATTTTTAATTTTCTACATTTTAATTTAGGCCTGTAGGTACAATATTGTATTTGTTTTGACCTTATGTCAGGGCTAGAATAACACACATTTGACTGCATTCCAGTCTTACCTACACTGTTGCTTTCTTATATTTTGTGGGCAATATTTGCCTGCCAAAAAAATGTTGCATGTCTTGTTGTAGTCAGGTCCTACCTGTGGCCTGTATTAAGTGTGCAATAATGAATCGAGTCCAAGGACTAAATGCACTATGCATAATCATAATTAAAAAGATTCTTATAAATTATGTTCTTTCGTACTTCACATTATCACATTAACATTCTGTGAAGGACTAGCTTGCAATGTTTTATTTAATAAAATTCCTCCTCTCACAACACGTGTGGACTGTTGTACAGCTACTTTTGTGTCTCTGTAAATTGGGTGCAATGTGCAAATAACAGCTGGGAAGAGAAAGGGAACCCACAGAAGGATCATTTTATCTGTGTACAGAATGTTTAGTCTGGCTACTAAACTGAGTTCCCAACAAGCAGGCTTGTGGTGTTCCATTTCCCTTGCTCAAGGAGTTGTTCTTTTGAGTGAGTTGAAGTTGTGGCACCAATGAGTTCATAAAGCCATTGAGCTCGCATCAGAGAGCCCAAGGTCAATCCTTTCCTCACCTTATGTCCTCCCACCCCCATGTATGTGTATTCCTGCAAGGAACTCTGGCATACTTCTGCTAAGAGTACTCCTGCAAGATTGCTTACAGTAATTAAATAGACCAGTTTAGAGCAGAGCTTGATTCAGATATTGTTTTATTTTGTTCAACCTAATGAAAGACCAAGAATGACACACTTTATTTTGACATTTCTTATAAAGTTTAACATGGGTGAATAGGATCGAGACCAGACTTGGCCTCAAATGTAGGCAAATGTATTTTGAATGCAAATGCACGTATCCTGTAAATGTACACATGCAAATTCAAATGTATTTACCAATGTCCTGGATGCCCATGTGGCATTTTCTATTCAGGCAGAAAAAATGCAGCACTTAAAAGAGCATTTACAATCCACATCTTTACACGTAAAAGTCAATACAAGAGTCAAAACCTGTCAAAATTATCACAAGTTCACACACAAAACTCACTGCATTTAATAAAAAGTTGCATACCAAAATTCTCGTCAGTGATTTGGGCTCTTTCTGGATTAAATATCTTCCCTGCAATAACTGAAAACTCTTTCTACAGCACTGGATGAAGAGGGTACACACAAATAATATCTTGCTTACAGCAGCAAACGAGGGAACCCCAGCTGGTTGTCTCTCCAGTAGTTGAACGGGTCAGCTGCAAAAGGCAGAGCAGCCTCCCATAGGTATTCGTCTACTTCGGTTTAATCTAGTGCGGGTTTCAGCCTCCATATCACTGGAGGACCTGTGCTATTTGCAGGTGCGTCGCCTTTTCGTGGTTATGATAATGCTCGGACCAGGTCTTGTTTCAGGGCCTTTCTGGTTAAGCACACCATCGCAGTTTAAACTTAGGATCGAGAACCATTTGGGCTTGTATAGGTGTTTCTCCAGAATAGCAGTAGCATAGCAGATTTTCTGATATGAGAGACGATTGCAGAAATTTTGGTAATGATTTGCCTATTCCATCTGGCTTCATTAAGAATCAGATGCAGAGCTTGATTAAAACACCGCTGGTGAGCTGGCATGTTCTCCATCAGTTTGTCACTGGTTGGTGTGTTTGAGGTGGGCTGAACCTTAGCATCAGCCTCAGAATCAATATCGGAGGCTCCCAAGCCATTCTTGTCGTTGTTAACCAGTGTGGCAATAAACCCAGGCAGACTGAAGGCGGCCACCATATTGGTTGCGCTGTCAGTAACAATAGTGGTAATCTTATTGCCAATAAAAAAGGATTCGGTGATTTCCTCATAGTACTGGTGAATGTGTGATGGCCTGGTATCCGCCTACATTCAAGCAGAACGGATTTCAAGGTGTAGTCCATTACCACATGCCCAGTAACAGCGAAAGCACGCTGGTCTGTTCGATCAGATATCAGCAGTTAATCGACACACGGATTGGGCACAGTTGAATATTTTTGTGCAGTGACTGGTAGCGTTCAGTTAACGTCTGCATAAATGGTTTGACCGTCGTATTTGATAGCCAGATTGTGTGGAAAGACTGACTGTCCACAAAAGATATGGGCAGCAGGTTACCGAGGAACGAGGGCTGTATTCGTTTGGACTTGCCGAGGATCATTCGGACTCCACTTGTGTATGGAAACCATGAAGTCGCTCATTTCATTTGGATTCCACTTGATGAAGTGGAGATGCAAACTCAAATGAATTTGCATTTAAATGCAGAGGCATTTGCTTTTGGACTCAAGTCAATCTCCCCCCCACAGAAGAGTTTGCATCAAGTATCAACATATCAGTTTTTAAAATCATTTTGATAAAGGTGAATTGAGTACATTGCGATAAGCACTGAAGCGGGTGCTCAACTTGGAAAAGCACTCCTTACACCAAAAAACGGCATCAATTACACTGAAGTCATAACAGAAGATGCAGTGTACTCTCTTTCAGTTCCACATCTGGTTGCTCCTTGCATAAAGAATATTGAGTTACAAAAAGAATTTCTGACAGTGGCCTAAAAATTGGATTTGAAGACCACATCCTTCCAATTGTATTGCCTGTTCTTGGGACTACAGCACTTCACCTGGGATCTGAAGAGGGTAAAGAGATTAGACTAGTGTACATGTGTTACATTTCATGCTCAGTTTCACAGATGTGATTAACTTAATTTCTGATCAGAAGTCTAAACACACACTTTTGTCTCAAACATCAGTCCAAAAGTCAACATATTTGAAACGAGCAGGAGGAATATTCTTAGGAGAATCAGTGAGCTGATGATTAGTTGTCTACTGAAGGGGATTTCGCTTGGAACAGGTTTTAAACTATAGGTGAGTGACCGAACTTTGAAAAATATATTTTTGTTACTTTCTAGGATTGTTTCCCTGCCTCACTTTACATTTAGTTTACCTGACTGCCATTTTCCTACTCCCATGACGTCTTGCAATCACCATCAGTCTCTGGGCAGGTTCTACATTTCAAATGGTTTTGACTAGAAGGAGATAAAAGGATAAAATGTTACTGATGGTGTGATGTTCCTGCGGCCAGCGCTCATTCCTGTACTACATACAAGTCACCCGACTGGAATCAGATTAGAACTTAACCTCATGAGCTTCAGAAGTCTAACACGCTAAGAAAATCATCATATTCCAGTCGTGTCTATACCCAGTTAGAGAAAAGTTACATTTAGTTACCTGACTGCCATTCTCCTTCGACATGAGGTCCTGCATTCATCGTCAATTCATCCTTTGGCAGGTTCTACATTTCAAAAGGTTTTGACTGGAAGGGAACAAAAGGATGAAATAAATGTTACTGATGGCGTGGTGTTCCCTCGGTCAGGGCTCATCACTACACGTCACCCGACTGGAATCAGATTTGAACTTTTACTTCATGAGCTTCAGAAGTCTAACACGCAATGAAAATCATCATATTCCAATCATGTCCGTACCCAATTAAAGACGAATCGTCTAAATTTTAATTATTAGAATTGCGGTGGCAGTGAAGGGCGATAACAAAATATAGCCTCCACGGTCTGTCACCTGGAACATTTGAAATAATAATAGTCTTTGCATTTGACACAGCGTCTCAAAGCACAGAATATACTGTAAAGCGGGCTGACTGTGCATTTGGTGGGCGGGGCGCAGTCTGATCAATTTAAATGACGATTGATTTACATTTTAAACGTAATCAATTTAAACACTGCAGGTTTTGCTTGAGATATTTCAAGAATGGAGCAAATAAAAAAAAAAAGCTTACATTCCGAGTCCCCCCAAAAAAGGAGGGTTCCCTCACTCACCTTTGCTGAGGCCTTTGCTGCTCCGTTTGAGTCAAGTGGGCCACGAGGTTCCATGTGGGGAGATCAGGCTGCTCCCTTTCGGCTCCTTTTATCAAAACCATGTTGCTCTTAACACTTAAAAGATTTATGATCCTGCGAATCAATGAAACACAAAAAATCAACGAACAGGTGCAGCAGATGGGGAAAAAAAAATGCAACTTTTCAAGAGGTGATCAAGACATTACTCTGGTCTGGTGGGCCAAACCCTGTTTGAAACGGTTTAACGAGGCGCCTGGGCTGATACCTGCATTTTCCGAACAGGAAAGGTGATTGACAAGGTGCAGGTGGGCAGAGGGGGACTCGGAAACCTGCCCGAGGACAGGGATGGAGATGGATGGGTGGGATGGACGGATGGGTACCTTTGGATACAGTTGCGGTCTCGGCGTCTTCATGAACGATCCCCCAGTGTCAGGTATAGGGCGCTTTCACCGTGACGCACTTCCGGGAGCAGGCAGCATGGTCCTTCCGGTCTAGCAGTCAGTCCATCTCGCCTCTGCCTCCACCCATCACCCCACCCCCCAACCCTCTCTCTCCCCCCCCCCCACCTTCTCTCTCTCCCCCCCCCCCAACCCCACCTCCACCCATCACCCCACCCCCCAACCCCCTCTCTCCCCCCCTACCTTCTCTCTCCCCCCCCAACCCCACCTCCACCCATCACCCCACCCCCCAACCCCCTCTCTCCCCCCTACCTTCTCTCTCCCCCCCCAACCCCACCTCCACCCATCACCCCACCCCCAACCCTCTCTCTCTCCCCCCCCCCACCTTCTCTCTCTCACCCCCCCAACCCCACCTCCACCCCTCACCCCACTCCCCCTTTCTTCTCCGACACCAGCTAACTCCATGCCCCTTTTGCAAACTGCACCAATTGTGTATGTCTTCCTCCTTGATACCCGCTCGCCCTTAAAATATCATTATAATAATAATAATAATATTCCTTTTGCATTTGGTAATTGCGTGCAGCACCGAGCCACACGCCGTCGTGGATTGAGTGACCACATTTTGTTTGTTTTTTAAAAAAAAGAGATTATTACACCCCACCCCCACCCACCCCGGGAAAGCGATCCGCCAACCGGGTTCCTACTTACCGCTGGGTAAACAGAGGCACGTGGCGTAAGGAAACGTGCCCCACCTTCCGCCCCGCCCGGGAATTGAACCCGGGTCCTCTCACTTGCGAGGCGGGTGCTCCGAACCACTATCTCCTCCACCTCCGCCCAACACGCTTCCACCCCAGCCCCTCGGAACTTCCACCCCAGCCCCTCGGGACGTCCACCCAGCCCCTCGGGACTTCCACCCCAGCCCCTCGGGACGTCCACCCCAGCCCCTCGGGACTTCCACCCCAGCCCCTCGGGACGTCCACCCCAGCCCCTCGGGACTTCCACCCCAGCCCCTCGGGACTTCCACCCCAGCCCCTCGGGACTTCCACCCCAGCCCCTCGGGACTTCCACCCCAGCCCCTCGGGACGTCCACCCCAGCCCCTCGGGACGTCCACCCCAGCCCCTCGGGACGTCCTCCCGACGCGAAAGGCGCACGTACAAGCGTAATTCGCTTGCGGCCGTGGTCGTCGCCTTCTCCGTTCCACCTCCCAAGGTCGGTCGGAGTTCCAACCGACTTAACTTGGGTGGGTGGTGGGGGGGGGGCGTTGTTGTTGTTGTTGTTGTTGTCTGTATCTTCCTCCTCCTCTCCTCCTCTTCCTCCTCCTCTCTGTGTCCTGGCAGCAGCTATTTTAAAAAAAAAGAGAGAGAAATCCTCCTCAGACTTTGGGCTATTAACGTTGGGCTACTTTGGGGGTGGGGGGGTCGACTTTTGGGCTACAAAAACGTATGTAAATGCCTGACCGCCCTGTGGGGCCTATAGCTGGGAGGGAGGGAGGGAGGGAGGGGCGTCTCTCTCTTGCCCCCCTCCCCCTCCCCGCCCCCTCCCTCCCTCCCTCCCCCTGCGCTTCCCCGTCGCGGCGCCGGCAGTGCGGCCGCGGTTGGTTCGTCATGTCGAGGCCTCCCGGGGACTCGCTGCTCCTCACCGGCTTCCTGCTGGTCTCGCTGGCCGCCGCGCTCTGCAGCCTCCCGGGCAAGGTGAGTGTGAACCCGTCCCTCTCTCCACCCCCCCCCACCCCACCCCGACCCGACCCGACCACCCCCCCCCCCCCCCCCGCTCCCGTGCTCCCGCCCCCCGCGCGGCCTCGGCCAGGAAAATCCCAGGCTTCACCTCCCAGCGCTAGGCCGCGCGCGGTTACTAAGGCAACGGGGCCTGGAGTTCTCACCGCCCCGGGGTCCAGTACGGAGCTGACCCCCCCCTCACCCCCCACCTCCCTCACCCCCCACCCCAAGAGGGAGGCGGAGGAGCTTCGCTGCACCGGGTCTCTGAAGCACAATCCGTGACCGGTCCAGGATCGCAATTAGAAAATATTGGGAGAGAAAAGGATCCCCAACATAACCCCCAACGTGTGATTTATCTGTTGGGAATGTGATTTTTTTTTCTTCTTCTTCTTCACCGAAAAAAAAGCATATTTTTTTTATTAAAAAAAAAGATTCCGCTGGAAACGCTCTTCGGAGTGGACGGAGGGGACCCCCCACCCCACCACCACCACCCCCTCCCCCAGGAGGGACCGATGGCTGGACATGCGGCCGGACCCCACCCCCACTCCCGGCGCTTCAACCTCCGCAATATATCAGCCCATCTTTTACCCCTTCCGGTCAGCGTCTGGCCAGCTCGGTTGCGGTCGTGTGTCCAAGACCCTCGTCCGGGAGGTCGGGCTCGCAGCCCGGGTTGGACGCAGCGCTGCGCTGCACCGCCGCGCTGGGGGGGGGTTGGTGGGGGGTGAGCCCCGCTTTTATCGGAGGCGCCCGTCCTGCGGGGGGAGACGCCGACCCGCAGTTCCGTCAGCGCCGTGAGATGTCCTCCCTGACGTGACGGGCGCTTATTATAAGTTGCAGTCTGTCGTGGCTGCTGCCCGCCCTCGTCCAGGTGTCCGGTGAAGGTCCCACCCCGCGAGCTGTGATTTTTACTAACCGTGAAACACTTCGCTTGATCCAGCTCGCCCACGCTATAACCCGCCTAAGGTGTACCACAGGCAGAGGGTCCGCATTGCCTCACTTTGAGGGACATTGAGAATGTCGCCCCCCTTTTCCCGGGAAACTACTGAGGACCTGGATCAGAGCGCAGCAATGATTATCAGTACTTGTAACGCGGCCGGTGGACCCTTTTGCTGCAGTTGGGCTTCAGTGATTGTCAGGATCGATAGTTCTTGTGATCTGTCTTGAGTTCTGCTTGTAGAGGGGAGCCTGAATTGCCTGACGTCCCCTCTTGAAGCGTCGGAATATAAGTACTAATCCTCGCATTTGGCATATAGCGCTTTTCACGTCTTCGAGACGTCTCAAAGCGCTTCACAGAATATGCTGCAAAGTGAATTCACTGTACGTATGTGGGCGAAACGCGGCAGCCAATTGCGCACAGCAGTGTCCCACAAGCAGTCGTCGGCTGGATTGAGGTGAGAAGCTGGGCCTGAAGCATGCCCAGTATGAAGGAACGCACGCACACCTTCTGTTTGTCTCGGTTGGTCAGTTGGTTGGGGAACCACTGCAATCATGCCAGCGACAACCTAACAAATAATATTGTCTAATAAATCCTCCTGCAGGCCCCTGCTTTGCATACTGGTCTTCAGTGGCCTGAAGCTGCTTGTTCTCTTCACCTCCAGCCGGACAGTGTTTCACAGAGCAGAACAGAAACACGACAAATTGTCTCTCGCTCAGTTGATGGCTAAGACGGAGGAGTAACTCCTCAATTAGATATGTCTACTTTCTAAATATACCCACAAGAGCTCATACGCTTCTCATTTAAAAAAGGCCGTTCTTTTTAATCGGTGGCAGTGGCTGGTGGTCTGAGGTTACACAGCCTTACTATCTGGAAGCTCTCACCCTCCATTGTCAGGGACGTGGCTAACTGGGGATTGAGCCAGCGGTGTGTAACTCCCTCGTGCACCTTATTAAAGCAGTGGTGCCTGGTCAACCTGAGCCTGCCTCCAGCCCGTCCAGTATTCCTTAAGTTGAAGCTATTTTTAGGGTTGTCAAGGAGCACAGGTCTGCTCATTAGACCTTCTCAGGCCCAGCAGTTGTAATTAGCGCTCAGGCTAAGTGGAGAGAATCTCTAAAGGCTATGATTAAAGGGTATTCGTTAGCGTGTGTTTAGTGTTCAGTGAAGCTTAACAGCTAGAGGAAATGTTTTCCATGCAGTGAGAGAATATTTGAGGTGATCTGAGCTTGTGGCTGTGTTCTGTAGTCTGTGTCTGGTCATTATGACACTATTCAGTCCCTAAGGTTGCCCCGAGCAGTTGCTTTTAAATTTTACAAAATTAACAAGTTCTTTGGGGGGTTTAATTACAACAGCAATTACAACAGAGCCTTTCATGTAAAAGGAGGCCCCAAAGTGCTTGATAAAACTGGAGTACAGTCACCCAGGGTCGGGGGTGAGAGGTTTAAAAATGTTCAGCAAATGTGCATTTAAACAGGTTGTGTCGAGGTTTTTGAAGGCAGGAAAAGGGTGAGAGAAGTGTGGGTGGGGGGAGAGAAAGGGAGCAGTGGAGGGAGAGAGGAGCGAAGGAAATGTTTCCAGAAGATTAATGCCAGAGGATGGGCTGCTGTTGGTGGAGGGGACAGAGTAAGCGAGGGGGCATTACTCGAATTGCAGCACAGCCGGGGAAGGCAATAATGACATTCCAGCATAGCCTGTTCTTGGCAAATCCCTGAGGCAGGTGGAGGGCAGAGATACAGAATTCTGATACAAGCATGAAATGTACCCTTCAATTATTCTGTTTTGCTACGCCCAGTACTGTCAATCCAATGCTATCTTCACCAAGAGCCTCCCAACCTCTTCAGAAAGCCTGGGTGTGGGGGGATTTCATACGAAATTCGAGCATCGAGGACTTGAGTGACTGAGGCTGTTTGTGGGCTTTGACTAGACTCAGTAATGTTGATCACATTTGAAATGCTTATTATCATAAATTCATAGATTGTAAACATGCAGAACCAACCATGTGCCTTAGATATCTTTGATTTGTGTTGAAGGTTGGTTAGGATCCAGCTCATGCGTTTGATCACAACCGAGGATATTTATTTCTTGGCAAATGTTGGTTGGGTGTCCGAGAGATGTGGCAGATTCCATTCTGGTTTAGAGTTTTCTCTCTGAAGATTTGTTGTGCTCTTAATTCACCAGCTTTAATTCCCTTCCCGCCTGCCCTATGTTGTCTCTCCCAGTCACCCACGCACTGACCTGCATCAATACAATACCCATACTTTACCCTTTATGATTACGGTGGTGATCTCAACTCGATGCCCCCTACTTGGACTAAAGGTTACTTGCTCTCGCTGTATAATGTCAAGGTCCGGCGATCAAAGGCTCCCTCTGTAAGCCGCTTGTTTGAGATTGGGCGCTGTCTCCTGTCTGTGTTCCATGTGCCTCTCCACTGAGCTGCCTAACCTGCATGTTCCATTGCTGAGGGCAGAGGGGAGCAGCTGTGCCGGTTTGCTGCCTTGCACTTGGTGGTATTCTTGAACAGCAGGTAGTTTCCCACACTGCTGTTAGCACGGGGTTGTCTGTCCCTGTCCCCCACCAACTGATCCTCTCTTCATTTCCACGAACTGCTGTAGTTTTTACACCTCTGTTTCTCGCTCTTGTGGTTAAAAACAAGGCTACGCTGGCAGTGTCTTCATGCACTGTGTGCGCTACACATCTGATTTTATCTGATGGTTTGGTTGGATGTTGGACCATTGGGGTTGGTGGGGTGGGGGGGATTCTTGTCTGTGTGTGTGTATATGTGTGAGCTCTTATGAGTTGTGGGGGGCGATGGACGGACAAAAGATCCATTTGGAATACAAAGTTCCTTTGCTGAGAGGATGACCCGTTACAGATAGCATCTCAGTGGATTTGCTGGGTTTTGTTTTCTGTGTGTTAAATTTGCCCTGTTTGAAAAGCGCCTGTTTTTTCAGGTGAACGGCCTTCTCGTGTTTCCTGTGGGGAAGCATCCAGCCTCTGCTCCCCGGCTCCCTCCAGCCATTCCCCTTCCCGTCCGCCAACACGGTTACTTAAACCCAGGGTGCCCAGTTATCTGGTGCCGAAATGTCTGAAGGCTAAATTTCTGATGCACACGTCACTGTGTGAGACAGGTTTAATGCCGTCAAATGAAGTACAGCCGTTTGTCTCACACAGGTTGAATCCAATTGGCAGCAATTTCACCAGCAGAAGTGACTGGGAGTGGCGCTGCCATCGTCTGAGCTGTGTGACTGACTCAATGGTGCTGCCAACTCTGCAGCACCAGGGAACATGAAGTGTCTACCACTACGTTAAACATAAACCTGCATTCAGACACTTGCCAACCTATAATCTGCCCTCATTCAAAATCAGCGACTACCCCATGTTTAAGTTGGTTACTCATCGCATTGCTTCTGCGAAGCCCTTTGAGACGTCGCGAAGACGTGATAAGGCGCTCTATCAAATGCAAGGATTATGATTATTATGATGATGCTCTATATCGATTCGCAAGGAATGTTGAAGCAGGGTCAGTGGTCAGGAAGAGATGTGCAAAGCACAGCTGCAAACTGAAGTTTCTCTCTCTCTCTCCCCCAAGGTCTGGCACCTGTTGACAAGGCAGCTAGTTATGCTAGTTCAGCATTAGAACCATTTTACTGCACATATAACCCCCTCTGGAATGGTGGTTGGTTCCTGAGCCCTTTTTTAAAAACCTTCCTGTTAATTTTTTGGGGGGAGGTGGGGGGAGAGACAGAAAACGAATAAAGTTTCGACACTGACCAATACCACAGAATCTCTTTCAGCAACAGTTTGTTCAGTGGTCTGTTCTGATAATCTGTTCTCAAATTTTCAACGGATCTTTTAAGACCACTTCCTACTTTACAATCATCCAGCCGTTTAACAAAGAGCACTTGCCGATGGTGGGGGGCACTGGGGGGAGAAGAGAGGGAGAGCGGTGATGTCTCTTAAATTAACCCAATTGCTGGAGAATTACTTATTAAAACAACGATGAGGGTGTGTTGTAAAGTTTTACATCCCACTGAACATTGAAGGGTTTAGGTCAGCCCCTCTGTAACCATCGCTGACTATCTCACTCACTGCCTTCAGTCTAGAGTCCAGATTAACGTGTGCTGATAACACCTTTGTACATTGCAAACAAAGCGAGAGATTTTACTGTCACCATGACCTGTTCTTCTAATCCTCCCGTCTGTAGATGAAGACGCAAGACTGTTTTTAATATAAAAACAGATCCCTTCTTACCTGCTCTTGCTCCCACAAAAATATACAGTCAACTCACATTACAGTGCATTCTGTGAATTGCTTTGAGATGTCTCGAAGATGTGATAAGGCGCTATATCAAATACAAGGATTATTATTATTTACTGTAAGGCTCCTTACAGCTTCCTATCTGAGTCCTGCTGTCTGTCAATCCTTGCATTTGATGCACTGCCTAAAACTCAGAAACACCTCAAAGGGCTTCACTAACACTTGCAGTAAGGTTGTGTATTTGTAGGCAAACATGGCAGGCAAACTGTAGGATTATTCGCCGGTTTGTAGGACCTTTATTGTCCACCTGACGGGCAGACAAGACCTTGGTTTAACGTCTCTTAGGAAGGACGGCATCTCCGACAGTGTGGCGCTCCCAGTACCGTGTCCCCCACAACTTTATCCTAGACCGTGAGCTTGAGTCCCAACGCGGGGCTTGAACCCACAGAGATGAGAGGGCTGTCAACAAACACTGCAGGTGCTGGGCTGTCATTGCACTATCATCTCTGAGTGTGATTGACGTTGCCAGCATCAGCAGTGAGGACAGGCCAGCTGCAAGCAGCAGGTCCCATTCTGCGCCCACGTGCAGTTTCCAGCTCAGAACAAGTTGACTTCCTGTGAGAGCGAGAGTACGGGCGGGTGTCAGATATGGCATCAGCTGCGTCGGCTGTATAAGGGTTGCTATTAGTGGAAGAGCTTTGAGACCTTTCAACGATGTGACAAGGCACTATATCAAATGCAAGGACTATTATTGTTATGAACTAACGTGATGCTTGTCTCTTGCAGTGTTATGGGAGTTCCAGCACGCTGCTCCCTGAGACCCTTCTCTTTGTCTCCACCCTTGATGGAAGCTTACATGCCGTCAGCAAACAGACCGGCTCCATCAAATGGACTTTGAAAGAAGGTGAGAGAGAGAGAGAGAGAGAGAGAGAGAGACAGAGCTGCCTGGGACCATGACACTGGTCTGATATGAGATTGGAAATGGTGGCTCCCATATTTTGTTTCTTTTCCTGTTTCCACCATACCGACCTGTCCGCTTGGTGGGCACTAGCCTGCGCTTGGCGGGCACAGGCCTGGCCTGCTCCATGTCTCCCACCCCGCCCTATCATCAGCAGTCAGGCCATCAGCTTTTCTTCCCCCACCCTCTGGAACTCCATCCCCCAATCCCTAGGTCTCGCACCCCCTCTCTTGCCTCCTTCCCTTGCCCATCTCAAGATCTTTCTCTTCGACCGCACCTTCGGACACTCTCCTACCTCTACCCTCCACCCCTCCTGATCCCAAACCCCAGCTCAGATATAAACCCTTAACTGTCCCAACGCCTTGGCACATCCTCCCAACGTGAAAGGTGTTGTATAGATGTAATTTGCTGTTGTTCTACTCTGTCTAATGTCTGTTCCTTTCTCTTGTGCTTCAGATCCTGTGCTTCAGGTTCCGATGCATCTGACAGAGTAAGTTCTCAGTGTCAGGGCTCATCCACTGCTTCCCAGTGCAATCTCCGCTCTGCCGCCCGAGTTCTGCCCCACCTCCTCTCCCCTCACCCCCAAAGCTGGACTCCTAATCTTATATGTTTCTGCTCTGAAGACGTAAATTGTAACTTCTGTCTCCTCCTCCCTCAGGCCTGCGTTCCTTCCTGACCCCAATGACGGCAGCCTGTACACACTGGGGGGCAAGAACAAGGAAGGACTGACCGTGAGTTACACACGGTCACAATGTCTGTTTAATAGCTCTCCACCTGCACAGCAGCTTCCGATTGGGATCATCGAGGAGTGCGGGGGAGAGCAGGTTTTGAGTGTGGGGGTGCGGGAAGACGGGTGGGGGGTGGGGGGAGAATTGTGTTGAGGTGTTTAGGGGGAGAGGGTACTGTTGCCAGGAGCAGAGTGCCGCTGCTGGAGGGGCTGATTTGCGATGACACTGGTCGCTGTACGGTATGAGATGTAACTGGTGTTTTCATTTTGTCTGTGGGCAGAAGTTGCCGTTCACCATCCCGGAGCTGGTGCAGGCCTCACCGTGTCGCAGCTCTGACGGCGTCTTGTACATGGGTAAGAGCACCCGGTCTGCCTCCCCTCCCCTCCCCCCTTCCCCCTCACCCACCCCCCACCTCACACCGCCGTCCACCAACTCAGCCTTAGCACCCACACGCACACAGCTTTACATGCATCCTCTCCTCCGATATGCACGACAACAACACCAACAACAAATTGGGGGCAGTGAGCAGCTGGATGAGGAGTTGCCTGTCGCTGACCCCCTCCCCCTCCTCTATCCGCAGGTAAGAAGCAGGACGTCTGGTACGTGGTGGACCCGCTGACCGGCATCAAACAGCAAACACTGACCGCGGCCTTCGCCGAGAGCATGTGTCCGTCCACCCCCCTGCTCTACATCGGCCGCACAGGTAGCTGACTCCACAGGGGGTGAGTGGGGTGGGGGTTGGTGGGGGCGGGGTGCGCAGGGTTGCGATGCGGAGACTGACCGTGTTTGTCTTTAGAGTACACCATCACTATGTACGACACCAATAACAGAGAGCTGCGCTGGAACGCCACCTACTTCGATTACTCGGCCTCCCTGCCCGACAAGGACACGCAATACAGTAAGGACGCCACTTGATTGGTGGGCGGGTAGGGGGTGGTGGGTGGAGCGGGCTGGTGAGTGGGGGGGGGGCACTGGGCGGTGGGCAGGGCACAGGCTCCACTGCGTATAACTTGAATGAAATGTTACAGAGATGTTACACTTCGTGTCGAATGGGGACGGGCTGGTGGTGACGGTGGACCAAGAGTCGGGTGACATCCTGTGGATCCAGAACTACGTCTCGCCCGTGGTGGCCGTGTACATGTGGCAGCGCGAGGGCCTCCGGAAGGTTCCGCACACCAACGTAGGCACCGAGACCCTGCGCTACCTCACCTTCATGTCCGGGGAGATGGGGCGCATCACCAAGTGGAAATACCCCTTCCCCAAGGAGACGGAGACCAAACACAAACTGATGTAAGTGCATCCGGTCCCGGGAGGTCTCAGTCCGCGCGCAAAGGCTCGAGTTTTAACAGTTTCGGAGGAGGCCATTCAGCCCATTTTCTTCAATAATTTCTTTGGCTCAGTCGAGCGTCTCAACACATGTGGAAACCCATCACCATTGCTTAAGAGTTCTCCAAACCGAGCTGAGAATTCCAGGCCTCCGAACTACACATGGAAATCCCAGAGATAGATTGTTGGAATGGAATGCGCTCTCTCTCTCTCTCTCTCTCTCTCTCTCTCCCTCTCCCTCTTTCTCTCCCTGGAGGGATGCATCCTGCTTACCTAATTCCAGAAAGTATTAGGCGCAGGTTGGCTCTTGCCAAGGGGACCCCAGAGTGTGCGTTGGGCTAACTGCTCTTTAATCAGCTAAAACTGCCTAGCTTGCCATTGAGAGCGCTGCCCGGCAAGCTTTCCTTTAATTTTCTTTAATGAAACCTGTGTCTCTTGCTCTCGCTCCTCAGGCCGACGCTGTATGTGGGCAAATACTCGACCAGTCTGTATGCGTCCCCGTCGCTGGTACACGAGGGCGTGGCCGTGGTGGTAAGTGTCGCCTCGAGTTTATTCCCTCGTGGCACACAGCCGAGACCCCTCGGGTTTGGTTTTTTAAAAAAAAGAGAGAAAAGAAAAGAATTTCTGCCCACATTTGATACAGCGCCTTATCACGTCGCTGAGACGTCTCAAAGCGCTTCACAGGATACACAGTAAAGTGCGGGAGAAGCACTATTGTCAAGAGGCTTTGAGCTTTTTCAACATCACAAAAAAAGCGATAAGGATACCAGTTTGGACTTGCACTTTCACCCCCTCCCTCCCACCACCCCCCCACCCAACCAAGCTATGTGTGTGTGTGGCGAGGGAGGGAGGGGGGGAGCAGAGCATTCGCCCGTCCACACAGCCACTCCACTTTACAGTATATCCTGCGAAGCGCTTTGAGACGTCTCAACGACGTGATGAGGCGCCGTATCAAATGCAAGGATTGTTATTATTATTGTTATTATTATTTGTTCGGGTTTGGAAGCTTTCCCATCGTCTCCGCAGCCCCGGGGCAGCGCGCTCCCCCTGCTGGAAGGCCCGAGGACGGAAGGGGTTACGATCGGAGACCGGGGGGAGTGTGACATTACCCCCAGCACTGACGTCAAGTTTACCCCAGAAGTGAAACACGCGATGGACCATCTGAGAAACCAATGGCTGCTGATCGGTGAGTGGCGTTAGAGCGCCCTCCGGTGCCGGCACAAGGCAGGACGCTCACAGTTACATTACACACACGCACACACACACACACGCGCGCGCGTGTACACAAGCTGTTACTGGCCCTCCTGAAACCTTGCCCTTCCGGGAGTCCACCTTCCCATCACAGCGTGAAACTCTCCGGTAAGTGAGTCCAGTGTCCTGGCCTCCACCGCCATTCCTCCCCCCGGCTCTACGGGCCTGCTCCGCCACTGTGAAGCGCGTGGGGAGCGCTAGGTAAATGCAAGTCGTCGTTGCAGTTTGTGTTGGTGTCAAATGTCAGCTAGTGTGGCCTGACCACAGCTGAACACAGTACTTCAGGTGTGACCAGATTATCTTGTGCTGAGGTTAGGGTTAGGGTGGGTGCTAGGGGGTTTGAAAGCCGTTACTGTTGACTCCTGGACTGACAAGAGAGTTTTGTTTGCAGGTCACCATGAAATACCCCTGGCGGCCCACACCAAGATGCTCAACAACTTCCCTGAGAACTTACAGAAGGTTCCGGACGCTGTGATTCCCACCCACCCACAGAACGAGAGATTTGAGGAGGTTTGTTTCACCATCGTATCCCCTCTCCCCTCACTCACCCCCACTCCTCTCCCTCACTCGCCCCCTCTCCCCTCACCTCCCCTCCCCTCGTACGATGTTGGCAGTTGCAGTGACTGTGGTGTCAGTGGTGAGCGGAGCTGTGACTTGTGGCTGTTGTGTTACAGCTTCTCCCACATATGGAGGCTGTGGCTGGAGATTGTGAGCTGCTGAGGGAGCTGGAGGAGACGTATGGCCGGCAGCAGGCCCCGCGCCAGGCAGCTGTGGACTCTGTGCTGAAGGACATGGCCACCATCGTCTTCAGCACCTTCCTGCTGGCCGGCTGGGTTGCCTTCGTCATCACCTACCCCAAGGTACCTCTCTCTCTGGCAGACAGTACAGCAGCAGTCAGTTTGTTCTCACTCTCTCTCATGCACACTCTCTCAGTCTCTCACACACTCTCTCTGTTTCACTCTCTTTCTCTCACACTCTCTCTCTGGCAGACAGTGCAGCAGCAGCAGTTAGAGGAACGGTTGGAGCTGATGCAGCAGCGACAGCTCCTCTTCCACCCTCCGATCCTTGGCCCCGACACACATTTCCTGGACACTTCCCGGGCCCGGACGGAAAGTTCCAGCACCAACACCCCCAACGTGTCCAACCATTCGCTCCACTCCAGCCACTCCCTCTCCGACTTCGGCAGCTCAGCCACCGAGCAGGAGGATGGAGGTGAGCCCACGTGGGAGAGGGAGGGGCCTGGAATCAGGGGGAGTGGCTGTGGTTGAAGGGGAGGGGCATGGAATCAGGGGACGGGGTCTGGGGATGAGGAGGGTTGACCACTGAAGGGAATCAGCCAGGGGGCACCATTGGGGGCAGAAGCCAAGCTGCCGGGGAGCACAGGGAAAGCCCACAGTAACAGATCCTCCTCTTCCTCCCTCAGATGACGACTCCAACATTGTGACCGTGGGGAAGATTTCCTTCAACCCGAAGGACGTACTGGGCCACGGAGCTGAAGGCACCATCGTCTTCAAGTACGTCACCTCCTCGCACTGAGGGTCCCCAACAAGGATTAACTGCGGGGTTAGGGTGTGGTGCTGGGGGAGTGGGGGCGGGTGGGGGGGGCCAGCGGGCGAATGGGTGGGGGCGCGATTTTAGTATAAAGTTTCTGCAGACTCCCGCCCTCCTGATCTCACACCAGTTCTTTTTCACCGTAAACCCACCGTGACTTTTCCGGTGACTGTGCGTGTGTGTGTGTGTGTGTCAGGGGCAGGTTTGATGATCGGTCGGTGGCGGTGAAGCGGATCCTGCCCGAGTGTTTCAGCTTTGCCGACCGGGAGGTGTGCCTGCTGCGCGAGAGCGACGAGCACCCCAACGTCATTCGCTATTTCTGCACCGAGAAGGACCGGCAGTTCCAGTACATCGCCACTGAGTTGTGTGCCGCCACGCTGCAGGAGGTGAGCCCCACATGGCAACAGCAGCAACAACGACAAGTTCTAGGATGCGGGTTCAAGCCTCCACTTCGGGACTTGGAATTACCTCGTCTCAGCTGACGCTCCAATGCAGCGCTGGGTGGGGGCGCTGGATTGCCGGAGGTGCCGGCCTTTGAACGAGACATTAAACCAATTAGGGTTCCCGTCTGCCTGTTTAGTTGGATGTTAAAGATCCCACTGAAAAAGAGAATGGAGTTTCTCTCTCGCACTCTCTTCACTCTCGGGGTCCTGGACAACAATCCCCCCCCCCCCCCACCCCCCAAATAAGATTGGCCACTCAATTCACGACTGTTTGTGGGACGCTGCTGTGCACAACGAACTTTCGCACTCATACACAAAATACAATCGCTCCACTTTACAGTATATCCCTATGAAATGCTTTGAGACGTCTCGATGCTATAGGGCGCTGTATCAAATGGAAGGATTATTATTATTATTAAACCCGCGGGCCGCTGTGTGATGGAGTTGGACGCTGTGCTTTGGAGACCAGGCTGTGAGCGCGATGCTGTCTCTGTTATTTCAGTACGTTGATCAACGGGACTTTGAGCGACACGGACTGGAGCCCATTCCCCTGCTACAGCAAACCATGTCTGGCCTGGCGTATCTGCACTCGCTCAATATCGGTAAGACACAGGGCCGTGCCCTGGGCAGAACGTTAACAACCTGTGGAGTCCTGTAGCAAAGTGGTTAGCGTGCTCGCCTCGCAGTCGAGGGAACCCGGGTTCGATTCCCAGGCAGGGTGGAACCTTAGGCAAGTTTCCACATGGCTCTGTTTACCTAACAATAAGTAGAGTTGTTAGTGGATTGGCGGATAGCTTTTCCGGGGGTAGTAATCTCTCAAAAAAAACTGGGTCACTCAATCTACAACTCTTTGTGGGACGCTGCTGTGCGCAATTGGCTGCTGTGATGCGCCCACAAAATACAGTCAATCCACTTTACAATCTACCTGGTGAAGAGCTTTGAGACGCCTCAACCATGTGATAAGTTGCTGTATCAAATGCAAGGATTATTATTATTGTTATGAATAACAGTGCCTTTGCGGATTGTGTGAAGTGTTGTTGTAAATTGCGGAACCTGTTGTAGTCCACAGGGACCTGAAGCCACACAACATCCTGATCTCGATGCCCAACGCCCACGGCAGAGCCAAGCCGCTGATCTCTGACTTCGGGCTGTGTAAGAAGCTGGCGGCAGGTCGGCACAGCTTCAGCCGCCGTTCAGGGGTGCCGGGCACCGAGGGCTGGATCGCCCCCGAGGTGCTGAACGAGGACTGCCCGGCAAACCCGGTACGGCCAGAGCTCACCAGCCTGGGGTGGATGGGATGTGGGCGGCCTACGCTGAACACCTCCGGTTTAAGATACCTTCTCCACCATGTGTATTCTCCCCCTCGTACCCCTCCGCCTCACCATCGGCGGCCGCGCTTTCAGCCACTACGCCTCGAAGCTTTGGAACCCTCAATCCCTCGCCCCCCCCCCCCCATCCCCTCTTTTTAGATCACGACTGAGAAGCTACCTTTTCGACCGTACTTACGGTCACCTCCGGCCTCCCCCTCCTTCACCCCTCTGGCTCAGTGTCAGGCTCTGCCACTGTTAATGACTCCCGAGTGGCCGCCCAGCGTGAAGGGTGCAAGTTCTCGGTGTGAGAAACGATTGGAAATTGCTGACCTCCACCCTTTCTCTGTTCTCTCTCTCTCTCCCCCTCTCTCCCTCCTCTCTCTCTCCCCAGACGTGTGCGGTTGACATTTTCTCTGCGGGCTGTGTGTTCTATTACGTGGTGTCTGAGGGCGGCCACCCATTCGGGAAAGCTTTACAGCGACAAGCGAACATCCTGCTCGGCGTCTACACCCTCGAGCACCTGCAGCCGGACACCCACGGTAAGGCAGACCCCTCCTTTAACCCAGAGCCCCCCCTCCCTGCGCCCTGCCCACAGGAAATGGAATTGAATTGAGTTCCCCTCCCTCTGGAACTCCATCCTTCTCGGAGCCCCTCCGCCTTGCCACCTCCCTCGCCTCCTTCAAGGCCAGTCTCAAGACATTCCTCTTCGACCGCACCTACGGCCTCACTCCCTGCTCCACCCCTCCCTGGTTCCAACCCCCAGCTCAGGTGTAAACCCTTCGTTGCCAGCGCCTCGGGACGTCTCCTCCCAACGTGAAGGCCGCTGAGTACACGCGGTGTTATTACTGTTGGTTTACGAGGGGTGAATTGCCGCCATCTTCCAGATGACATTATCGCCCGGGACCTGATACAGCAGATGCTGAGCGTGGAGCCCCCACGGCGGCCGTCCACACTGAGCGTGCTCAAACACCCCTTCTTCTGGAGCCTGGAGAAGCAGCTCCAGTTTTTCCAGGTTGGTTTGTTGCGGGTCAGGGGTTAGGGTTTGGCTGTGGCTCTGCTTTCCCTGTCTCTCCGTCCGCGTTCCTCGCTCTGCACTGAATTCGTGTTGGATTCTCACCGCGTGAACGAAGCCGGCCTGGTTCAGCAAACCGGCCACGTTGAGGGGGTTTATCCGTTTGGCTGACCGACGAACGCTGGAATGTGTGCAGTAACCTGTGAGTTAATGGTTGCAGGACGTCAGCGACCGGATAGAGAAGGAGCCTCCGGACGGGTCAGTGGTGAGGGAGCTGGAACGCGGAGGCCGGAGTGTGGTACAGGGTGACTGGAAAGAACAGATCACGGTGCCTCTGCAGACAGGTGCGACCTGGTGCACTGTGCTACTCAACACCCCCCCTACCCCCTCCCCTCCCCCTCCACCCCCGCCTGTCTCTGTCTCCTCATCTTGCTTTTCTCACTATCCTGGCAGTTTCTCTGCTACACACACACTTGGGGACACCCTGACTGATTCCCAGTCCACCCTCGCCTGAGGTCTCACGTCATCAAGGGAAGCCCCCGAACAGATCAGCCAACTCCCAGCCCAATAACTTACTCTTTACCGAAATCCGTGAGCTTTATTTGTTGAAACTAACGTGACGGGTTGTAGAAACGAATATTATCATTTGATATTTCAGTCAGTAATTCTCTGATTCCACAATCATTTACATCGGTCAATTACACACCTGAGGCCATCTGCCTGCATTTTGCACGCGGTTAACCCAAGCTGCAAAATGTGCTGGGGATTGGAAGGCGCCTCGCTCTCTCCACTCGCTCTCCGTCTCGCTCTCTCCACTCGCTCCTCGTCTCGCTCTCTCCACTCGCTCTCCGTCTCGCTCTCTTCACCTCCCGGTTCTCAAAAAACCTTTGGGGGTTTTTTCCACAGATCTTCGGAAATTCCGATCCTACAAAGGTAGCTCAGTGCGAGACCTGCTGCGAGCGATGAGAAATAAGGTAACGACTTTCCCTGAACACATTTGAAACCTGTTCCTGTACATTCGGAGAGTCCGGGAGGCGGTAGGCGGGATCGGGTGGGGGGTGCGGGGGGCATGTCTCCCAGCTCCTGTCCAGCCACCTGTTTAGGGCCGCGGTTTCAGGAGCCGGTATCGCCCGGTCGGTGGGCAAAGATCAGGGTCTGGGAGGGCACAGGTGTGTTGCTTGATGACTATCTTTGTGTCTCTGCTGAAAGTACTTGTCACCACAGCTAGGGGGCGCCACCTCCTCGCTCACACCAGAAAATGTGTGTGTTGGGGGTGGGGGGGGCGGTGAGGGTGACATTGGGTGACGATGATCACGGTGGGTGAGTGAGCTTGGCTGAATTCCGGCTGATCTTTTAATTGCTGTTGATTCTCAGAAACATCACTACAGGGAGCTGCCGCAGGATGTGCAGGAGAGCCTGGGCTCGGTCCCCGATGATTTTGTGCGTTACTTCACCTCCCGCTTCCCTCACCTCCTGCTGCACACATACCGAGCCACCAGCGTCTACAGCCACGAGAGACTCTTCCACCCTTACTACTGCCAGGCGGCCGAGCACAGCCAGACAGCCCCGGGCAGCCAGGACGACGGATTGCTGTAACGCTGAGCGCAAGGCGACACAGTGAAGCTGTGAATTTGCTGCGAGACGCGTTCTAGCCATGGCCCCCGCTGGCCGGAGCAGTGCGAGGAGAGACTGAGTTTGGCAAAGACGACTGACTCGGAACCTGGACGTGGCCAAAGATAATAAGTGCCTTACTTATGGTGGGGGGTGGAAAAAGCCTCCCAGCTGTTTGTGAAAGGAAACCTGACCCAGAGAAGAAAATGAGGGTTCCTGCGGCTTTTACAATGACAGGAACATCTTTTAACACGTGCGAGCGAGGAGGGTGTTTGAGGGGAAAGGGAAAGGGTGGAAAGGAAAAAACTCTCTTCTTGAACTTTTTCCCTCAGAGTCTATTAAATCATTCCATGGTTTAGGGAATTGTTTTTGAACGATGGTAGAAGGACATGGAATGTGACGGGGGCTGCGGAGGGAAGCTTCAGTCTCTGGGGTGGGGAGGAGATGGGGGGTTGTGCTGATTGTGGGGGGGCTTTCTATGCTGGGGTGGGCTTCGCTTGGAGATTGGGGTGAGACAGACGTTCACATTGACACGTTAAGAACATAAGAATTTGCTGGCGAAAGAAGAACAAGGTCCATCTCGTTCACCTTCCACCATCCTGGTAGTCGCTTGACATGCTTTGTCCTAAACCATATAAGAACATGTGGGGTGAGGTGGGGTGTCCCGGGCAGCAACCAAACCCTCTCTGGTTGGCCTACAAAGCAAATGTTTCCAGATTTGAATATTTCTTGGTTTTGTGGCGACAAAATAACATTGATCTAAATTTCTATGATTACTGTGTTGGCCAACCAGAAAGGTCCACTGCTAGTCCTGAAGATATATTTAGCGCTTAGCATTACTGGGGGCATGTTCATGTCTGGGGTCCAGATTTCAGCTTCAGTCTCGCGTTCACACGTTGTGCCCATAAACAGGAAGCGACTTTCCCCGTTAATTAAAATCACAGAATGGAATCTCCGATGGTGAGTAAGAACCATCTCGCGGCAGACGTGATGCCCAGGCTGGGCTGGACCAGCTGGGAAGATTGTAGGGCTGTCGTTGGTCCCAGTGGGAGGGAAGGGGGAAAAACAGTATTGAAATGGGAGACTTTTTCCCTCTCTCTCACTTAGCTCCTTCCCCCCATCCCCACCGCACTGCTCAAGATTCCTTGTTTAACGACACAAACAACACTTCACCCCAAACCCCCAGCACTGGCACTGTTGGTCCGATTCAGTGAGAGATGTCACCACAGAACCTTACTTATTCCCTATGAGGTTTATTTCACTTTAAATCTACAGTCACGAGCACAGAAAGTGTTGTGAAACAATTCGTTTTCTGTGAGAAGATGTTGGCCCGTTTCCCAGCACTGTCTGCGGGTAATTGTGAAAACAATCATTTATGATATCCAAAAGGAGTAAGTTATTTATTTATTGGGGGGGGGGGGAGGTATTTTTGTACCTGAATGTCTATAAAGTTTTGCTTTTTAATATGTGCTGACTGAGGCCTCTAGATTTAAGGTGAATTTGATCCATCCTCTGGTTCTGTTTCTTGGCCATGTTGTGTGTTTCCATGAACATGTGGGATTCGTGCTGATTTGCTGATTGTGATGGGGGAAAAAAGGGACAAAACATATGAATAATTTATCTCCACTTTCTTTTTTTTTAAACGAAAAGTTTCGATGTGAACATTGTTCTTCTTGACGTTTGTTTTTAAAAAGTACAAAGATTAATAATGTAATAATAGTAATTCTTGCATTTGATATAGCGCCTTATCACATCGTTGAGACGTCTCAAAGGGCTTCACAGGATATTCTGTAAAGTGGATTGATTGGGTATTTTGTGGGCGAGGCGAGGATTCCAATCTGGACCATTTAACGCTTGCTATTAATCATTTTAAAATAAATTAACTTGTTAAAAAAAAACTAAATGAAACTCTTTCGCTCGTTCCGAATAACTCCCAGAAGTTTTAGTTGTTGTTTCAAGTCTTCTGTTAAATCCCTCTCTCGACTGTTGTCCGTTACAGATCTTGTGATATTTTAGTGGTTTTCAATCTCTAAGCTCATGAATTCCTCTACGGCTATTCATCAGATACTGACATGTTTGTCTCATCTTCCTGCAGGCAAATTATTTGCCAGGGTGTTACCTGTGTATGGGTAATCCAATTATGTTTAAAAGGTTGAATTTGTTGTAGAAATAATTGGCACTAAACAATCTCGTTAAGACAGGGTTTTCTGTCCTCAAATGTCGGTATCCCTCACACACCAGGGGTTATCCTCCCCACTGCATCTCAGCACTGCACTGTTTTAAGCTGCTGTGCAGAGACTGTACGGGAAAGAATCGGGGAGAAGTGACTTCACTGTGTAAAGCTGTGCAAGGGGATTGACTATCTGTCACTAATTACACATGGTTGTGCGGGTTCCACCACTGAGCCAGGATATGTTGGTGCCTGGCCTGGAGAGGTGCACAATTGTTTGAGAGAGTCGATTTATTTATTTATTGAAGAGACTGAACATAACACTGGTTGTGACTCTCAGGAGGGTCTGCTCCAGAGACTACATTTGGCACGTGCTCATTGTCAGCTTTTGTCCAATTCCTGTTTTGGTCGGACGGATGTGGAAATTAGTCGCTGCTTATATTTTTTACCTGAGATGCTGCAGTATTTTTCTATTAGGTCTTGTCTTTCACAGGTGCAAACCCCACAGATGTTTTGTTTTCAGCCAAAGTGCTTCGAAATAATGTGACAATAAAATGTCCTCAAATTGGAACTTCCTGTCAGATTTGTTGATTTGACAGAAACTGTTTGCGGTGAAATTAACACATCAGAACCTACATTCCGTGACTTCTTGTAAACCGTGTAACAGCAAGCCCAACATTGCCTTGAATGTACGGAGCCTATGGGATTCTTTGCAGTGAGTTTGATTGTGCAATAGCTGTTTTTCTCTGACAGAAGATACAGAGCTACAACAGCAATTGTGGTTACACTCTGGGATGCTACGCTGCATGAGGTACGCTATATAAATGCAAGTTTTTGTTACACACCATCAGGTCACTGGGTTGGTAAGGACCAGTGATGAATTTCGCACTGTGAGAGCCTGAGAAACGTGAGTTCTGCTTTTAGAATATTGCTACAAATCCATTTTTTTAAAAAAAAAGATTCAGAATGTCTGCAATGCTGAGGGTGTAAGTGCTCTCTCTCTCGCTGTTTTACTGGGGCAGTTTACATGTCGATGATTCAATACATGTGTCTGGGTCTTGGGAGCTTCCAGTGGTAAAATCGTGCTTCAGACTATTGGGAATGTAATTTTTTTTACTATCTCTGGGTTAATGCAATAAAAAATGAAAATGACTTCATGCCCGCCTTTTGTTTAATTGAAACGCGATTGGCAATGTCGTGCTGGAGAGATGCTCCCTGTGACAATGGTAACGAGTTTCTACTAACATTGGTAACCTTGTGAATGGGGGCGGGGGGGTGGTCCAACCTTTTGGCTGCTGAGGGCTGGATGCCCTATTTGAGAAACGTCTGGGCTGCATAAGCAATAAATAAAACTATTACGAAATAATACACTTATCAACAACGTACATATTTGACATTTCAAAGCGCTTCACAGAATACACTGTAAAGTGATTTGACTGCATATTTTGTGGATGAAACACAGCAGCCAATTGCGCACAGCACAAGGAAATTTGCTCAAAAACTCTAATGATTCAAAGCTCTGCTGCCCAAGTCCTCACCCATACCGGAATCCGTACCCTTGAAAGAGACCTGAGCAGGATCGCGAAGACAACTTAGAAAAAAAACTAAGAAATAGCCAATGAGAAAAAGACAAGAAATCAAAAGGATATCAGGAGTGGGACAAATTGAACAAAGGAGTAAGTCCTTCAGCCCTTTGAGCCTGTTCCAGCATTCCGTTAAATCACGGCTGACCAGGAAGAAAATGGTTTCTACAAGTACATTTGTGCTGTCATGGCTTTGCAAAAGGTAGAGGAGGTGTAATTGAGAAGGTTTCATCAACTCCCCAAATGTTACTGGTTTTGCTACATTTAGATGATATAGCACTGATGGAAAGAGTACAGTGTAGGTTTACGAGGATGGTACCAGGACTGGCAGGTTACTGCAATCATGATGGACTATATAGGCTACAGTTTTGTTGACGGCAGGAGTGCGTCCAAGCAACATTCAGAACTGAGGAGGAACACAAGGAAATGATTTGCTCCCAAAGATTCTGATGATTCAAAACTCTGCTGCCCATGTCCTCGTCCATACCAGAATCTATACCTCGGTCACCCTCGTCCTTGTCAGGCTCCACTGGCTCCCTGTTGCAGAACGGATCGATTTCGAGATCTTGACTCTCGCTTTCAAATAACTTCATGCCCTGGCACCTCTCTAGCTCTCCCACCCTCCGCAACCTGCCGTCTGAGCTCAGCTGGCTTGGGCCTTCTGCGTGTTCCTCGTCCCCTCCGCTCCACCGGTTGGCAGCCGTGCTTTCAGCCAATAACCCACGAAGCTCTGGGACTCCCTGCCTCAATTCCTCCGTCTTGCCCTCTCGCTACTCATCTTCAAATCACACCTGAAGGCTTTCCTCCCAGACCATGTCTTCGGTCCCATTCCCCCCACCACCCACCCACCCACCCCCCTCCTTGTGCCTTAGAGGGCACTACCCCTGTGAAAGCCCTATAAAATGGAATTTGTAAATGAAATGCTTGATCGAGTTTATCATTGGTGTGTCGGTGTGTCAGAGGAAACATTATACGGCTCTGGTAACGGCTAAATGAGATTGAGGAAGTAACCCAGGGCAGCCATTTCAGATGTGTCCAAAGCAGTGAAGAAAGGCAATTGTAGGAGGAGGTGTTTGTTTTCACTGAAGATAATTAATGGCTCCAACTGGTTCTGAGGGCTGTGGTGGTGATCCCGGACCCACTGAACCAGCAGTTTGATGTGTAATATGGAGATGGGTGTTCTGGAAAGAAGAGCTCAAACAGCCAGAAGGAGCTTCTTCAGCCTTTGCTCGTGAATCACGGATCTTTATCTGCAGATTGAGTGTTGGGTTTTACCATTTCTGGGCGTCACCACCAACTGCAGTAGTTTCTCTTTTGTTAATGTTTCCGCTTTATATTTTTAGCGACGCCACGAAGTGCAGAATCTGCTTTGGATTCTGCAGTCGGTGAGGGCTGAGCTGAAGAAAGCGAGAGGTTTGCCTTCTATAACCAGTTCGGGGGGGGATTGTATTTATTTATTCCCTGTTGTGGGGGTCTGACCGACACTGGTGTAACCTCCTTTCCTGAATCAAACCGTTATACACTTATTTTACAATGTAATGCCTGCGTTTGGGTAAATCGGACTCAGGTGAAGAGAAGTACGCGGAGTGTCTCGAGTGCTTCTTTGACTTCAAAATGTGCTAAAAAAGGATTTTTATTTCGGAGGAGGAACACACATTCCCTTTCGGCTGATACTGAAGCGCAGTATCTAAGCCGCCGCCAACATCGGTGAGTGTTACAATCACTGCCGAGTGCTGTGGGACGTGACCTTCGGGTGTGAGAGGGGCTCTGTGCCATTGCGAGTTATTGATGTTGTGGGACCCTCCGGAAAGTCATCGGAAACCATTGGGGAGGAACCAGAGAGGAGATCGAAGGCCCTCTTGGATCTCAAGTTTGGGCAACGGATCAGCAAAGAATTGCACAATCTTATCACAGATGGTGGACTGTGGCCTCAAAAAGTATGTAACAAAGAAGGGTGGATGTAAGGACATGTTGAGCAATATCAGTGTCAGAGAAAAGGTTTGCAGTCACCTTCTTGGAGACATGACAGGCAAAGCATTATTATTATCATTATTATCATTATTATCATTATTATATCAAATGCAAACATTGTTATTACTTTATTACGTTATTACTTTATTGCCGGATATTGAAAGTCCATTCACCTTGTGTTTCCTTATCGAGATCTATCTACACCTTTTTTCTCTCTCCCTCTCCCCCCCCCCCCCCCCCCCCCTTCATTCTTCCTCCCTGTTTTCACCGATCACTGACTTATTAAGACGGGCATCTTACTTAGTAATCTGTTGTAAACCTGTGATGCCAAAAAAAACTAACATTCGCCCTTCCCTTATAATGTACAGTAAACTGCTGATAACTTGTCACTCCAGGGGAAAGGGGCTCAGTGACGAGCTATCAGAAGCAGCAGGAAACGAATATGCTGTGTAAATAAAATAAATAACATATGCTCTGTAAATAAAATGCAACTGGGATGCATGCAACACGATGATTTAAGTGAGAGTGACAAGTTAAGCCAAAATCAAGTGATCAGGAGTTGACTACACCTCAGCCTCAAGAGCATTCAAATTGTGCCAATGTCAGCTCTTCCACAGTCAACAACTGAGAGTGAAATGTTCAGCTTTCCAGGTGTTCTGTGTTGTGTGTACCATGTCCAATTGACTCTAAATTCAGATTTTTCATTCTATCAGTATGAGCTGGAGTCAAACCTACCTCTCGGAGGTTGAAGGACAATTTGCTAAATCACTGTCACACTACTTTTAGCAGTCGATTGATGATTTATAAAGAACTCAATGTTTAAAAAAAATCTTTCACGAATTTGTTTTTCTGCCCCAGATCATAGAAATTGAACTGCACGTTGCATCACCGTTGACAGATCTAACATCTCCAGGAACAACAATGGGTAGGTATCTGAACAGCGAGTCAGTTTAAAGAGTTAAAATCAAATATTTATTTACTAAACACATTTTAAAAAGTACAAACTGTAAAGTGTGTTAGTTACCTCCTGTACTTGTCAATGTTTTTTTCTCAACTGACCTGTGAAGCCGCTCTGTGACAAAAAGGCCACATGAAATGTTAAGTTTGAATGTAATACCAGTCACCACATTGCACAGTAAAACCTTGTGAAGGGCTTTGAAACATCTGGACAATGTGACAAGACACAATATTAATTGCAAGAATTATTATAATAATCTATTTATTCAGCACGCCCAGAGCAAGATCCATCATCACTAATTACCTCAAATAAATGCAGTTGTTTATGACCTTTTAAAAGCACATTGAGACAACTGACACACCTTCTTGGCAACCTGTTTGATGATTTTAGTTAATACTCTTGCTGTCAATACTCCCTGTTTATGGTCACATATGCAGGATGGCCTCTTGAAATGGATATATCCATCAAACACCCCTAGCATCGTAGCATGGATTCAGCATTCCATCCTGAGCTGTGTTGCCCACCAGGAAGCTCACAGGGCGTTCCCGGTATCTGCCGTTCACCTAGTGAGGGCCCAAACCCACGTTTGTCAGATGTCTCCAAAGGAAAACCGGAGACTATCTTCCAGGGTGTGGGGGATAAGTTCTCCCTTGGGAGAAGGGAGAACTGGCTCCAAGTTGATGTGATTGACAATGGATTATTGGAGCCGAGTTCCATCCTCTGTGCAGGCTCTGGTCCAATTCCTGAGCCAGGCAGGTCCGCAGTAATCCAGGGCATCGCTCAGCACAGCCCAGCCTGGCTCATCATCATGAGTTTCTGCACATGTCAGATACCTGGCTGACCAAAAGAAAATGAATCAGCACCTTCAGCGGGTGGGGGGGGTGTGGAGGTGGCACAATTGCAATCAAAATGAAAGATGTATTATTATTAATATAGTGTGACTGTATTAAAAACTGCACCAAACGTTTTCACTCAGACTGTTTCTGGTTTTAATTATTGTTTAGAAGAGTTAAACAAGCTGCGTTTGCAGGAATGGAATGAAGATCATGTGAAAACCTGGTTAAAATGTATTGGGATCAAAGATGCACACGTCCAGGTATTGTACGAGGAAGAAGTAACTGGAGCTGTGCTTGAAGTGATTGACGAAGACTTTCTTAAAAACCTGCAATTAAAAGGAGGTCAAATCAAGCTGATTTTGAAAAGAAGAAATATACTGTTGAACAGTCAGAGATTAGAAATAGCTGATTGTAGCAAAAGGGAAGGAAAGGATGGAGGAGACTTTTCCTCAGTACAAAACAAGCAGCAAAAGGTTCCTACTCAGATGCCCCAGACAAAGAATATAGTCAGCGAAGTGAAAAGCAAGCACAACATCACTGAGTTAGCATCAGATGAAGCTGAGAGTTCTGCTGCTTCACAGCCTACTGGTACGAGTGAGGACCAAAATATTGTGGTGGAACATCCATCCTCCAGTCAGTGCAAACCTTATCCATTTGGCGAGAACATTATAGAATTTAAGTACGTAAGAAACCGAGTTCTTCCACCAGAAACTGGTGTCATAGATTTAATTTGTCCGTGTCATGAATATAAATCTCTTGACAACGCTGTAAAGCTGGACAGACTAAAACTACAAATAAAGTTTGCACGTGAAGTTATCAGATTTAGTTCTGGGTGCATGAATATGCGAACCAATGGTACAATACATTTTGGGATCATGGATAGGCAAGAAAGCTCGGCGTACACACATGGTGAAATAATTGGTGTACCTGTAAAAGATCAAGACATCTATGTCGATGCTTTAGATTTGATAGACAGATGCTTCAAGCGTTATTCAGACGATGCAAAACTTTCCATTCGACCACCCAGATTTGTAGAAGTCATCAGCAGGGATGGGGGTGAGAAAAGATTTGTTATTGAGGTTGATGTGAAACCGTTAATAGACATTGTGAGGAACAAAATTTACAGAGTTCGACTTCCAAATTTTAGTGAAAACAAAAACAAAATAGAATTTGATAAGCTCTACAGAATCTACAGAAGAAGTGGAGCGAACACTGAGCCAATCAGTGAAGAAGACCAGGATGACTTTATTTCAAATGTGCAGGTTAGAGACAAAATAAGAGAAGAAGCTGAGAATAGAAAAGAGCCCGGGAATAACCTTTGTGACGACCAAGGAAGAAAGTTAAAACTCCTTCTAACTGGTGGCAAGAAATACATGAATAACAGCCTATGGTATGTAATAGTCACTAACAAATGCAGACCAGAGGATTTAGAGAATTTAGATTTCTTGTTGGACATTAAGATATTTTGTGTTTTTGACTTTGATCCTGATTCTAAAACCGATGGCTTTTGCAAGCAATACCTGGAACACCATACAGCAAATACTCACTTCTTACAAGACTATGCTAATGATGGTAACAGCACCAGTGACTTCGCAAGTCGCTTGTGCTTATTTGATCAAACTAGTTGGATATTTTGCAATGGCCGCAATGATTTTGATGGGGATGAAAAGCCATGTGATGTGAGTACATGGGTGACGAGCAGAAAGAAGCACTTGAAAAGAACAGTGTCTGTGATTTGCAATGATATTCTGCCAAATGGTTCTTTTGTTGTGCTTTTTCTGCTGTTGTCACCAATAGAGCAGCCAATAGTAGACACCTTCCATGAATTCTATGCAGAAATGAATGGCAGAAATGACATTATATGTATTGCAGAGTGTGACAAAAATCATCAAAAATGGGCAAATCTTGCACAGGTCTCCTGCAGTATTGAGACTATTAACGAAATGAGTATTGTTGGAATGAAACTTAGTCATGTAAATGACACAGTCAAGAGTATGCAGCCAATATCAAAGCAGAGTGGCAGATACTTACAAGTGTCTACAAAAGCCATGTGTTTACTCAAAACATCAGATGAAGAAAGAATGTCATCTCTTGAGATATTGTGTGTGAATCAGTGTGAAGATTACAAAATTGATCCACAGGATTCTGAGTGGAAAATAAAAATCACAGAGATAGAGAGTGACTTCTATCGTGGAGGCAAAGTCAAGTGGCTGAATTTCTTCCTAGGAGAAAAAAATTTTTGTGAGGATGTTATACAGCGGGATGCTTACACTGATGCGGCTAGGATTGTAGATGGAATTATGGTCAATGGTCAGACAGTGAAGCGGTCAGTTAGCACAGTCCACATATTTCATCATTCAGGCAGTGGAGGAAGCACCGTAGCCCGACAGATTGTGTGGAATTTTCGGACGAAGCTGCGATGTGCAGTTGTCAAGCAGTCATATCAAGCCGCAGTAGTCTGTCAGCATGCCATCCAACTGCTTGAGTATGAAGAAAGTGATATCGATCAGTGTATCCCAGTGCTGCTGTTGGTTGAAGACTCTGATGAAGACTACCTTGATAAGATTAAGCAGGAATTAGGATTTGCGATCACATGTAAAACAGATAATACTATGAGAACCTTCTTCATTCTTTTGAACTGCAGAAGATCCCATAACCCTGAAAAACAGTGCAAGAACAGACCCCTGGAAACAGTTGCTGTGACCCACAAGCTCACTCAGCAAGAAAAGAGATCATTTTCTGCTAAACGTAAACAACTGGAGAAACAGTTTGAGCCGGAGTTCATACTGACATTTGTTCTACTTAGTGACGAATTTCCGAAGGACTACATCGAAAATGTTGTGAAACACTTTTTGGAAGGTATTGACCACTCTTCTCTTGCCACTCAGTTGATAAAATACGTTGCTTTGCTGAATGACTACGTGCCCAATTCAAGCATTTCACTATCTCACTGTGAGGCATTTTTGGGACTTGGTCCTCAAGTAAATCATCTGCGCCAGCACTGTTTCGAATCTTCCTTGACTGACCAGGCGCGTCTTTTGTTTATACACTTCAATGACGATAGCACTGAGATACGCTCTGTACGAATAGTACATCCGCTGGTAGCAAAGGAAGTACTACAGCAGTTGTCACATCAGCCTCTGAGTCAAATTGCGATGAAACTTCTCCAGGAAAAGGCATTTTTCAAACACCGATTTGCCAGAGATGAGTTCTACAAATCCATCAGAAACTTGTTCTTACAACGTCACAAAAGAAGTAGAGGTGACAGCGCTGATACGTTTTTTTCACCACTTATTGAAGATATTCGCAATAAAGAGAAAACTCCAGAAAAGGCAGTGGAAGTTTTGACACAAGGGTATGAAAGTTTTGGGAAAGATCCATTTTTTGCACAGCAGCTTGCAAGACTACAATACACACAGGAAAATTTTAGCGAAGCCATACTGTGGGCTGAAGATGCAAGGAAGCAGTTACCATTCAATTCGTATATTCTGGACACTGAAGGGCAAGTGTACAGAAAAAAGCTCTTTTTGAAATTTGATATAACACGTTGTCAAAGTGAAGTGGTTACTCCTGAATTGCTGAAAGAACCAATAGAAATAGCCCTAAAAGCAATTCGGTGCTTCAGAGCTGCTCAAAGGGCATCTCAGTCAGAGTTAGATTCTATAAATAACTCTGGTTTTGTAGGTGAAGTAGAAGTTGGATGTCATCTGCTGCAACTTCTTTCTCTGCTGAACATCTTTTCAAAAGACGAGGATGGGTGCTACAAAAAATTAGTACATTACCTGCTGGGCCAAGAGATTCCTGATGAAATTCAAAAACCCTGGAGAAGCTTCCACGGCCAATTGAAGGGCCTGCAAAAAGGAATGTATGAAGCACTTGAATGGATATCTGAAGATATTAGCTATTTTCAAACAGACAAAACTGACGACGATGAAGAGGAAAAGAGCAAAATAGAAGAACATTTGCACAATCCTAGAAAATGGTTGACGAAAAAAGCATCAGTATATGCACGCTTCTTTGCCTGCGATTTTGCAAAACTGGAAGAAGACTTACCCCAGGAATTCAGTTCTTTGTCTCCGTTGGTAAGACGCCTTCAAATTTACAAGCTTGGTGGTGGAAATGTTACAATGATTCTTTCACAGTTGTCGGATCAGAAGATTGCTCGAGCTGTTCAAAAATTGGAAGAGATAATCTCCCTGTATTCCGAAAATCCTCAAAAAGAAAAACTGGAACTAACTGATCTTATTAACTACATTATGTGTCATATCACACTGAATTGTGTTGCACCAGGGTCCCCAAAACTGGTAGATTACCGGAAATTACGGGACCTGAGTCTGCGATTTCAGAAAGAAAAAGAGCTGAACAATTCAAATGCCTGCTTTTTACTTACACTGTTGTTTTGGCCAGATGAAATCTGTGACAAAGAATCCAGTTCGGATAAAGAGGCCATCTTGAAGACAGCACTTACAACAATGAAAAAATTGTACGAAAACAAAATTAAGAATGTAGCACCAAGGAAAAAGCGACTCTACACTCCCTTCTTCTTAGGAAATGGATTTGGACTTCACAAGTTCATTCACAAAAGTACACTTGAAAAGCTTTCGGATAGAAGCCTAAACGAAAGAAGATTGAAGTGGCTGACTGGTGACGTGTGGAGGAATCCCAATATCATCAAGAAATTGAAGCGTGTAAACGGATGGACTGAAAAGGAAAACCTTTTTGTACGTGGTCATTGCAAACAAAGCAAGATCAGTATCTTGCCATTGCATTTTGCTTCCATGCCTCATGGCAATGAGAATGTAACCTTTTGCCTGGGGTTTACATTCAATGGATTTGTTGCTTATGATATCAAAGTGAAAGCTTAAACTGGAAAACTCATATCTATGCTACATTTCCTCTAATTGCTCGCTACATTTGGTTTTGGTTGGTTTCAGTTATAGAATCATAGAATTATCCAGCACAAAAAGAGGCCATTCAGCCCATCGTGTCAATGCTGGCTCCTTGAAAGAGCTGTCCCAGTCACCCGCGCTCTCTTCATAGCCCGGCAAATTTGCCCGCCCCAAATATCTCTCTATGCATCACATGTTTATGCATTCTAGTTATTCCAAGAATGTACCTGAATCAGATTACAATATTTGTGTATGACCACTTCCTGGATCCCCAGATTGTACGACATCAAAATCAAGATTGTAGCTCCAAGGAAAAGGGGAATCTACACTCGCTTTTTCTTAGGAAATGGATTTGAACTTAATAGGATCCTTCACAGCAGTGCCCTTGAAAAGCTTACTGATAGGAGCCTAAATGAAAGCATGTCCAAACCGTTGATGTACGACAAGTGCAACAAAGGCTTATGAGATTAATTCCTTAATATAGGAGCAGAGCTATAGGGAAACATTGGTCCCCAAAGGGCTTTCCTTTTTTGAATGATCACTGAGGGAGGACTCGTAAACTTGGATGGATCATTGCCTGGATCAATGGTCTACTCAAGCCTGAAATTGTTCCTATATTACGAAGTGCCGAGTAAACGTTGCCTCTACCTTTTGAAAATGACCAACGTTTTATGAACTGCAACTCTTTGTTAGTAAGTACCCATTGCTATGTAAGAATTTCTGTCTTGTAAATTTAGAGAATTTCAATTTGTTCACTTGCACTGGAATACTTTATGAAATGTGTTTGAACGTGAGTAGAGTGTGGGGTTCGATCTGATTTGTAGTGGAAGGGTAATAATAATATTTTGAACTTCAGCTTTGTTTTCAAATAATATTTTCCATCACAGCTTTTTCTATCGCACGTCATATATAAGGTGTTCCCAGTTATTATTCAAAAACATAGTTTTTTTTAAAACATCAGTTGAAAATAAACTTTCTGAGCTGTGCTTTTAAATTCTATTCTTTTCTCAAATGTTCTAGATCCGGATATTTGAGGACTATACCTATATATCTTGTATAAAAGGTGTCATGGTATTAAAGGTTTTATTTACAAACACAGAGGCGATTCACTTAATCTAATGCTTTTATTTCATGTATTAGTTGTGATTGTTTTTGGAAAGATACAAAACAGTTGGCACATTTAATCTGTTTCGTGCCTGTTGTTAGTGTTTTTTTGCTCTGTTTCCTACCCTGTATTACAATGTATCCACGGGATATTTTAACTTTGTATGGAATAACATTAACATCAGAATAACATCAATCATCTTTTTGTTCTAAATAAAATAACTTTCATAACAAGAATATAATTTTGATTTACATTTTATTCAATTTATTTTAGTCAGCCGGGTGTCTGACACATGCATAAACCCCGCGACATGCTTAAGAGTAACCAAACCAGACTGTGAGTTCCACATGTGTACGTCACTGTGGAAATTTCCGTGTGTCTGGAATTGAAGTGGTAAGAATCTTTGTTCCCAATGGCATCAGCAGAACAAGGTATAAAACTTTGGTATCCACCATATTTGGAGCATTGTGTCCAATTCTGCGAGCCACACTATAAAAAGGATATAACATTGATGGAAAGAGTATGTTTCAGGTTTTCTAGGATGATACTAGGGCTGGCAGGTTACTGCTATCAGAATAGACCAGATAGGTTAGGCATTTTTTTACTAAAAAGAGAACCTAAAATTATAAAAGAGTTCAATAAGATTAGCAATAAATAGGCTGTTCTCACTTGTTGGGGAGTCCGTAACTAGGGGCCACAGGATGATCTGCAGCCTGTGGAGGGAGGAGTTGGGGAGGCCGACAAGCAGTGAGTTAGCAGAGTCGAGCCTCGATGTAATGATGGGGGGGTTTGACAGCCTGCGGTGTGAGACAGTGTCGGAGCCGGGCAACGGCAGAGCGGGTCATGGCGCAGATGTGGGGTAGAAAGGATAGCTGAGGGTCAAACAAGACCCCAAGGTTCTGCACTGAGCAACCACGGATGGTGATGCTGTTAGCGCCCAAGGTGAGGAGGTGCTCACGGGAGCCAATCAGGAGAGCCTCGGCCTCGTTGACGTTCAACTGAGGAGGAGAGGGAGTCCTGGTCGCAGATGGACCGAATGTCATTTGTCACTTTGACCAGAGCTGTTTCTGTGTTGTGAGCAGCACGGAAACCCGATTGGAGGAGTTCGAGAAGGGAGTGACGGGAGAGGAAGGAGCGAAGCTGGGAAGCAACAACTCATTCCAGGACCTTGGAGAGGAAGGGGGGGTTGGAGATGAGGCGGTAGTTTGGGAGTAGAGAAGGATCCAGGGAGGGTTTTTTAAGGATAAGAGTGATGACAGCGATTTTTAAAGGGGTGGGAACAGTACCAGAGGACAGGGAGAGGTTTACGATGTCAGTGAGTAGAGGACAAGGAGGTGGAGCTGGGAGGTAAGGGGGGCGTTAGGATGGGGTGGAGGGAGCAGGTGGTGGGTTTCATACAGATTATGGTGGTGATGAAACGGGTTCAAAGGTGTGGAGGGAGGGGTCGGTAGGGGCTGGAATGGGAGGGGGGTAGTAATTGCAGTGGCAGAGCAGCTGAGCGGATTCCCTCCACTTTGGATTCGAGGAAGTCCAGCATCGCCTGGCAGTTTGCATTTGAGGTGAGGATGGGTGAGCCGTGAGAGGGTGGGCGGAGGACTCGGTTTGTGATGGAGAAGAGGAGTCTGGGGTTGTCCTAGCCTCCGAGATTGTCTTGGATAAGAACGATGATTTGGTGGAGGCAAGGGCGGAGCAGTAGGATTTGACATGGTCCAGCCAGCTCTGCCGGTGGACAGTTAGGTTTGATTTAAGGCGGGAGCGCTCAGTGCAAAGTGCCTGGGCTTCAAGGGAGCGGGGATGGCTGGTGTACCAAGGTGATTTGCGTGTGTAGGAGAAGGTTCGGGAAGAGAAGGGAGTGAGGGAATCGAGAGTGGAGGGGAGGGAGCTGTGGAGAAGGGTGACCGAGGACGATAGGTCATTGCGGGAGGAAGCCCAAAGGGGAAGGAGTTCAGATGACTCCCAAGGCAGCTGAAAGGGAGGGAGGGGGAGATTTTTTTCCAGGGGCAGTATGAAATGGAGGTGGGTTGGGTGCCATTGGGGAGAGGAATTGAGGAGTTAAGGGAGATGAAGCGATGGTCTGAGATCGCTTTGTCGATGATGCTGAGGTCCGAGACGGTGAGGCCCCGAGTGATCACCAGGTCGAGGGGGTGACATAAAACATTTGCTGGCGAAGGAAGAACCGAGGTCCATCCAGTTCACCTTCCACCATCTTGTCAGTCGCTTGACAAATCGTGTCCCAAACCATATGCTGTATCCTGAGTTATTATTGTCCAGCAGAAATCTGTCTAATAAGTGGAGCCTCGTTTAGAGCAGAGCAAGCCCTGGCTTGGGCGAAGAACCCGTTTCCACGTATGTTTGTAAATCTATGTAGAACTGCCTCCTTACAGTGTCACAACCCGTTAATGAAACCTATCTCTGGAACGATTTATAAGAAATCACGTGACAGGGAAGCAAATGGTTTCTACAAACACCTTTGTGTTACTGTTTTCAAAAGGCATTGCTGAGGAATGCTGAGGAACTGAGAAGCTTTCATCAACACCCAAAGTATTTATTTGCGGTACTGGTTTTGCTACATTTTGAACTGAGGAGGATCGCAAATAAATTATTTGCTGGAATCGTTCTGTTAGGAGAGCGCAGCAGAGTGAGCTGAGGACGGAGTGAAACGGTTACAGAGCGAGGACTTCTACAGCAGGAATTTGGTGAGAATTTGGAATTCATTGGTGAGTAGGAGAGAAACTGTGGGTAAATAGTACGGAACTTGTTTTTTCAAACTGAAATTTAAACTTTGCCAAATAATGATACTTCAGATTCGGCAGAGTAATAATAAAAATCCTCGCATTTAATACAGCGCCTTATCACGTCTTTGAGACGTATCAAAGCTCTTCACAGAATATAAAGTAAAGTGAATTGACTGTATATTTTGTTGGCGAAAAGTGGCAGCTAATTGAGCATATCAGCGTCCCACAAACAAACAGTCGTGGATTGAGTGATCAATTTTTTTTTTTTTTTGAAAGGATTATTACCCCCAGAAAAGTGCTCTATCTATCGACTAACAGCCGGTCCCTACTTACTGCGAGGTGAACAGGCGTGTGGAGTAAAGAAACTCAGCCAACATTTCGCTCTGCCTGGAAACCAAGCCCCCAAGTCCTCTTGATTGCAAGGTGAGATGAAGCGATGGTCTAAGCTCCAGGACTCCACCTAATGATTAACAAATGTTTTTTTTTCTTGCTGTTGGAACTGAGATATAAATAAGCAAATTTACATTTGACTTTGAAAAATAAACCTTTTATTTTCCAGACAAACAACCCAGAAAAGTTAGACTTTAAGAGCGAAGAGCAGCATGCCGAATCCCCCCAAATCAACCAAAGGGACAAGTAGGCATTATGATCAGTGTAATCCCCATCCTTTTGACACAGAAGATGCTGAATTCAAATATATAAGAAACACTGTGCTTCCACCAGAAACAGGTAGCAAAGATTTAATTACTCCATGTCACGAGTACAAATCTTTCCAAAAGATGTGCCTCAAAGACAAGAATCAGCAGAGGCTCAAATTTGGGACTGACGTTATGAAATTCGCTGCAGCTTGTATGAACACGAGAACAAATGGGACCATTCATTTTGGGGTTGAAGATGGGGATGGAGATTATGTACACGGTGAAATTGTAGGAGTGCCCGTGAGGGATCCAGCGCTTTTTGTTCAGGCGCGAGATGTTTATATCCAAAAATGCTTTATGCCCAAGTACTGCTTTCATGCTGAGCGTTCAATTCGCCCGCCAAGATTTGTAGAAGTAACTAGTGGTGATCCTGGGGAACAACAGTGCTTTGTTATTGAAGTGGATATTGTTCCATCGTTAGCTGTGGTGCAAGGGATTTTCTATTCCGTTCGCCTTCCCGTTCTCAAGGACATTAAGGAAAAGAACACACGTTCTCCTTGGGTTATTTACAAAAGAGAAGGCGCAGCTTCTATATCTGTGGGTAATGAAATTCAAAGCATACCCGACTACATACGCGGCAGAGACTTTGAGAGAGAAGAAGCTGAGCGGAGGGAAGAGTTGGTCAGCAATGACGTGTATAGGAAACTGGCCAACTTGTTTGCCAGTGTGAAAAGGCACATTAACAACAAGGTGAAGTACGTCCTCGTAATCAACAGCTGCAAAGAGGAGGATTTGGAAAATCTCAACTTTTTGTTAAGTATGAGATTCTTTTGCGTTTTCGATTTTGACCCCAATTCTAAGATGAAAGGTTTAGGCAGTCGCTATCCCAAAGCCAGCTTCCACTTCTTGGAAGACTGTACCATTGACGGCGGGGAATTGGCAGATGATGTAAAGAAGGATTTTTTTCAAAAAACTGCTTGGATATTTTGTAACGGGCAAAATGATTACGGCGATCGCAAACCCTGTGAAGATGGGACCTGGATGCAAACCCGAAGGGAAACTTTGGCAAATACCATATCGCAAATTTGCAAAACCATCCTTCCGCCAGGCTCGTTCGAGGTACTTTTTCTCTTGGTGTCAACTGTGGATCAACCACTTGCAGAAGCATTTCAGGAATTCTACACAGGAATGAATAGCAAAACTGGCATCAAATGCATTGCAGCAGACAGACAGAATTACAGCAACTGGGTAAGCTTTGTACGCCAGTCATGCAACAGAGACACCATCAACAACCTCAGTATTGTAGGAACAAAACTCAACCATTTAGACGCAATGATTCAGATCATACAATCTTCAGCTATTAGTACTAGGCAATTGCTACGTGACGACAAAAGCTATGAGGAACTGCTGCCGTTTATTGAAGTACTGAGAGCAAATGAGTACAACAGTGAGTACATCATCGATAAAAATGATGAACAGTGTCAGGAGGAAATCAAAAACACAGAGATGTACTTTTACCGGGGTGGTAAAGTTAACTGGATGAATTTCTGGTTAGCAGATAATGAGTACTGTGGAGAAATTATCCAAAGAGATGCCTACAAGGCAGTGGAAAGGCGACTGAAGTTGGCGTTAGAGAAACGAAACTCAAAAGGACCGGTGCTAACTGTGACGATAGCTCACCAGCCCGGCAGTGGAGGAAGTACTGTAGCTCGTCACATTCTGTGGGACTTCAGTAAAAGACTGAGGTGCGGGATCATCAACACATCACAGCCTGAAAAATCTATCTGTGAGCATGTCGTCAAATTACAGGAGTCTGAAAAGAAGGATGAGAGTTCGCCAATGCTCCTGCTTGCTGAAGATTGTGACGAGGAATGCATCATGAGTCTAAAAGATCAGCTGACGAGAGCAGTGGGACACCAGACTAACGTTTCAAATCTGCAAGTCATTCTGCTACACTGCATGAGGGTTAACAACCCAGAAACGTATAAGGTGCCTGAAAGAGTTATGGTTCATTACAACTTATCCCCACGTGAAACATCGCTGTTTAAGAGGAAATTGGAAGTGCTTAAAAAACAGTTTAAGGAAAACGCCATCCTTACATTCGTTCTGATGACCCAAGAATATAACCAGTCAGTCCTCTCGAAATTTGTGAAGGACCTGCTGACAGATATTGGCTTCTCTTCTGTTGAGGGTCGCTTGCTTCAATCCATTGCGTTGCTAAATCATTACGTTCAGGATTCATACATTACCGTATCTCAGTTTGTGTCATTTTTAAATGCGAGCTTTCAAACTGATCTTTCGCAAGGCTTTGAGAGCACTTCAAACAAACCGATGAATTTTCTGCTCTCTCACTTGTTTGAAGCTACAACAGAACTTCAGTGCATCCGCGTAATACATCACAAAGTCGCAGAAGAAATACTGGATCAGATAAAACCCAACCAAAGTCAGGTCGTCACCCAGCTTCTTGAGAAGGATATATTTTTTCAACAAAAATCTACAACTCAAGTATCAAAGTTCATAAGGCAATTGTTTGTTCAGAGAAAACCTAAGAATTCAAAACAGAGACTCAAATTCCCTCCCATGATCGCACACATAGCTAAGAGCGAAAGCAATACTAAGGCAGTGGCTGTTCAGGAAAAGGCCTGCGAGTGTTTTGATGAAGATGCCATCGTGATTCAGCAACTTGTTAGATTCTTATGCAAAACAGGAGAGTTTGAAAAGGCGAAGTCATGGATAGAAAAAGCTAAGATCCTTTTGCCTTCCAATTCTTATATTTTGGACACAGAGGGTCAGGTATACAAGAAATGGTTATATTCGCTAACCTTCCCAATCAATGATCCGGGTAAACTCGACAAAGCAATTGAGTTAGCCCTGAAGGCAATCAATGCTTTCCAAAGATCCCAAGAGGCATCGGAATCAGAGACCGATTGGAATAACAGCGGCTATTTTGGTGAGGTGGAGGTTGGATGTTACATTGTGCAGCTTATGCCATTACTTGGTATATTTTCAGAGTACAAGAATGGATTCTACCCCAAACTTGTTAAATATCTAGTGACTGAATGGGTCCCAGAAGAAATAAACGTCTCCTGGGCCCCGTTCCATGATCAATTGAAGTCATTGCACAACAACATTTGCAAATCAATGGAATGGATTTATGTGTACATGGCTTACTTCCAGCCTGACGAGGGAACAGAGACCATGGTACAGGCCGCTTTTGAGAACTTAAAGAAAAACGAAAGACAATTCTCGTCTTTCTTCAACTGTCCCCTCGATGGTCCAAGTAAAAAGCTGCTGAAAAAAGAAAACATGGAAAATCAGATGGCCTTATTAAAACATCGCAAGATTAATTACCTCGGTGGTGGAAGATTCTCTACAATATTTGCGTTGGCTGCTGACAAATTGAGGGAAATCATAGATATGGATACTAATCAACAAGAGAAATTGAATGAAAATTATGTGTTATCACGCATTGCCTTCGCCATGATCAAACCCACCTCTCCCGAGGAAGACAAAGTTTCTGAAGAGCAACTCCATGAGCTCAGCCTTCAACTACAGAGGCTGGATTTTGACAAGCCAATCCCTCACTTCATCTTGTTGCTGTTGCACTGGCCAGACAGTGAATGTAACGATCTTTCTGGGAAGAAACACGATGAGTATTTAACGGACTCATTAACTACCCTGAACAATCTGTACAAAGGCAAAATAAAGGATATTCAAAGTGTGAAGAAACCTACTTATCCTCATTTTTTCCTTGGATCTGGAAGCGGTTTTCTGAAGCGCTTCGTCCACAACAGAAACTTGTCTCGCAACAACGGAGCGTACGATTGGGAGGCAAATCAGGCTCGCTTGCAGCGGGTTGAGGGCTCGGCTGAAGGCAACAAGATTTACATCCAAGGGCATTGCAAAGACAGTCAGCTTCCTGTCCATCGGGCGTTCAATTGTTCAATCCCACCAGGAAGCACAAGGGTTTCATTTTACTTGGGATTCACATTGCGTGGCTGTGTCGCTTACGACATTCAAAGCGTTCAGTAAAGTACACGTGCGTGACAGAGGGTACAATCCCTCCGCCTCGCCCCCTCCCCACACCTCTTTCAAATCCAGCCTAAAGACCTTCCTTTTTGATTGTGCTTACGGTCACCTCCCCCCTCCCTCTCCCCCGGGCTCGGGGTCAGACTCCGCCACTGTCAAATGCTCCGGGACACTACCCCGAAACCGCGAAGGGCGCTATATTAATGCAAGTTGTTGTTTCTGTACTAGCAGCTCCCTTCGGTTAAACCAAGTGAATCGAGCAATGAATGCGGTACAGAGAGGGTGGGGAGCAAAGCAGCAACTGCGGCATTTAATTTTTCCTGTTTATGTCATTCAGAAGTTGTTACACTACTATTTGGTTTTGAATTCACATTGTAAGTATACTTACAGACTCGTTAGTTTTAATGTATCCCAACACCGTGTTTACATCCTGAACATATCAACACATGCTGTTTGATTTCTGTCGCCAAAGTTGAGGAGATAAGTACAAGCACTCTAAGATGCTATATAAATGCAAGTAATTGTTGTTGTCTGTAACTCAATACAAATTTCACGATGGTTTTAAATACACTGCTAATAGAATTGTAGGTTTTTAAGCAATAAACTTTAATCACAGTAGGAAATGTTGGGGATTTCGTAGCGTCTTTACCTGTATTGCTATTTTACCAGATTGTAATAATTCTTTCTTTGTATAGGCTGTTTCTAACACAGTCCTGGTTAATTTGGGGGAATAAAAATATCTGCAAACGTAAGAAGGTTTGGAGTTTTCATTTTTCAGTTACCGGGATTGCAATCTTACTTTTCATTTTTAAACAAATTCTATCAATTGTTCGTTTTAAGATTTATTTAGGCTGTATCTGTGAATGCACAAAAAATGGATTAAGGTGTATAAAATCTAGTGTTACATTCAACTGCAAAAATCCACCAATTGTGCTGATTTTACAGGGAAAACACTTTCTAAACAATTGTCCCGTAACCTTAAATTTAGTAAAGGCTGTGTCTTCATCTACTGTGGTCTCTCTGTGGCCTCTTACTATTTGGTTTATGCTTCATGACTGCTGGTTATAGCCAATTATGGGAGAATTTATTTATTTTTATTTCCCAAACACAATCTCTGGTAATTTATGCCTTGTTTCATTATTTTAATCAAATGACACATGGAATAGAAATAATTTGTTCCACTGTTTTTCTGATACCTATTATGGGTTCAAATCTAAGTTCTCTTTTCTAAAGGTGACAAAAGACAAAGGCTCGTCCATCATTAATTTAAAAAGCACATTTATTGATATTTGCATCAGGCTGCATGTTTGACAATGCATTTAAGTGGTTCAGTATACAAATGATACTGGGTTGAAAATTATACCCATCAACTTCACCAAACCTCCCAGTATTAATCAGCCTTCACATTAAAAGCTGCCACCTCTTACAACAACAAATTACATTTTTTTACTATAATCTCATTCCACTCCAGAGTTAAACAAACAAACTTTGCATTAAAACATTCCTCCAACTATTCCCAGCTTTAAAGCTTGATTTTCATTTAATATTTTTCTTGAATGCTTTTTAATTGCCAGAGACCGAGGTAGCAGGGTTTCCATTCTATATGAAATGAAAGGAAGGAGAAACTCAATAGCTCTAAATAATGAACCCTTTGACCATTGTTCTCACCACTTTGTCAATATTTAAAATCTTGATTCAATGTTTTTTTTAAACAGATGAAGCAAATCCATGGAAATACAAACAGAAATGTCAAACTGTTCTCGCTAGGGTTTGAACTTATTCAACACGTTAAAAAACATTCAGTACTTTCTAGACTTAAATGCCTGTTTTACACTTCTGTCCTGTGATCCAGGTTTATTATTTATAGATAAATTAATAATAAATGTATTGGCAGTTCATTTATTGAGACGTCTCAAAATGCTTCACAGGGTATAGTGTAAAGTGTAGTGACTTTGTATTTTGTGGGTGAAACGCTAATTGAGCACAGCAGCGTCTCACAAACAGCCGTGGAGCGAGTGACCAACTTTATTTAGGGGATTGTTGGCCAGGACACCGGGAGAGAGAGAAGAACTCCCTTCTCTTTTCGAATAGTGGGATCTTTAAAATCCACCTGTACAGGCAGACGGCACCTTGGATTAACATTTCATCCGAAGGATGGCACCTCCTCACATGAAAGGTGCTCTCTCTCTCTCTCTATATATATGTATATAAATGTGGAAATTGTACTGTAGTATATTATATTATGAAGTTACATCAAAAATATAATGGAAAACATTCATACCAAAATGCTGTCTTTTTACGATTTAGTATAACGTTGTCACTTTTACCTATGAATTGATAAGACGGACCCATTCCACCGATGAAAGGCTAGCAGTTCCCGTTCAAGTAAGTCCCTTCGATGAGTTGTATTCCCTGTGGGGAGGAGAATTACAGTGAATGTGTACAGTAAAACGTCAATCATCCTCCCAAACAATGCTGAGTTGAGAACCAGCAGAACAATTACTCTCATTCGTCAGCACAACTTAGAGGGGTGGACCAGTTACTGGGGGAAGGGATTCTTCTCACTCAGGCCTGCAAAGTGTCAAATAGCCTTTGAAATATTACCGTTATTCTTCTTTGTGTCCCTCAATCCTGTGAATTCGGAATTCTTACCGTTTCCGACAAGGGTGGGATTTTCTCCTTCTTGAAGACCATCCTGTGTATGGTGTGCAGGATAGGAGCAAGGTAAGCGGGATCCACATCCTTCGCACCTTCTGTAAGTGAGGTGAGACTTAGCAGGAACAGTACTCCCAGAGTTCACAGTGCAAACAGCAACACATTAGATAGATTTCCGCTAGAAAATAATATCTCAGGTTACAGTATATCGTACGGTATCTTGTTAGTAAGCGCTGCAGGACCCTACTCCGTGTGAAGGGTGCTGTATAAATGCAAGTTGTTGTTGTTATATAGTTTGGGACATGGCAACTACCAGGATGGTGGAAAGCGAACGAGGACCTTGGTCTTCCTTTGCCCAGCAAGTTCCAAATGAAAGATTTGGGGAAAATGTCCCTAAAATTTGACATTTTGCTGATTATATAATGCAAAAAAAAAAGAATTGTTCATTAATGGCAACTGAAAATCTGCTTTTCGGAATTAATATTCCTGTAATTTCTTACTTAAATGAAACCGTTGTGAAACTTTATGCTACACTAGGAAACAAAAACTGTCCCGCTCATTGTCTGAATATGGTATCAGACTGGGGCGTGTTTATAAAATTGGTAAGTGATGACAGTGTCGTTGCTAGACGCATTTTGAATTGTTATCATTTCATGCCCTGGTTTCAGTAAAATGATAGAGACACTTTTTTCTACAGTGTTAGAAAGATAGTTATGTGACCTCAGGAGCAATGTGGTATCACTGCCAATCTCAAATAGCAAAGTGTAGCAAACACCATACAAAGCATTAACTGTGGCCACCAGTTCCTTTATCTGGCTTTCATATTATATTATTTGTTTTACTTACCGGTCAATACACTGACGATTAAACCCACAAAAATTGTACTCAGGCAACCGACTGGCGTGTAGTACGCGTAGGATAAGGAGTAAATATTATCCAAAATGCTGAACCTAAAATAGAAACAAACTATTAACAGTAAGTCTTCTATATTTGGTACATTTTTGTTTAGCTCTGGAGAGAGTGACTGAATGGCTTACTCTTGTTCCTGTTTTACAGAAGTTATAGTTGTCATCAGAGCTGTTATATTTACAGAGCTTGAGGTGGTGACGTTAGCTTGCACGCAGCCTGCTATTGAGAACGTAAGTGTTTCTGTGAATCTATCGGAAGGTCGGTAGATTTGAGAACCAATTCCTAACCACAAGGAAAGGATTAAACCAACAAGCACACCCACAAATGTTCCCTGAGATAAAAGAAGAAAAATAATTATTTTAAGGACCTGTTAAATCGGTGCATAAACCAATCAATTACTATTTCTCTTTGTTCACTGCAGTTGTCTCCTAATCTTGGTGGGATGGCGTTCTAGAGGGTGGGGGCAGAGTGGCAGAAGGCCCACCCACCAATAGTGGGGCAAATGAGGCGGGGAACGTGAAGCAGGCTGGAGCCCGCTGAGCGGAGGGAGCAAACAGGGGGTTAGGAGGTCGCAGAGGTAGGGGGAGTTTTGAAGGTGACAACCAGAATCTTGAACTGTATCCTCTGTGTGATGGGAACTATAATTACAAGGCCCCCTCTAAAAAAAAGCTTATTTCAAATATGAAATAATATCACTTAAAACTAGCTTCGAAATGTTTTTCATTGTGACTTCAATGTCTAAAAGACCTTACTTTGCTGTTGCTCCTTGGACATAAAGCTGCAAGAGTAAATGCACCGATTAGGGGTCCAAGCAGTAAGCCATCAACACTTCGAGATATCTGGGTACAACAAAGAGAATATCGTTACATGAGCTGGAACATAATCATGTTTTTATCCCAACTTTTTTTTAAATAAATGTACAAATATAAAAACGTAGGATTTGTGTTTACCTGCATTACATTTCCATGTAAGAGAGAAGCGACCCCAGCCAGCCCTATTGATGTAAATCCGAAAAACACCACTAAATATAACGACAGAACAAGAATTAGGAGAGGCTGATTATTTCGGTAAAATACCATTCTGAACTTCACACTGTAACCGAAGCAATTTAAAAAATAATCCTACAATAATCCTTGCATTTGATTATAGCGCCTTATCACATCTTCGAGACGTCTCAAAGCGCTTCACAGAATATACTGTAAAGTGAATTGACTGTATATTTTGTGGGTGAAACACAGCAGCCAATTGAGCACAGCAGCGTCCCCACAAACAGCTGTGGACTCAGTGACCAAATTATTAATTTTTTTTGGAGGGATTATTACCCCCGGTAAAGCGATCTGCCAATCGACTAATAACTAGGTTCCTACTTACTGCTCGGTAAACAGAGGCGTGCGGAGTAAGGAAATTTGAGTAATGATTCGCCCCGCCCGGGAATCAATCACAGGTCCTCTCACTTGCGAGGCAAGTTCTCTAACCACTAAGCTACAGGGCTCCAAGAAAGGTCTTCATTCTCAAAACCAAACAAAAGTTGTGCATCGAACCATCCAAATGTGTCCGCAACATTTAAGCTGCTCTATTTGCTGTTTAGATGATATGTATTACAAGTTGAACCTAGGAGTTTTGAGATCAATGTTTTCTTGCTTCTCGACAGGTACTTCCAAGGCTTCCAGGAAGTGCTGATAAAATCTTCCATAACGACTGCAGACATAGAATTGATGCCAGAGGAGACAGTGCTGTGTGCAAGAAAAACAACAGCATTTAAGCATAAGTCAAAATTGGATGATATTGTTGCTTTTTCAACAAAAAATGATTAATTCCAAACTTCTTTTATTGAGGTCTTAGTATTGTCAAACATTCCCGTTGATGCTCTTGTACTGTATCTTAATGAATGGCGTTACATACCTCAGTGTGCCACTGAATGCACTCGCGACAAACAATCCCGAAATTCCAGGTAATTCAGAAAAGATATCCAAAACCAGTAACGGTGCCAACTTTGGGGAGATGTGAAAACCAAGTAAATGATTAGAAAACACATTTCCCACTTGCAACACTGTGTTAATCACTGGAATTTTGCAATACTGTATTTATTGAACAAAACTTTGATCACAGAGCTAAATAATACTTACCTGGTTGGGATCGTTGATTCTGTTTGACATTAAAGGGTCACAGGTTTCATAAACAGCATACATAACCAAGCCACAGAAACAGGCTGTGATTGTCACCATACACATACCAAACCAGTTGAGGATGATAGCCCTGTTAAGCAAAAAAAAAACTGATTTGTAAATTCACAAAGCAGGATGACAGATTCAGAATAAAAATGGAAGAGTTTCCGAACACGTCAGCCGATCCTTGCATTTGATATAACGTCTTATCGCGCCTTTGACACAGAATATACTGTAAAGTGAATTGACTGTACATTCTGTGGGCAAAACACGGCAGCCAAATGTGCACAGCAGCGTCCCACAAACGTTTGTGGATTAAGTGACCAAGTTATTATTATTATTAATATTTGAAGGTATTATTATGCCCGGAAAAGCGATCTGCCAATCGACTATCAACCGGGTTCCTACTTACTGCTGGGTAAACAGAGGCGTGTGGAGTAAGGAAACTTACCTAAGGTTTCGCCCTGGCCTCTGGCCTAACAGATGTGCTACACATTCCAAGAGTGCATTGTGGACTAAAATGTGAATTGAATATGTTCAGGTTCATAAACTGATTGGCTCACAATTTGTTTTCATTCATTGTAAAACTGTTAATTTAAAATACTAATTGATTTTTTTATGCATCATGTTAACTTACTTTCTGGCCTCTCTTTCGCTCTTGCAGGCCAGGTAGCGTTGTATCTGTGCTTGGTTACAACAGTAAATTGCAGTCCATGCAAAGGTCCCTCCAATCAATATGGACCAAAATGTGTGCCTTTTTCTTGGGTCAAAATCAAAGCTGAAAGAGAATAATTCTTCTAACTAAATGCAAAATGATTTCTTCTTTTGCACAGCTCTTGTTGTAAGTACTTTGTACATTACTTTTTATTTTAATTCTTGCAGCTTCTATTACATCAACAACAACGACAACATCTTGCACTTATATAGCACCCGCCATGCAGAGTAGCATCTTAGAGTATATCAGTATAAGGTACATCATATAAGTGACCTGCTCCTAAATCTCTCCCTTAAATGTTGTTTTAATTTCTTGTTAGAAAAAGGGGCAAGATGTATTCCAATCCAAGCCCCTAGTAATAATAATCCTTGCATTTAATATAGCACCTTATGACTGTATATTTTGGGGCAAAACGTGGCAGCCAATTGCGCACAGCAATGTCCCACAAACAGTTGTGGATTGAGTAACCAAATTACTATTAGTATTTTTTTATATCAATAAAACGAGAGGACATAAGAATAATTTCAGGACAGACACCAGGAAGTTTCTCTTTACCCAGAGGGTAATTAACCACTGGAACTGATTGCCAGGAAGAGTAGTTGAGGGCGGCTCAGGTAACTGGTTTGTCACGTTAGACACAGAATTAATACTTTAAAAATAAACTTGAATAAAACTGTCCACAAAGTTATATATTACACACAAAGAAGGGTTCTCTAAAATAGTCATTGCTGCCTCCAAACTTTTCCCGAGGGAGGGAGGGACGGAGGAATAAACTCATTGTGACTCAACAGGCACTGTTCCTTTGCTATGTCCTGGTGTTTGTCTCACATCAGCAATCTGGGAGCGAGTTTCCTTGCCTTTAGTAAAAGAAGATTGCAATGTCTGTGTACAGCAGGTAAAGAGGGAAAGATTGTAATTACAATGACAAACTACAGTAACTGAATCTTCTACACCCACAGCAGCGACATCTACTCACTCAAAAAAATTGAGGCGACCACCTTTCTGTGCAATACTCCAAACCTTTCCAAAGCCCCCAACGTGGATGGACCCCTGAATCAGCACAGCAAGCAGTCCAGCCACCATCACACAGATTTGAAAGACATCTGTCCATACAACAGCTTTGATGCCGCCCTGAGGAGAAATCACAACTAGAAATAACATTCTTACAATCCACATGGAAATGAGAGGTGGTGAGTGAGGGCTAATGAGCAATCATTACACACTGTGTGTTTCACTCACAGTTGCTATTGTGTACCTTGCATATTTACTCAGCGCCTTGGGACATCCTCCTGACATGAAAGACGCTGTACAAATGTAATCTTGTTGTTGTATATGACCAATCTACTTTCTTTCTTAGATGTGACAATTCTGCTTGGCAGCTAATAAAGAGTTCATGATAAACAGTTCATAAGCCATCTACTTTATTTCAGGGCTGCCTTTGGTAAATCCCACAACGAGTGGTATTTAAGGTGGATTTTTTGCTTTATATTCTTTATAACACCCCTCATATCTGATCAAATGATTTTTGTGCATGATGATTGACCGGCGAGAATGAAATCAACATAAAATACGATTCAGTGTAATACAAACTCTCGCATTTAGAAACAAAGACTCAGCAGTTTTCCTGGCTGTGACAGGCTATTATATCGGGAAGATGGAAATTGTGTGCGTTTGCTGTAAGGTGTAACATTTCACCAACGTGAATGGAATATCACAACATTTCACTAACGTTTTGTTGCCTGTTTAAAATCTCACAATTCATTTTCCTGACGTCTCTGCTTTTCACCTTCAGTTTTCTCCAGTGCTTGCAGTCTCTCTTACGTGTTACTCATTGGCAAGTAATAATAATGATGATAATATAATAATAATAAGTACCTGAACTAGATTGTAAAGCAATTTCGAGTACAGAGCCACAGCTGATTTTCTGTGGTGCAATCATTTGCAAAGATAAACATTTTTAGACTTTATGATCCAATTGAATTCACGAGGCAAATACTGTATTTTTCCATAAAATAAGTCGTGTGTTTATCAATAATCGATTATACAGAGACACCTTATCACCAAAACCGTCAGACCCAAAGTACAGTGTTTGTGATGAAATACACCCAAAGGGTATTTGTCAGGAATAGGGAATATAATTGCAGATATCAATGCATGATTGATGCAGTTCTCAGCGGATTTTACTAACTCTAATAAACATTCAGAGTGAGTTTTCTTACTATTGATGTGTATAATGTACACACGAGGCCAGTTGATAACACGGATATCCATAAATTTAAGCCCGTAACTGAAAAAGAATCAATGGATGAAAACAGTTAATATTATGAATAGATGATTGAATGATAATTGACTAGAGAACATGATTTGAAAGATAAAGAGATAACACATTTATGCTGGTGGGAATGAGAAGAACTCGTCATACAGCATTACACAGGAAAACACAGAACTGGAAAAAACTATTGTTACACACTATTCTATTTTCCTTGCGGCTCAATATCTTCCTCTATCTTCCTTGCTGGGTAATCCATTGGACATATTCACCACTCTCTGTGTTAAACCTAAATTTAAATTTGATAATCCTTTCAACAAAAAAATAATAATTTGGTCACTCAATCCACGGTTGTTTGTGGGGACGCTGCTGTGCGTAATTGGCTGCCGCGTTTCGCCCACAAAACACACAGTCAATTCGCTTTACAGTGTATTCTGTGAAGCGCTTTGAGTCTCAACGATGTGCTGTATCAAATGCAAGGATTATTATTATATTATATTTGCTCTTCTAATATTATGTATGTGGCTTGTTGTTACGTTTTTTTCACTGTTATTCAAACACCCAGTCTGGTGCCATCAGAAAATGTAGACAACTTGGTTTCTATTCCCATTTGAAATTGTTCACGTAAAATGTAAATAACTTTGGTCCAAACACTGACCCCTAAGGCAGCCTGCTAGTGACCTCCTTCCATGTAACGCTTCACGTAATAATCATCCCTGCATTTTGATATAGCGCCTTTCACGTCAGGAACATTTCTCAAAGCACTTCACAGGTTTTACTGCAATGAGTAGTGACCATGTATTCTGTAGGCAAATCTGGAAGCTGGACGACAAGCACAGCCTGGATTGTGAGTTCAAAGTCTCAATGTGGGGCTTGAACCCACAACTTTCCGACACAGAGGCGACGATGCTACCAACTGAGCCAGCCTGACACATACAGCTGCCCATTATTTGTTCAGTTCAGGTAATTCCCATTCTACTTCCAACATGCCTTCCCTATTCCGTGTCTTCTAACCTGTGTATCAATCTCCTGCTTTGCACAGTCTAAAGGTTTTCCAAAATTTAAATGTAGAATATCTACAAGTATTCAAATAATAAAATAACTGTCATTCAAAAATGCCCAACTTACCTTTACTTAATGCTAATGCAGGTGTGTAGGTGACAATGCCAAGATAAATGAACTAGAAAAGAATAAAACAGCACCTTATGTACAGATGAGTCGAGGAGCATTTCTGACAGAGAAAGATCTTCAAAATAGTACGACATATTTATGAATTTACTCTCATATTTTGCAAAAGACATCACAAATGTTCGAATACAAGGAATGTGCCAATACAGTTCAATTTAAACTCCATCAAGGACACAAAAGCTCAGACATTAGATATTGATGTAGAATTAAGATAGGTGACATCTAAGATTTTTTTTAAAAAAAACTCTCTTTAAACTTACCATATACAACAAGAAACAGCACACTGCTTGATACCTCACTAGATTATTAAATCTTCTACTTAGATACTGTAGGGAAAAAAACACAGGAAAATTAAACACTATTAATTTTACTTATACAATTTACTCTCAATTAAGAATTCTTTTTGAGAAGTTCCTTGAGAAGTGCGACTGACACAATCATGTGCAGGTTTTACTTTGCTCACTGGACTCCCCCCACCCCACCACCCCCAGCTCTTCCCTATGCCAGCAACAGACTATACAGAACTCTGTAGCCCATGTCCTCTCTCATAAAAGGCTCTGTGAGTCAATCAACCCAATCTCTCTTGGCTCTATTGGCTCCCCATTCCCAATAGCAAAGAGAAAAGAAGACNTTTTTTTTCCATTACCTCATACGTGCTAAGAATGTTCAGCCTGTAGAAGAGTGGTAAATAGATCACACAGGTTATTATCATGGTAATTAAAGAAGAGAAGATGTACAACAGAACCATCGATCCAAATGTGTACACCTCTGCAGGACTTCCAATCACTGTAACAACAATCAGAGATATCTCTGATGAGTAAGGTAAGAGCAACATTTCTGAAGCACATGAGATTAATGTAACTCTTTTATAATAATACTTAATCAGGTTAGAATCTAGACTTTATTTAGCACTTTCAGATGCACCGAGTCAGTAGGACAAGGAAGGTAGGTTTAGAGATGCTCTGGGGAATTTCAGGACAGACGACAAAGAGTTATTGATAATTGGAACAGGTTGTTGGGAAGTGTGGCTCAGGTCAGGGTGCTGGACTCATTTAAAAATGCTCGATGTGGCGATGGGAAGACACTATCGTGGATATTCTGGAGATCAAATAGGCTGAAAGGCTTCCCTAATTACCTAGTAAGTTATTAATCAACTTGCACTTTTCGTGCCTTTTCTTAGTAAAGAACCGGTTGAAAACAAAACACTGCCTGCAATCAGAAAGAGAAATTGCCCAAATTTAAGGCTAACACAGAAATCATACTTAACGCAGCAAATTTTGGTTGTGAATGCTGCTTTTTACCTCATGTTACCCCAGGGCAGAATAATACGAGGCAATGCAATGGTGTGACTGGTGCAAAGGTCCTTTTCTTAACATTAACACGAACCATTAAGTTGGCAATTCGGGAATACTGAAATACCAGCTCCAACACCATTTACATTGTTGCTTCTGTTAATTTGTAGTTTTTCTAGTACTTTTGCAGCCCAAACTCCAAAACTTCTCAACAGTGCAAATAGCTATCTGTTAATTGCTCATCCATGTTCTACAATTCAACCATTTTAAATATACTGTAAGTTTTCTTAACCAGTCAAAAATTGGCATGTTATTGTAAGAATACAAAGGTTCTTGTCCTGAATAAATTGTGTTCTATCCGTAGTATTTCAGTCTATTCATTTTGATCCTGAAGACTGAATGGCACTAAAAAGGAAGTTCAGTGGCACAGATACGATTTCCATCTGTAATGTTCCCATGAACTTAACAGCACTCCATCAGAAGAAACTAAGAAAGGTGGGAATTTTTTAGTATTTCGCTGGTAAAACTAATCAATCGTGATAAATCCTTGCATTCAATAAAGTGCTTTTCATGTCGGGAGGACGTCTCAAAGTGCTTCGCGGGATTTACTGTAAAGTGTAGTAACTGCGTATTCTTGTAGGCAAAGACAGCAATGTTCCATAAATTGATTTAATGATTTATCCATCCCTGATGTCATTTTTTCTGACAAATCTGAGCAAATGTACAAAATCCACCTACCAGTAATAGCCGACAGGAAACTGGATGCCAACGAAAGAGCAATCGGGAAAGCAGACATCTGCCTAAAACAAACAGAAGTCATTTTTTTCCCCCCCCATTAACTTTCCCTTTGGGTTGGACCATTTACCTCCTCTCTTTAAAGGGAATACTTTTGCTAAGTTAGTTGCATGAATGCAGTCAGCCCTCAGTTACTTTATCTGGGGGTTATTTTTCCTATCTGAATGTGGCAGTTAACCTAACCAGGTACTCAACCACTGAGCAAATCACATTGAATCGCCTATCCTCCCCTACTATTCATACAAAGACACCAACTGGGAGATAAGGGGGCAACCAGCTTGCCAAAAAGTATTAATGAAAATACTAATAATAATCCTTGCATTTGATATCGTATCTTATCACGTCATTGAGCTGTCACAAAGCGCTTCACATGACATACAGTAAAGTGTAGTGAATGGGTATTTTGTGGGCGAAACATGGCAGCCAATTGCGCACAGCAGTGTCCCACAAACAGTCGTGGACTGAGGGATCTAATTTTCTTTTCTTTGGAAAACCTCATCAAATATTGTCCCTCTCTAACTAACTCGGGAGATATTAAGACCAATTGTCCATCCCAATTGAAAAAAGATAACACAGACAAAAAGCTAAATGTAGGACCTTTCCCTTTGCAATTACAAGAATTTTTGTAATTGTAAAAATCAATTGTTTCCTTATATAGAACTGAAATATGAAAGTGATTTTTTAGGTTAATTACAAGCTTTAAGTAAAATCTCTATTTTGCTTACAATTATAGTTTTGGACTTACCTGTTTCCTACAAGAAACTCTTCAGTAGTTCCAGTTCCTCCAGGTTTTAGAGCGAAAAAAACCCCAATTCCGGCAGATATAACCAGCATGCAACTAAACACGGCATAATCCCAGGCTTGAAAAACTTTGCTTTCAGACATAGTCGCTTCTCCAATTCAGATCAAAATTAGAAAAGCACTGAACGAAAAGAATTCATGAGTGACCTTCAAAGGGGAAAAGGAGGTCACCAATCCAAGAATAACACATCCATCAAAAGACATGTGACTGCTCACTTCTTGCAATGGAAATATGATAGTTACTCTATTGGCTTTATAACCTTGTGGTTAAATAGGATTCAATAGTCCCGATTTGCCTGTCAGGTGTTATCTTTGCTCTGGGGCACTATCGTGTATGCAGGACACTACATAAATGCAAATTGTTGCTGTTCTTATCCTAAAGCCAGTTAAAAGTATTCAAAATATACATCAATGCACTAGCTACTGTTTTCTTTAATAGAGGATATATATATATATACAGTGTATACATACACATATTCTTTTCCTAGATCCTTCATAAATATATATATAATAAACTAAATAACTGGAAGCCCCCATACTCAATATCAACACAAATTTTACCTCTATGAAGTTTTAATACCATTGTCAAAGAAAGTTATCACCCCTTTTTTTATACTGTATTTGTATTGAATCTTTATCATGGCCTGAAAACGTAGTTGAAATTACTTTCAACAAACCATATAAAAATATGCTATTTAATTATTGGGAATATTCAGAGGTACTGTACTAAATAACTTTTATCAGACCATAACTTTTGCACTGTGTTTTAAACTTAAATATTCAATAGCTTGGCTTTTAATCTCTCACCTTGCTGAAGTAAGATTGTGCGAGCAAATGAATGTGTTCATATTTCTCTGATCAGATTAGTGTTGTTGAATAAGAACATAAGAACATAAGAATTAGGAGCAGGAGTCGGCCATTCGGCCCCTCGAGCCTGTGCCCCGCCATTCGATAAGATCATGGCTGATCTTCTGACCTAACTCTAATTACCCGCCCTCTCCCCATATCCCCTAATTCCTCTATTTTTTAAAAATCTATCAGTCTCAGCCTTGGGAATGTTCAAGGACTGACATCTACAGCCTTCTGGGGGAGTGAATTCCATAAATTCACTGCCCTCTGAGTGAAGAAATGTTTCCTCAACTCTGTTCTAAAAGGCTGACCCTTAATTTTAAGACTGTGACCCCTGGTTATAGATTCTCCCACCGGGGAAACAGACCCTCAGTGTCTACTTTATCAGCCCTTTAAGAATCGTATAATTTTCAATAAGATCTCCCCTAATTCTTCTGTACTATAGAGAATACAGCCCCAGTTTATTCAGCCTCTCCTCATAGGTCAGTCACCTCATCCCAGGAACTAACCGAGTGAATCTACGCTGCAGCCCCTCGAGTGCAAGTATGTCCTTTTTTAAATAAGGACCAAAACTGCACACAATCCTCTCGGTGCGGTCTCACCAAGGCCCTATACAGTTGCAGCAAGACTTCCCTACTCTTGTACTCTAAACCTTTTGCAATGAACGCAAACGTGTCGTTCGCCTTCTTAGTTGCTGCTGCACCTGCAAACTAACTTTTTGAGACTGGTGTACAAGGACACCCAAATCCCTCTGAACACTAACACTATCTAATCTCTCCCCCTCTAGAAAATAATCTGTTTTTCTATTTTTTCTAGCTAGGTGAATAACTTCACACTTCCCCACATTAAATTCCATTTGCTACCTACTCGCCTTGCCTATCGATATCCCGTTGCAATCTTTTTGCATCATCCTCAGAGCTTACTCTCCCACCTAGTGGGAGAGTATTTTGGAAATAATTTTACCTTTAAATGTGTAACTGTTATTTCATAAAGGCATTTTCACTTACTGTACTCTGCTGTGTCAGTTCTGTTTCACAGTCTGTTTCCAGTCAAGAGATATACACCTTTAATCTGTTTCACTAGTTATTCACAAACCTCTTACTCCCGCTGAGTGGTCACCACTTTTAATGCAAGTCCATTCCGGTTTTGATGCTGTGCCAATTGTCAATCAAGTGCCTTAACCACACTTCTTTCCACTCCAGCCGTTTCCCCTTCGAAGGTTTCTCATGAATTTGTTCAGGTCCCTTTGATAACAATATCCCATTTCATCCTTTATGATACACGACCATGTGTCCATTTCCATCTTCATGGCATCTGGCCTGGCAATGGTTTGCATGTTATAACGTCACAATTTTCTGTTGCTCACTCGTGTTTTTCTATTAACAGTTTTTTCCTGATAATCGGCTCCCAGATTCTTATTGTCAGATTATCTCTCACCATGTCATCCCTTAATTCCCTGAACTCACAAGAATGGTTCAGAACCCCAGCGCCCTGTAATAGGTGTCGAGGTTTTCACTTCTTGTTTGTCGTCTTATTCCAAATTCAAACCTTTTGATTATTATGTTCTCTTCGCCACAACTGATGGCCCTCAGTCATCTTTAATACTTAACGTTATGTCACGTTTCTCAGCTGAATTCTAGTTCTATTGACTCTATCCCATCCGTTTTCAGCAGCACTGTGATTCTCTTGCGGTCCTGCCTGTTGCTTTGGAAAGATTTCAAACCTTGTGTCAAACTTCACCCGGTGTTCTTGGCAATTGTCTGCCAGTTTCAAGAGCTTTGGTTGGTGAATACATGTTATCGTCCATTCTTTGGTGTTCCAGATGCACAATGTTTACTTCATCATCATTGTAAATCATTGCAATTCCCTCCCAATCCCAACCCCAGCTCAGGTCCAAATCCCTGAATGTCCAGCGCTTTGGGATGTCCTCCCGACATGAAAGGCGCTGTGTAAACATCATTTATTTCTGTTGTTGTTGTAAAGATAACCTTTTCTTTACTTTATACCCATGCTATGGGCTCAGTTCAGTCTGACACCATGTTAAAAGAAGAGACATACTCCTTGTTAAACAGTTTCACTATTTATTCACAATCAATTAACTGGATTAGTACAATCAATATATTCGTCCATTTAGAGAACTGGTTAGAGATTCTTACATTTTATATAAATCTTACAATCCTCACTATTGACTTTCAAAATCCTTCTGGAAGTTTTGTTTTAATTTCCATTTCAAATAAATGTAATGACTCAACAGTCAGCATTTCTCAAAGAAAAAATCACTACATATTAGTTAGTTTTGCACAGCATATCTCATAGAATCATAGAATTATACAGCACAGAAGGAGGCCATTCGGCCCATGGTGTCTGCGTCAGCTCTTTTAAAGGATATTTCACAGTTTATAAACTTATCTTATGCTTTAACCTCACTGGCTCCAACAGTTCGAAATGATTGTCCACCAAATTCAGCAACGTATTTTCATTCTGTAAATGTGACAAATATCATTGAATGTAAGTAACCTTGAACATTATTTTGGACATTTTTGAGTATGGGACTATGTGAGGGGTGTTATTATATGTAAATACAATTTGTTGTTGTATGGTGAAACATGTACTGAAGAAATAGATTTATAAACTGTGAGACATGCTAATGTGTTTACTGAAGCTATCAACTTTTCTCTGACGGAAAAAAATGCTGCTTTTTAATTTCAAACCAGTGTTCTCTATTCCTATAATTATTCTTTAACTCACATCAGTGCTTGAACTCTCAAGATCTCATTCTTGCTCAATGTGTGTTGCTTCAACAAAATGAAGTTACTTCTCCTGAAATAAAATCTTACTAAGTTACCCATAAAGTGCAAGGACTAAAGGATGTTTAGCAGCTCTCACATGTGGCTTCCATGAGTCGTTTGCGCTGTGTGGAGGCTGAATTTTACTCTTCTAAATTCTATAGACAACTCTCCCAACAATTCAGCTGAGAACCAGCAAAAATAATCAACCTTATAAAGGAAATTTTAAGTACTGAGAGAGTCTAAAATTTGTGTATGTATATCTCTATATACAAAGTGGTTATATTAGTAATACTCTCCAGCCAATTGCGCACAGCAGTCATGGATTGAGTGTCCAAATTATTATTATTTTTCTTTATCTTTTTAAGGGATTATTACCCCCGCGGAAAACCGTTCCGACAATTAACTAACAAGCGGGTTCCTACTTACTGCTAGGTAAGCAGAGGTGTGTGGAGTAAGGAAACTTGCCCAACATTTCGCCCTGCCCGGGAATCGAACCCAGGTCCTCTCGCTTGAGAGGCGAGCGCTCTAACCATTAAGTTACGGGACTCTACACGATGACCACATGTTAAGTTGAAGTGAAACATAATCTTACTGATTCAGGTAATGGAGGGGTTTGTTCTTCCCTCAAAAGGGCCATGGAAAAGTTCTTTATTATCGGAGCAATGAGAGTTGGATCCACATCTTTAGCTCCTCCTATAATATTGAGTTCAGAGTTAGCAGTGAAAGTGAACTAACCATAGCAGATATAAAATTTAAGTCAAACAGTTGGAGGAAATGTTGCTAAGACATTTTGTGGGTACCTAGCAACACAATGACTAAAATATAAGTAAACTTTATTCAGAAAGAGACCTAAAAATTTGCATTGCAGTATTCATATTTCATAATTTACATCGATTTAAATCTCTGTTGGTCTTTTGTGCCACTCTGGCAAAAGTACATAGACCAAAATACATCCGTATGTGAAAATATGCTATTTTCTCAAGATTTCATCATATGTTTTAATTTCTTATAAAATATCCCAAGGTCTTTTTTTAAAATAAAAAATGAAACTGGCTTTGTTGAGATTCCCATCTTAGTGGCATTATGCTAAGGCATAAGTATACCTTCAATAGTTGCCTCTCTTTGCTTCTGCGAGACTAAACTGTGTGACTTTGATATAATTCCTGTATAGAAGTTGTTACAGATGACGAGTTTTTTTCAGTAGTTATGTTATTCAAGGGCTTTTTCAACCTCATTGATTCAGTTTTGTGATAGGATTTTTCTAGTCACTATTTGTAATATCATTTTACTTACCCGTACAAAAGCTGACCATTAAACCTACTAAAATTGTACACAGGCAACCAATTAGGCAATAGTACATAAAGGATAAGGAGTAGAAATTTTTCATGATGCTGGATCTAAAATACAAAAGAAAGTAATTAAGGTTAAGTTTCCAGATTGAGTCGTTTTGTGTCCCTATTAAACAAACAATTTTATTCTGGGACTACATCAAACTGTATGGTCCAGTCAATTAATAGTGCCACATTGTGCCTAAACAATATTATCTTTATTTTTTTGCGGGTGAAAACAATCAATCGATCAATCAATCAATAATAATGATCCCTGCATTTGATACAGCGCCATATCACGTCTTCGAGACATCTCAAAGCGCTTCACAGGATACACTGTAAAGTGCAGACTGTGTATTTTGTAGGCAAAACAAACAAAATGTTTTCCTGTGAATTCCTGGCTAGATACATTCCTTTGAAGATGGGGCATGGATCAGGACAAGTTAATAATAATATTTTGATAAAAGAAAAGTTCCACAAAACAGGGCAACAAGACATGTGTGGGCGAAGCTCCCATTCCAGCCTTCTCGAGCATGCCTTCTGGTGGGAGAAACAAGGAACAGCATCGTATCATTCAATAGAATAAATCCTCCTGACCAAAGAAACTAAAAAAAACAATATTTTCAAAAAGCACAATTCTAGTTTCAGGGGACAAATGGGACCCTCTTGATAGAACATACAGTTATAGTAATTTCTTAATGCACTGTGAACTTGTGTTCCTAACCTAGCATATATTTATCAAATAGGCAGCTTAACTGTTCATCTCGATGAAAGTTAAGTCACTCGTCAATGCAATAAAAAAAAGTATATACAACGATTGATCTGGCCCATTAACAGAGTTTATATTTTTGCTAGTAATAGCCTTCGAAAATCGGGAAAGGCGTCAAAATTCTAAGTCAATTAAATGTGGATTCAGCTGAATAAAAGATCAATTACTGCTGACGGAGTTTTGCAGTTCCGATCCAGATTGGGTCTGTTTTAGGCCAGCGCGACATATTTTCAAAGACTTCAATTATCTTATCTTCTTTTAGAATAAGGTGTGATCTGCTCTGCATCACACGTGTTCCGTGATCCTATGTTATTGTATTCGCGCGGCTCCACTGGCTCCCCATCCCCCAGAAGATAGAGTTCAAAATCCTCGTCCTCGCCTTTGAGGCCCTGTGTGGCCAAATCCCTGACTATCCAACGCCTTGGGATGTCCTCCAGACGTGAAAGGCGCTATACAATTGTAATTAATTTGAATGAACTATTGGATATTCACATTACTGAGTTTGTTTGCTGTTCTATATTTTAAACAGCAGAAGGTCACTGCATTCTATTGCGTTTTTAAACTCTTTTTTTAAAAAAAAAATGTGAATTGAATGTAAGATGTGAGTCCTACGTTGCTGAATGACTTACATCCCTTCCTGTGCTTCGGATGCTATCGTGGTTGTGACCAGGGATGATCCATTCACTGGGGTCGAGATGGTGGCATTAGGCTGCAGGCAACCTATTGAAGATATGTTGAGTTGCCTTGCAAATCTGGTGACAGGTGGGTAGATTTGTGCCCCAATCCCTAACCACAAAGAAAGCGCTAAACCGACAAACATGCCTACAAGTGCTCCCTTCGAGGAAAAAAAGAAATGAAAGGTAATACAGTATATTGTTGACTAATGTATAAAAATACAAAATATAACAAGTATAAATAGTCAGAGCAAGCTCAACAAATAGAATGCCCCTCTCCTAATCCCATAGCCACTTTTTATATTTGTTAGATGCTGTTTCTCAATACAGTAGAAATTAAGTTGGCCGACAATCTATATCAAAGCACCAAATAATCTTAGCGGAAAAGGAAAGGCTAGGAGACAATTTTCAACACGATTTACATTTTGCATCCATCGGGAGGATGTATCACAGCAGTTAACAATAATAATAATCCTTGATTTGATACAGCACCTTATCACGAGACGTCTCAAAGCGCTTCACAGAATATACTGTGAAGTGTAGAGACTGTATGTTTTGTGGTCGAAACGCGGCAGCAATTGCGCACAACAGTGTCCCACAAACAGTCCCGGAGTGAGTGACCCAAATTAATATTTTGGAAGGGATTATTCCCCTCAATAAAAAATGAACAACAAAAGCAAGAATAGCCTGATTCTGTCAAGTTTTTTCAAACATTAACATAAAATACTAAAGTACCAGACCCTGAAAATGAGCTTGTAAAAGGATTTTACCACAGTATATGTGAAACCTCACCTTGCTATTGCTCCTTGGAAACAAAGCTGCTAAAGTGAATACACCTAATGTTGGTCCCTGAATTAAACCTAGAACGGTTTGTGATGCCTGTGTAGAAGATAAAAGATACAACACCAGGAACATAAACCACATTACTGTTTGCAACTTATTTATTTTTAAATGGTACAAACTAGAAGAATTTTACAAATAGCAGACTTGTGTTTACCTGCATTATATTTCCTTGTAAAGTAGATGCTACCCCGGCCAGGCCTATTGTAGCAAGTCCAAACGTCATGGCTAAAATATAACTATACAATGGTTAGCAAAGACTCAAAAGCTTGCAAAATAAGATATAATTTTAAACCTTCCACTGAAATAAACTCAATAGGAAATATACCAGTAAATATGCACCGCCCACCCCTCCCACCCCTTCCATCACCAATATATATGTATATAGCGCATACATGAAGAGGAAAAGTGTCTTATAAGTTAAAAAGTAACCTAGGAATTTTGAGATCAGTGTCTTCTTGTCATTAGAAATGTAATTCCAAGGTTTCCATTTTGCTTTGAATATATCTTCAACCACAACTGCAGCCATGGCATTAATTCCCGATGACACTGTGCTGTGTACAAGGAAAACAAAAGTAATCTTACGCACAAGTACCACAGAATCCGATATTCTTGCGATTCCATAATATAATTTCATAGAACCAGGGAATGTTACAGCCATTCGGCCCATCGTGCCTGCGCTGGCTCTTTGAAAGAGCTAAACTAATCCCACTCCCTCGCTCTTACTCTCATAGCCTTGCAAATATTTCCTTTTTAAGTACCTATCCAATTCCCCTCTGAAAGCTGTTATCGAATCTGCTTCCACCGGCTTTATTTAATATTTTAAAAATATGCTTTCATAGATACTAAATAATGATGTATCACTTTGACACTGCGATTATCAGCTGAGTGTTTTCCTGATATCAATGATCCTTTCATTTGTTTGTGTGCAGGTATATATAATATATATATATATATACATATTCTTTAAGATCCTTCTAAATGTAAAACATACTTCTGAGAAGATTACATGAGGAATGTTACACAATCTCAATTTGACTACATTCTCTCCAAAGCAACATTTAAAGCCAAAAGAAATGGGATTAAACCTCAACTTTCCGCTCGCATCAGGTCATCAACACAAGTGGTTTACAAAGGTAAAGTGAGGTAGCGACGCGCTGAATGGGAAGTCTTGCTGTTCTAACTTGCACGTTCTAACGCACTGTATCTCAAACAATATGTTTCTGTACCTCAGTGTACCACTGAATGCACACGCCACAAAAAGGCCAGGGATTCCGGGGGTTTGAGAAAGAATATCCATAACCAACAATGGAGTCATCTTTAGAAAGATTACAAGTAAAACAAATTAATTGGATTGGCATTTTTTAATCATAATAATAATAATCATCATCATAAAAATAATAATAATCCTTGCATTTGATATAGCGCCTCATCACATCTTGGAGACGTCTCAAAGCGCTTCACAGAGTATACTGTAAAGTGAATTGACTGCGCATTTTGTGGGCGAAATGTGTTTAAAGTCTTCAACATGTTGTTTTCCGGAGTCGGTTGAGTGGAGGGAACGGGCGGGTTGGTAGGGGGTTAGGAGGTCGCAGAGGTAGGGTGGGGCGAGGCCATGGAGGGCTTTGTAGGTGAGGACCAGGATCTTGAACTGGATCCTCTGAAGGATAGGGAGCCAATGGAGTCGGACGAGAGTGGGGGAGATGGGGTCACAGAGTTTGGTGTGTGAGAGAACACGGGCTGTAGAGTTAGTTCTGGATTATCTGCATCTGTGGAGGGAGGAGTTGGGAAGGCCGACAAGTAGAGTGTTTGCACAGTCGAGCCTAGAGGTGATGAAGGCATGAACAAGAGTTTCAGCGGCCTGAGGGGTGAGATAGTGGCAGAGTCAGGCGATGTTACAGAGGTGAGGGACAAATTTTTCCAAATTCTGGACGCTCTGAAATACCAAGAATGTAGCAAATGTATTCCAAACAGATCTTTTATTTTAAATGATGAAAGTTTTCAAAAAAAATGTTTTAAAAAACTTACTTGATTGGGGTTGCTAATTCTTTTTGTCATCAATGGATCACAGGTTTCATACACAGCATACATAACCAATCCACAAAGACAAGCAGGGATTGTCACTATAATGCTTCCAAGCCAGTTCAGTAAGACAGCTCTGTTAAGAGAGAGAAAAAAAAGTTGGTAACTGCAGAAAACAGGATCAAAACAACAACAACAACTTGCATTTATGCAGGAGTTGCATACCTGAGCACTTGGGAGATCACACACACAGAATTCAAATGCCAATGTTGCAATTAACATTATAACTAGTCACATTCTTATGAGATATATCACACGTTCTAATACATCATGCCTGTATTACGATGTCCCCATAATAACAACAACAACAAATTACATATGTTTAGCGCCTTGGGACGTCCTCCTGATGTGAAAGCCGCTATACAAGTGTAATCTTGTTGTCATTGTTCACGTCGGGAGGACATCCCAAGGCACCGGACAGGCAGGGATAAAGAAAAATCATAGAAGACAAAAAGGTTTAAATCATGAAGGGTCTTTTGCCAGAACCTCGCAAAGCTTTGGAGATGTTCAATGTAATGACAGTGAATCATCAAATATGGTGTTAACTTACTTTATTGCCTCTTTTTCACTCTTGCAGGCCAGATATCTTTGTACCTGTGCTTGGTTGCAACCATATATTGTCACCCATGAAAATGTCCCTCCAATTAATATGGTCCAAAATGTAAGTCTTCTTCTAGGGTCAGGATCAAAGCTGGAAGAAAAATGCTCCATAAGAACAGAATAATTTGCTGGCGAACGAAGACCGAGGTCCATCCAATTCACCTTCCACCATCCTGGCAGTCGCTTGACATGTCATGTCCTAAAACCATATACTGTAGATTTTTAGGCACGAGATAGAAAAGGTGCAAAAGTATGCCATTAAGAAATAAGGGGCAACAACAACAACAAATTACATTTACACAGCGCCTTTCACGTTAGGAAGACATCCAAACGCACTGGCCAGTCAGGGATCTGAACCCGAGATGGGGGTTGGGATCAGGAGGCGTGGAGGGCAGAGAAAGGAGTTTGACTGAAGACACGGTGGAAGAGGAGGGTCTTAAGACATGCTTTGAAGGAGGCAAGGGAGGGAGCGAAGAGAAGGGACTGTGGGATGGAGTTCCAAAGGATGGGGGCAGAGAGGCTGAAGGCCCGACCACTGATGGTGGAGCGGGTCAGACAGGGAACGTGGAGCAGGCCAGGGACCCCTGTGTCAAAACTACTCACTCAAAAAAATTTAGGCGACCGCCACTCTCTGCAATGCTCCAGACCTTTCCAAATCCTCCAACATGAATAGTTCCCTGAATAAACAATGCCACAAGTCCAGCCATCATCACACATATCTGGACAACATCTGTCCACACAACAGCTTTAATGCCACCCTGGGGAGAAATTAGAAACACCAATAAAAGTTCTAATTAAGGTCTGATACTGGTATCCAAATGACAATATACAGCAGGGTATTCACTCAGCTGGTAAACTATACCTTATGTATGACAGATGATATGTATGATACAAAATAGATGCCCGTAATAATCGTAAAATAATAATAATTCTTGCATTTGAGACAGCGTATTTTCAACTATTACTAGTAACTCGACTGAACACTTAGACAGCGTTCCCTTACCAGTGTTGTATATAGTGCACACACAAGCCCTGTTGTTATGATGGATATCCACAAGTTTAAGCCTGTAACTGAAAAAGAGAAAATTATTGGAAAACTACAATGCCACAAGTAGCAGGTTACAAATTCAAGCGCTACTTGCTGAGATGAGATAAGAAAAGATAAGCTGATGGTACATACTGGATTTGGGGTACCATTGCGGTATGTATCATCAAGTTACCTTTGATTGATCAATCATTCCTGAAAAACGAACGTATCGAATCATGATAAAAATATGTCATCGAGGTGGAGCATCAGTATTTATAAAACTCATCAATGCAGTAATTAACCACAGCCTCACATACTTCTTCTCTGATTTTCTTGGAAGATTCTGATGTACATGCCCTTTGATCCGGGTGTCTTAATTATTCATAACACATACTTTATGACCTGTTTTTAAAACCACAATGAATAACTTGTTTCGTCAAACCAAACTTCTTAGCAAAGCACGGGATGGAAATCTAATTCTGTGGAAATGAGCAGAAACCCCTCGTTACAGTAGCTTTGAACAGTAACTACTATGGCAGCATACTGAGAATGTTCCCAGCTTACCTTCACTTAGTGCTAGGGCGGGTATGTAGGTGACAATCCCAAGATAAAAAAACTAGGAAAAAAAAACAATACAACATATTAATGATGATCTAGAGTGGATTATAGTGAAGCCCATCCTCAGAACAACACTGCAATTTGGTCGTTTGATGGAAACCGCCATCTCAATAATTAATAGATTACAAGTAAAATAATAACATGCACACACACCCTCCTTTGCTACACCCAAACACTATTCCAAAGGTAGCAATTTACCAATTTCAATCTTAATGCTTGACTGTAAGAGGAAGGGAAACCTAGAGAGTGAATCCTATGCTCATTTCCAGCTTGTCATTGCGAGTCATTAAATTATATTAGTAACTGATAAGGATTTTTGGTTCAGCCAGGTATCTGGCACATGCGGAAACACATCACCGTGCTTAAGAGTATCCGAGAATTCCTTGCATTCCACCTTCAATTGGAAATCCCAGAGATGTTTATTGGAATGGAATGCCCACTTGCTCCCGAGAGGGAAGCATCTTACTTACCTAACTCTGGAGAGTATTAAGTGCAGGTTGGCAAGATCCATGGTTTGGGGACCCCAGAGTGTGCGTTATGGTAACTGCTGGAGTCTAACCAGCATAGTTTGCCATTGAGAGCGCTGTCTGCCAAGCTTTCCTGCTGTTTGTCCATTTACAACCACCCTGCCTGTTAGGGCTTTGGATTGTAGGATTAAAGGAGCTGAGTAGGAGGATTCCCTGCCCCCAGTGACTGGTCTGCCCTTCCAAGTCCCGCTGATGAGCCAGGCTGGGCTGTGCTGTCATCAGCAGTGCCCTGGAATGCTGCAGATCCACCTGGCTCAGAAACCAGATTAAAGACCGTCACAGAGGACTGGCTCGACCTGACTTTCTGCTGCCAAACATGTCACCTTGGAGCCTAGTCACTGATAACAAATCTTGTCATTCAATGTATGGATCACAGCAGAGAGATTATAAAATGTAGTGGAGTTCATTCAAAATGTGGATGCTAATGAAACATTGAATTGATCAGTTTAAAGCCACAAAAATCCACTAGATGTGTGTCCCAGAAGCATAGGGAACATCTAAAATTTTTATAAATCTTTCTTCGAACTTACCATATACAACAAGAAACAACCAACAGCTTGGTACCTGACGAAATTCCCAAATCTTCTATTAAGGTACTGTAAGAAAACAACAGGAAAATGCACCTCTTATGTGATCCAATTAGATGGAGTTGGTACTATGTTGCTATAGGAATGTAGTAATGTCTTGATTCAAAACTTGTTCAATGTTTATGGAGAAAATTATAAAGAGTCCATCATTTTGTCCTTAAAATAAGGAAAACTAAACATGTAAAGGAAGGTGGGCAATATCCTCAACCCAATCACCTTCCTACCCTGATTGGGGAACCACAACGTCTCAATGTCTCTATAAAGCACATTGAGACATAATCAACAACAACAACAAGATTACATTTGTATAGCGCCTTTCATGTCGGGAGGACGTCCCAAGGCGCTGAACAGAGAACAGCATTTCAGACCCGAGCTGGAGTTGGGGGAGTAAGGGAGTGGAGGGGAAAGGGGATGGCCAATGGCTGGGTCGAAGAGGAGGGTCTTGAGGCGGGACTTGGAGGAGGCTAAGGAGGACCAAGATCTTGAACTGGATCCTCTGAAGGATAGGGAACCAGTGGAGTCGGGCGAGAGTGGGAGAGATGGGGTCACGGAGTTTGGTGCGGGAGAGGACACGGGCTGCAGAGTTCTGGATTATCTGCAGTGTGTGGAGGGAGGAGTTGGGAAGGCCGACACGCAGGGGGTTTGCATAGTCGAGCCTGGAGGTGATGAAGGCATGAACACGAGTTTCAGTGGCCTGAGGGGTGAGATAGTGGCGGAGTCAGGCGATGTTACGGAGGTGAGGGAAGGCAGAGCGGATCATGGCTTGAATGTGGGGGAGAAAAGACAGTTGAGGGTCGAACACGACACCCAGGATCCTGACTGACTGGTGAGTTGTAGTGAGCAACCATGGAGGGTGATGCTGCCAGAGCCTGAGGTGCTGAGGCGCTGGCGCGAGACAATCAGGAGGGCCTCAGTCTTGTTCACATTCAACTGTAGGAAGTTTGCCCTCATCCAGGACTTGATGTCCGACAGACAGTTGTCAGGATGGTCCTGGAGTTGAGGCTGGAGGCAGAAAGATAGAGTTGGGTGTCATCCGCATACATGTGGAAGTTGACCCCATGTCTGCGGATGATGTCACCAAGACATAATCCTACAAGAGTGGTACCATACAAGTTCAAGTTGGGGTTAGAGAAAGAATAAACGAGATCAAAACATGGAAGGAGTAACAGGAAATTTAAAAATATTTTACCTCATAAGTGCTAATCAAGTTCAGTCTGTAAAATAGAGGGATGTAGATGAGGGAGGTTACTACCATTGTAAAAAGAGAGCAAATGTTGTGCAACACAATCATTATTCCATATGTGTAAATCTCTGTAGGAACTCCAATCACTGTAATGAGAATCAGAAGAAAACAACTTAAGAGAGGCATTTCTTTCACATTTTAACATTAGAGCAAATTTTATTCAGCGTTTATTGAAGGCTACAAAATGCACAGTCACTACATAGTAGAGTAAATCCTATGAAAGGTTTTGAGACGTCCTCCCAATGTAAAAGCCCAATATTAATTGCACGGATTATTATTACTAAAATATATTCAGAGGAAAAACACTATTGTTTTTTAAGGTCCAAATTTATGGTTGGTACAAAGGTACAATGTTATAAAAACAAGCTTGCCCATAAAGATAGTTTTCAGTTAAACCAGATACAGATAGTTAAATCAACAAACACCGGTATCTACTTTGTTTCTTCTGTAAACGTATACTATTTTGTACAATTATTGTCTACAATTCCTGTTGTTAATTGTTCACCCACCAGCTAGATTTTAACGATTGTAAATATTGCACGTTAAGATATTGGGGTAAATCATGACGAACTGTCCCAAAAACAAAGCTTTCCAACAACATTTTTTGGCAATTTTTCTAAATTGACTCCCAAAAGTTCCCTGAAAAGTACAGAGCTGAAAGTAGGTCTACAACTTGCATTCACTTAACTGGAGTCACCAAATTGTAATGTATTGGATAAATTTGAGAAGGAACACTGGATTGAAATAGGTAATGAATAGTGGAGAGTTTGACTCATGTTACTATTTTGATTGTGAATAAGCCAATAAAATCCACGTACCAGTAATAGCAGACAGAAAACTGGATGCCAATGAAAGAGCAATTGGGTATGCAGAGATTTTCCTGTAAGAAAAAAAACACTTTATAGTACATCCTGTGACTCACTTTGAAACAACAACAAAAATGTTTCGACAACGTGATAAGGCGCTGCATCAAATGCAAGGATTATTATATATTATTAGGTAACAACAAGGACTGCAAATGAAAGCAGCGGCATTTCTTTTCAAATAACTAAATCACATTCAAACATCCAAAAGGAATAAATATATATAATATGGTTAATTTGCATTTTGTTTCACCCACAAAGTATAGTCAATTCACTTTAAAGTATATTCTGTGATGCTCTTTGATACGTATAGAAGACTCTGCAGCTCGTGTACTCTCGCACACCAGGCTCCGTAACCCCATCGCTCCCACCCCCGCCCAACTCCACTGGCTCCCCATCCCCCAGAGGATCGAGTTCAAGATCCTCGTCCTCAATTTTAAGGCCGTCCATGGCCTTGCCCCCTCCTACCTCTCTGATCTGCTGACTCCCTACCAACCTGCCCGCTCCCTCCGTTCATCGGGCTCCAGTTGCTCCGTGTCTCGTGCCCGACCCGCCCTACCATCGGTGGCCGGTCTTTCATCCTCTCTGCCCCCACACTCTGGAACTCCATCCCACGGTCCCTTTGCCTCGCTTCCTCCCTCGCCTCCTTCAACGCCGGTCTCAAGACCCTTCTCTTTGACCGTGCCTTTGGTCTCCCTCCCACCTCTCAGCCATCCCTCACCCCTACTCCACCCCTCCCCCATGCTCGGGCCCCGACACCTGACTGTTCAGCGCTTTGGCCCGTCCTCCCGACGTGAAAGGCGCTCTATAAATTTAATTTTATTGTTGTTGTGATAAGACGCTATATCAAATGCAAGGACTAGTATTATTACTCGTTGAACTTCAGTTTTGTACTGACCGGTTTCCCACCAAGAACTCTTCAGTAGTTCCTTTCCCATTTTTAGCAGCATAAAAAACTCCGATTGCAGCTGATACAGCCAGCATAACTCCAAAAACAACATAGTCCCAAGCCTGCAAGACTTTATTCTCAAACATAGCTGCTTCTCCCAGTAAAGTAAAAGCGCAAACTGGAGATAAATTCACAAGGTTAGAAGTCCAGGAAGGACCTGAGCAAATCAATGGCCATTTCGTACAATAACTGTAATGGTTTACAGTACCGTAAATTACCACATTGCAACCACCAATACTGGAACAAACCTTCTCGAAGATCGAGTTGCTAGAATTTTATTGGCTTACTTTCTTTTTTATTTAAAGAAAAATAGAAAATATTCCAAAACACCCATCAGCAAAATTGGTGGTTTCAATGTGGCAAATCCTATCCTGCCAACTAACAAGTTTGTTTCCTCTTGTCTGAACGTGTTTTCAAACATTATTGTGAAACTTCTCTACCAATGCAACACTGTATCCTCGAAATATAAATTGGGGCCTGTGGGAAAATCCATCACAAAGATGTAATCCTTCGACCCTATCCCTCCCTCCTCCCTCACCACGACTGTCCGCAAACTCAAACCCACCACCCGCTCCCTCGATCCCATCCCCACCTCTCTCCTCGTCTCCCAGCTCCACCTTCTGGCCCCTCTCCTGTCCGATGTCATCAACCTCTCCTTGTGCACCGGTTCAGTTCCCACCCCCCTAAAAACAGCTGTCATCACCCCCATCTTAAAAACACCTTCCCTGGATCCATCCCTCCTCTCCAGCTCCCGCCCCATCTCTAACCTCCCATTCCTCTCCAAATGGAACGAGTCGTTGCGTCCCGGCTCCGCTCCTTTCTCTCTCGCCATTCCTCTTTGAACTCCTCCAATCCGGATTCCGCGCTGCCCACAGCACGGAAACAGCTCTGGTCAAAGTCACTAATGACATTCTGAACATCTGTGATCAGGGCTCCCTCTGCCTCCTTGTCTTCCTCGCCTCTCTACCGCCTTCAACACTGTCGACCACTCCATCCTCATACACCCCCTCTCCTCTTTACTCAATCTTCGCGGACCTGGCTGCAGATAATCCAGAACTCTGCAGCCCATGTCCTCTCCCGCACCAAACTCTGTGACCCCATCTCCCCCACTCTCGTCTGACTCCACTGGTTCCCTATCCTTCAGAGGATCCAGTTCAAGATCCTGGTCATCACATACAAAGCCCTCCATAGCCTCACCCCACCCCACCTCTGCGACCTCCTAACCCCCTGAATGCAAATAGGTTTGGCATAACCACAAAGCTCTACAAAAGAGATTTAGGGCCAGAAGGGGAAACTAATCAGGACATGGTGAACATGTGAAAGAGATGTATCCCTTAATACTCTGACCTATTTGTTAGGTCAGGGTCAAGGTCAGGTAATTGGACTTGAGGTACAGATCAACCATGATCCTACAGAATGGCGGAACAGGCTTGAGGAGCTGAATGACCTCCTGCTGTTTCTATGACCGCTCAGAGAGATAGTGGAAACTGCGTATCAGTAACTGCATATTCAAAAGTGATTAGATTTTAGTGAAGAAGCAATTAAAGAGCTTTGAGGCTGAAAGCACAGCCGCCGATTGTGGAGCGAAGGGCTTGAAGGACATGCAGATGTCCAGAGCTGGCTGAGTGAAGGGTGTGGGGACAAGGTGTGTGGGGGTCAGAGCAGATTAGAAATGTAAGGAGGTGCTACGGCATGAAGTGTTTTGCAGATGACTGTGAGAATCGATCTGCTATGCTACAGGGAGCCAGTAGAACCTGGCAAGGATTGGGGTGATCCGGACACATGTGAAGTATGGTCGGAGGTGGGCCAGGTGGCGGAGGAGAAGAAAACGGTGGGGCATTGAGGCAAATGAAGGGACCAGTGTGAGCTAGGAAGGACAGCTGAGGTTCAGTAAGTCTGAGGCCAGGGAGGTTAAGGGGGTCGGACCCACGAGTGACAAGACATTGACAAGGCTAAGGAGGATGGCTTCTGGATTATCCATATTCAACTGGAGGAAGTTGGCATTCATCCAGGTTTTAATGTCTGACAAGCGGGCAGAATCAATGGTAGGAAAAGTGACAGATCGTAAGACTGTAATTACTGAACGGTTTATTGCGGGCAGTTATTTCACAGAGAAACCGAGTCTAAGGCTTTATTGTATAAATGGCTCCACTCTTCGGCCGTCTCCAGGCCCGCTGAGTAGCTGGCGCCGAAAACGTTGCTCTCTATAACACGCTGGTAAATAGCAATTCCCTCCTTCCGACAGAACTTAAATGCAGGCAGAACCATGTGGTCACAAAACAGTGCCACCATCATCCAGGAAACAAGGCAGGTGTGACACAATGAGCTACAGATTCAGAACAAATAGCAAAGTTCAAACTCTGTTCATTTTCTCTCTGAGTCACTAACCATCTCAAGCCAAAAGGACCGAAGCTGCTCTGAAGCCAGGTCACTCTGAGGAAGTGCTTGAGAATAGTCCAGGCCCAAAGCTCCCTTGTTTTTGTAGATGGTTTGACTGGGAAGTGTTTGGGCTGTTCCCCACAATGATGCAGTAGAGATTGAGAAGTGAAGTGAGTGGATAATCAATGTCACTACTCCTTGGGGCATCAATATATTGCAATACACACCACCCACCCTCCAAAGGGACAGAATGGTCTGCTTTCAAACTAGGAACTTCAGAATTTACAGTAGAGCGAGTTACAGAGTTAGGACATGAAGGCTCGAACACTGCCTCGAATGAGAGCTCGACATATAGGGCACCTCCTGAGGTTAGGAGCACAGTCTCCGCACACAACCAGATGTCCACAAGGTATGAAGACAATGGAAACCTCCTTGTCCATGCACACTTTACAGGTCCGTTCTTCCTTCAGCCGACGCAGTTGTTCTTCAGCACTCAGACCTAGGAAGAAAAAAGACCGAGTATTAATCCAGTCTGAATGGCCTCTGACGCTGGTGTATTCTTTCATTCAATGTAGGCTGGAAGCCCTCACCCTGTTCACCTCCAATACTCTTTGAACTCTTATGAAGCCTTTGGGTACATGGTGACAATGTGTATCAAATAGAAGGATTTAGTCTTTGGTCAACCCACAATGTAACTGATGATGACTAAGAAGACTCTTTCTCGTGTGCTCAATGCTCTGATCACCTCTCTGTGTGGGGGTCGTCTCTCTCCGCTCTGCTCCAGTTTGGGCTGATTCGCTTGGCCTCTGAACGACACCTGGAAAACAATTGAAAAGCATCAGGGGATGTGCCCCAAACCCCAGCCAGTCGACTTCTTATATTTTACATTTGTTCTATATATAATCATAACTGTTGCATTTTGATAAAGAGCCTTATCACATCATCGTGTCGTCTCAGGATATACTGTAAAGTTTTTTGACTGTGTATTTTGTGGGTAAAACACGGGAGCCAGTTGCGCACAGCAGTGTCCCACAAACAGCCAATTGGTGAATAACCAATTTCACTTGGGGGGTTGTTGGCCAGGACAGGGGAGAAACCCTCATCTGAAGGACGGCCCCTCCAACAATGCTGCACACCCACAGCACTGCAGAGGAGCACCATCTTACACGGTGTAATTCAATAATAATAATAATAATCCTTGCATTTGATATAGCGCTTTTCACATCTTCTCGACGTCTCAAAGCGCTTCACAGAATAGACTGTAAAGTGAATTCAAATTTGAAATCCCAAGATGGGGCTTGAACCCACAACAACTTTCTGACTCAGGGATAAGAACGCTACAACTGAGCCAGGCTGCTACCTAAATATTAAAATGCTTGGCTCATCCAGAAAACACCTTAATGTAGTAAAAACAATTCAAAAATAAAACTCAAAAAATGATTTGTTTTTTTTTACCTCTGGTCTCCTCCCTCCTCTCTCTTTCTTCCTCTTCAGCTCCTAACAGATCAGACAGAAGGTCAGTGATGGAGATGTACTGTGACCCAGTCAGCAGATACTTGCTATCAACCAAACTCTCTACCAAACTGTGGTCAAACCCCATCTGCAGAGCACTCTGCACCACAGCAGATTGCATGCGAGGATCCAGCTCCTGATTACCAACTGCCTCTGGAAAGAGACAGTTTTATGTAAGTGTTTTATGTAACACCTGACCCTCTTTCCTGTTTCGTTCTCTCACTCTCTTCTCAAAGTGTTTCCACCAGCGAGAAAGAGGTGAGCGAAACAACAATCTGCCGACACTGTTCGTCTCCCACTTTCCTGGTGCCTTGAGGTGTGCTTCGGCCAAGTCCTCATTCACCGTCTGTGCAAGAAGTGAACGGATAAAGTATCGACTCCACAGTCTGGAGAGGAGCAGGGAAACTGAAATTTATAGTGTGGAAAGAGGCCATTCAGCCCATCGAGTCTGCACTGGCTCACAGCACAGGAAGATCAATTCTCCCTGTGTGCACGGTCACGCACCCCCAAGAATAGCCCCGCCCCTGCACGGCCACGCCCGAGCACAGCCCCAGCCCCGGAATTAATTCTTATTGGTAAGCGATGGTGAACTCGGTGGACCTTGGTCTTTTGTTGGTCTCGCATTTCTTATGTTCTTATGTAAGTGAGGCAATGCCCCACCTGGAACTTCTCCAATCATGCATGAGTCTCTCTGGAAAATAGCTTGTATCTCCCAGCCTGGCCCGCCAGACCATCACACATTAGAGCCGTTAAGATCACAGCCCAGTTGGGGTGACTGTTGAAGGATGGGCAAAGAGTGAGTGAGTGAGTGAGTGAGTGCGTGCGTGCTATTAGACTGACTCCTGCAACAGAGACGTGATGGTCTGAATGTGGCGGTTGTAAACACTGGGTGTTGGTAGACATAAAACGGAACATTGAGAGCAAACCTTGTGTGGAAGGTCTCTGCGACTGGATCTGCAAGCGGCCCTGAAACTGTACAAAGGCACGTGTCAGCTCCGCAACACAGCAACCGCCAGAACACAGCAGGCAACATTCCAGAACATTCCACTCACCACTGACTGCAGGATGTCGGCGTGTAGCTGCTGCACACTGCACACATACTCGCTGCCTCTCGCCTGCAGCAGGTAGTCACACCTGCAAACCCAAGGCACCAGTGAGCGATACAGCAGGAAGACAACACATACAATACATTACATTTGTAAAGCGCCTTTCACGTCAAGGCGCTGAACAGTCAGGGGCTAGGACTTGGGCGTGGGGCGGGGGGAGAGGGCAGGGCGGGGGGAGAGGCGGGGAGCAGGACAAGCGCGGGGGGGGGCAAGCGGGGTTGGGGAGGGGGAGCAGGCAATACTGTTAGTACCGTGGGAACCATTTTGCATGCTCCATCCAAGGATCGTCCCCCGATTCCCAGTTGCGTAATCCACCGTCACAGTAGAAGCATTTGACATTGTCCCGGTGTCCTGTGCACAGAGATGGTTTCAGTCACATTTATGTTTTTCCCGGCAGATGATGCCAAACCTCACCGCCCAGCGACTCGTTGCACGCAGTACAATGTCTGGGATCTAAATCAGTTGATTTAGCAATGTCTCCTGCTCAGCCTCCTGTGTTTGATAATACAATGTTGAGGCAGAGAGAGAGCGAGAGGCCTGAAAGGGGAGTACACACTGCCCTGGCCTGTGTTAGAGATGTACAAACTCCCGAATCAATTCTTAGTTACAAGACCCTACCCCGTGTAAACAGCGCTATATAAATGCAAGCTGTTGTGTTGGGGTAGCTGTGCGTGTGGTGGGGAATCTGAGGCCGGGGCTGATTGTGGCTGTGTGTCCAACCCACATTTTCTGCTCTAAACACTTTCTATTCAGGCTCCGCCAGCCGCTGCCTGTCAGCAATTCACAGAGACAAAGGGCAGAAGGTTCGCTGCTCACGAGCAGCACTCATTTGCTTTTCATAGGTTCCATCTGATTCCACTGAGTTTATCTCGAGCTCAGAGATTCCCACAACATGGGTGTCACAGGACTCAGCAAATGACAGCATCCCAGACATGGCGAGGCAGCTCAGCCCACCCCCCACCCCCGACCCCGTGAGGGGCAGCGCAGTGTGATTGCTGGGTGCTGGGGTGGCTACAGCTGCACCTCAGCAAATGTGCGCTTTCCCGTGATGGTGGGGGAGAGGAGGGAGGGGCATTTGGGGCTGGGGGAGTGGGGTGGGGGGGGGCCGGCGTGGGAGAGGTGGAGTGTGGAGGGTGAGGGAAAGGGGGAGTGAGGGAGCGGGGGGGGCGAGGGAGAAGGGGAGTGGGGGGGGGGGGTGCGAGGGCTGGAGTAGGAGGGAGTGGACATGTGAAGATGGAGCAATGAATGTATGAATGTGTCTGCTTTTCGTCAAATGTAAGCGACTGCGCTGGAGATGGCTGGGGACGTGGGTCAGAGTTGGGGGAATGCGGGGGTACGGTGTGGGACGCCGCGATGGGAAGGTGTACCTGTGTAAAAGAAACCAGCTCTCGCCAACGTTCGGGGCTCAACAGCTGCCACGTTTGGCCAGTTCTGGAAGGTGCTCAGCCTGGCCTCCTCCGTCCCCATGGCGGGGTTGTTGGCCCGGTCGACGGGCAGCTCCTCCAGGCCCAACCTCTGCAGCTGGCTCAGCAGCTGCCCGTCCACGGTGTCGGGGCCGCGGGGGGGAATGCTCCCGGCTCTCTGCTTGTGGGAGACAGACACGCCGGCGGGGAAAAGCCTCCAACGCTCTGACGTCAGCCGGTCACCTGGTCTCCGGGTCCTCAAACCGTCCCCACACCCGCACCTCTGAGCTTCGTCGCCGAAGCCCGCGGAGGAGAAGCCATCTCTGGCCAGGTCAGCGGCAGGAAAACCTGGCGTCTGACGAGGCTGCCTGTCAAAGCTCCTCAAACAATCGGCGTCCTCCCTTGTGCGTGGCCAGCCAGTTGTCCTCCAGGGCTTCTCATCACCGGCCACATCCCAGTGGCTGTTAACGGGACACATGGCAGAACTCTGGGACACACTCGCCCCGGGCTGGACGCCTGAGCGTTCTGGTCGCTCCACCTCCGCCGTGACTGCACACAGGAGGGGCAGACCACAGTCAGGACACAGCTCGCTGTCCTCTCCCAGCGTTGACGTAATCACGGACCGGATTTCCATTGCGGTTCCGCATAGGAAGCATCTAGACTGGTCCCTGACCCTGGCGGCAGCCATCTCCACTGCGGGCTGCCAGCCCAAGGCAGCTCTAAGGCCAATCCCCACAGAATGGTGTCTAAATCCTGCTTCAGAACAGCATCTTTTGTGCCTGGGATTTATCTGTGAGAGAAGCATCCACTACAGGGATTGGTCCCCGGTAGTCTCCCTCCAAACAACAGCTGTGACTCGTTCCCCCCGAACACTGGGCACCAGTGACCGACGTCACTCTGGACACACACAGTCAAAGCTCGGAATTCGCTGGTAATACCTTTTTGTCACCTTTCACCCGTACGGCGAACAAAACAGGCAGTCACTCCACTTTACAGTGTGTCCTGTGATGCGCTTTGAGACGTCTCGGAGACCCGATAAGGCGCTGCATTAAATGCGAGGATTATTCTCTCAGGCAATATTTGTGCGAACCAGAAATTGAGTGTGGAGCGGCTTACAGTCACTGAGAGACTGAGTCACTGAGAGACTTAGTCAGTCACTAAGTGTCCTGAGCGTTAGTGGTTAGGAAGCGAGAGGACCCGGGTTCGATTCCCCCGGGGAAGGGCGTAACCTTAGGCCAGTTTTCCCTTCCGCCCGCCTCCATTTACCTAACAGTAAGCAGGAGCCGGTTGTTGATTGATCGACGGATCGCTTTTCCGGGCGGTAACAAAGCCCCTTCAAAAAAAAACATAAACCCAAAATAATAATCCGGTCACTCGATCCGCGGCCGTGCGCGGGGACGGTTTCGCCCGCAACACATGCAGTCGCCGGACTCTGCAGTACATACCCCGAAGGTGTTTGATTCCCCCAACTTACCTGCCCGTACCCTCCGTTCCTCTGGCTCCGGTCTGCTCCACATCCCCCGCCCCAACCGCCCTACTATCGGTGGCCTTCAGCCTCTCAGCCCCGAGGCTCTGGATGTCCATCCCCAGTGCCTTCGCCGCTTCCTCCCTTTCCTCCTTCAAGGCCGGTCTCAAGACCTTTCTCTTTGACCTTCAGCCTTCAGCTCCACTCTCGACTCTCTACCCCCTCCTCGCTCCCTCCCTTCCCTCCCCTCACCCTGACCATCTCCTCGCTCCCTCCCTTCGCTCCCCTCACCCTGACCATCTCCCCCCTCCTCGCTCCCTCCCTTCCCTCCCTCACCCTGACCACCCCCCCTCCTCGCTCCCTCCCTTCCCTCCCCTCACCCTGACCATCTCCCCCCTCCCTGCCCCCTCCCTTCCCTCCCCTCCCCCTGACCATCTCCCCCCAAGGCTCGGGTCCCGACCCAACTGTCCAGTGCCTTGGGACGTCCTCCCGATGTGAAAGGCGCTCTATAAATGCAATGTTGTTGTTGTTGTTGATGAAGTCTGGAAGATGCTGTATCAAATGCGTGGATTATCACCTTCGTGATGATGATGATGATGATTATTATTATTATTATTATTATTATGCAGTGGGCTGACGAGCCTGAAAGGGTTACATTCCTTCTTGTTTGGGGGAACAGTGGCTTTGATGCCATGGGAATGAGTGGCTGATTTATGGCTGTTTACGCTTTTACCTGTGCCAAAGATTCCTCGCATTCCGCCCTGTCCTGTCCTGCTCGCCCTCCCCTCCCCTGCCAGCCCTCCTGCGCCTTCCGCCTCCCTGCCCTCCCCTCCCTGCCAGCCCTCCCTCCCTGCAGCCCTCCCTCTCCCTGCCAGCCCTGCCCTCCCCTCCCCTGCCAGCCCTCCCCTCCCCTGCCAGCCCTGCCCTCCCCTCCCCTGCCAGCCCTGCCCTCCCCTCCCCTGCCAGCCCTGCCCTGCCCTCCCTCCCTGCCTGCCCTGACCTCCCTCTGCCAGCCCTGCCCTCCCTCCCCTGCAGCCCCTCCCCTCCCTCCCTGCGCTGCCTGCCCTCGCCTACCAGTCCTGCCAGTCCTGCCCACATTGCTGTGCGCAATTGGCTGCCGCGTTCGCCCACAAATATACAGTCAATTCACTTTACAGTGTGTTCTGTGAAGCGCTTTGGGACGTCCTCCCGACGTGAAAAGCGCTATATCAAATGCAAGGATTATTATTATTATTATTGCTGTATGCAAATTGGCCGCCAGAAGTACAGTACGCTCAGCAGCAACAGCAACTTGCGTTGAGATCGTGCCCTTCGCACGGGGTGGGGGTCCCGGAGTGATGCAAACACATCACTTTGCTCGCACACCTTGCGAAGCGCCTTTGAGGCGCCTCGACGACGTGATAAGGCGCGGTACCGAACGGGAAGCCGGCAACAACTCGCGTGGACGTGGCGCCCCTCGCCCAGCGGAGCGCCCCAGGGCGCTTCACCATAAGACTATTACGACGGTGATTATTATTAAGCGTCTCCGGACCGGACCGGGTCGGCACCGGACGTTCATCTCGGGCCGATCCTGAGCGGCTTCTGACCGAACGACCGTGATGGTTGGATGTCCATCACCTGGAATAGAGGGAGAGGACTGGGGGTTCGAGTTGGCCAGAGCCCACCCAGGTGTTAGAGGCGCTCTGGGGCGCTTCCCTGCCCTGCCCTGCCTGAGGGGGCGCTATATAAATACAAGCTGTTGTCGTTGTCCGAGAACCCCAGGATCTTGTGGAGGAGGGGGTCGGGGGGGGGGCAACGCGAGTGTCAGTCACGCTGCCCCGCGGCCTGTGCCCGACTCCCGGCGCTCAAGTGTCGGCCCCAAAACCGAGCCTCCGCGGCTGCCGGAGAAGGTGACGCAAGGCCCGGGCTCCGGTCGCGCACCTCTCGAAATGCGCTCTCCCCCCCACTCTTCGGGTACAGGCGGTCCAGGCTGTACACGCTGCGGTACCCGCCGTGCGAACGCCCGGCCGTCAGCCCGAGGCCCCGAGCCCCGGCGCTCAACCACCGGGCCGCGCTCCGCAACATGACGCCCGGCCCGGCCCGGCCCTCACCAACATGGCGACCCGCCACCGCCCTCACCAACATGGCGACTCCCACTCCCCGGCCCTCACCAATATGGCGCCCCCCCTCCCCCTGGGTCCTTACCAACATGGCGCCCACTGCACAGTCAGCATACACTGTACAGGGTTCTAACTCAACTCCCCCCCCCCCCCCATGTGGGGCTTGAACCCACATCCTCCTGGCTCGGTGGTGAGAGTACCTGTGGCACTGTTGCTAAAGGAACTGATCTCACGAAAGGGGAAATGGTAGGGAACGCCTTCCTGAGGCTACAGAAGAGAAACAAGTCTCACCCTCTAGTGACACCTGGTGGAGTGGACCATGATCAGATGATGGCGGGACACTTTCCCCACACTCGCACTCAAAAGACCTCATTCACGAAGGGGAGGCGAGCGGATGAAGTACAATACAAAATTACATTTGTGTAGCTCCTGTCACGTCAGGATGACGTCCCAAGGCAATGGTGAAGTGTTGACGGCAACAACAAGATTGCATTTATAGAGCGCCTTTCACGTCGGGAGGACGTCCCAAGGCGCTGGACAGTTGGGTCAGGACCCGAGCAGGGGGGGAGATGGTCAGGGTGAGGGGAGGGAAGGGAGGGAGCGAGGAGGGGGTAGAGAGTCGAGAGGGGAGCT